AGTTTCAGATAATGGAACGCGGTAGCCCTGATGATAAACGGTGTCGAAGTCGTAGACTTCGAACACCCGTACCACCTGGAAGCCTCATACTACCAACAATGGAAGTCGAACGTGATGCAGGGAATAGCGGTGGTATGCGACGAAGTCGGAGCCGCGTGAGACACGAACGTCGGAGCCAGGATCAAAGCCGAAGCCGGAGCCGTCACCGCATCCGGAGCATCCAACGCAGCCACCACAGTAACCGTGAGCTATTATATCAGAGCCTGAATTTACTTGAGAATAGACCGAGTCGTAGACGGGAAATATGTGGTGGATATCAACAACGCAGTGGCAGTCGCAGTAGACCTAGGAGTAGCCGCCATAGCCGTAGTCATAGTCGTAAAAGGAACGACGAGAATGATGAGTTGCGCGAGAGGCTACGTCTGTTAGAGCAAGAGCTAATGAGACAACGTAGCCGCAACGTGATTTCACACGATGTCACTGATAACCATCGACGGCGTGACTCCCCGTCTAGAAAGAAACGCAGCCCTCTCGGAAACGACATTTGTAACCAAGAATCCCAACGGCCAAGGGTCATGGAACCAGATAATTTCTTTGAAGAATTTGTCAACATTTTTAAGGGTAGGGATCGTGAATCGTTTCCTGTACTACATAATGTTCTTTCGGATTTTGACCCGCTTTCTCGGGAACAGACTATTGACATGTGGATAAGTAAAGTAGACGAATGCGCGGAAATTTATAATTGGAATGACCGGCAAACGGTTCACTATGCCCTGCCCAAACTAGTAGGACATGCTAAGACCTGGTACCAGGGCTTGCCATCTATTAGGCATTCGTGGGAAGAGTGGAAGACTTTATTAAGAGAATCCTTTCCGTCTACCGAGAACTATGCTGAATTGCTTACCGAAATGCTTAATAGAAAAGCGCGCCCTGGTGACTCCTTAGAATTGTACTATTTTTCTAAGATTAACTTATTAAATCGCTGTAAAATATTTGGTAAGCAGGCAGTAGACTGCTTAATATTTGGTATTGAAGACAAAGGAATTCGGTTAAGCGCTCAAGCAGGAAAATTTGATAGACCCGAGGGAACTTTAGAGTTCCTTAAGACAGTTAAGTCCCACCCTAGGGAGTACAATGATGGTATTAGGAGAGAGGGGCCAAGTAGAGATAGGCGGTTTCAAAGCTCTACCTCAATTTTGACCAGCACTGTACCACCTAAAAGCGTTGATAAAACTTTTAGAAATCGACCGAAAGTGAATGCAGTTTGCTTCAATTGTAACGAAACTGGCCATATGAGTTATCAGTGTCGTAAACCGATAACCAAATGCTCTGAATGTAATTTTCTAGGTCACGACTCACATGCTTGTCCTAAAAAGAATCCCAATAACTCTAATAACAGGAAAAGTCTCCATTAACAACGTTAACAATAGTAACGCACACGGTACGCCGAAAAGTGTTCTTGAAGTATCCATAGATGACGATAGCAATGACAAGTATAGAGTAGGTATAAAAATAAACGGTATAGTTATTCCTTGTAAAGTTGATCTAGGTAGCCAGGCTACTCTTATTCGTAAGACCGATGCTCATAAAATTGGCCTTCAGTGGGACACCGTAGAGGGCCCATTGCTGAGAGGATTAGGCAGTATTCCCTATGCACCCATTGGTAAAGCTTTTGCCACAATCGAGATTCAGGATGTAAGAGAAGAACAGGTAGAGGTCTTAATAGTAGATGATTCACTTATAAATATTCCAGTGCTCCTTGGGCACAGTTTTACGGAACGACCTAATTTAAGAATAATAAAAACTGCTACCGATTTACAAATCGAAAAGATTGACGTAAGTGATGAAGCTAAACTTCTGCTTGTTGCAGTTGATGATTTTGAATTAGGTATAGGAGAACTTAGCGCAGTTACAGTTGGAGTACTAATCATAGTGGTAGCGTTTATGTTGGAGGTTCGATAAGGGGTAAACCCGACATGGAATACTATTTATTGCCAGCCATTTATTGAATATCAGATGGCCAATGGGGTGTGTCGCGTTCTTATACAGAGTTTAAGTTCTCAAGTAATTAATTTTATCAAGGGTGCGTTTGCAAGGTTTTAGATGTGTTACGGATAAAGACGAATTTGGTTGATGAAACTCTTGGTAGCCCCATCAAAATGGGGAAGGTACGCAGCAAGCACGCTAACATGTACATTTTAGTCATCGTGGATTCTTTCACAAAATATGTCTATTTATCTGCAGTCCGTAGTACAAGATCAAAGGCAAGCATTAAAGTTTTTAAAACGTACTTTAGTTTATTTGGGTCTCCATCGCGACTCATTACCGATAGGGGCACCAGTTTTACCAGCAAAAGGTTTAAAACGTTTGTTCAGTCCGTTGGGGTGAAATATATTCTCAACTCCGTCGCGACTCCACGTGCCAACGGACAGGTCGAACGATACAATCGCACGATTTTGGCCTCATTGGGAAGTATGACACACGGGAAAGGCAGTGACATTTAGGACACCTTCCTCCCCGATGTCCAATTAGGCATAAATACCTCGATACACGACGTCACAAAAAGAGCACCAACTGAATTGCTGTTTGGACGAAGGTTAGGCAACCCATTGCAAGGTATTCTGAATAATGTCTCTGAAGAGATTTTAAATAGTGAGACTAACGAACCCATAGAGCTAATTAGGTCAAACGCTAGTGATCGCATTAAAGACAATCAAAACAAAAATAAGGATCGATTTGACAGGCATCGAAAATCAGCAAACAAATATAAAGAGGGAGACCTAAGTCAGGGTAGTAAGAGCTATTGTTTCGGGTTCAGGAAAGTCGAAGAAGCTAGAATCCAAATGCCAAGGGCCGTATCGAATCAAAAAGATCTTGCCCAATGACAGGTTCCTTATAGTAGACACACCGCTTACATGGAAGGGAAAAGCATATGAGAATGTGGTAGCGATTGATAAAATCTATCCCTGGATGAGCTTTGATGCACCGACATATTCTTCTAGTGACGAAAGTATCTAGTTATTATAATAGATGATTACTTTTAAGATTTATTGATTGTTAATGAATAATACAGACTTTGTCACATTATACCCAAAAATGGTTAGCTTAATTTATACTTAACAATATTTCCTTAAACACATATCGTTTAAAATCAATAATATCTTGTTACAAAGGATGTGTTATTTCTTTAATGCATAAAACTACGACTAATTTTCTTGTTGTTATGTTTTGCGGGTACCTCACAAATATGTAACTTTAGTACTAATGATCTACTTGTATGACATTATTTTATAGGTAATTATAAATAGGTATTTAATCAAATCGATTATCTTAATAGGAGAATTTAATTAATTTGAGTGAACCATTTGGTGACGACTGGGAATTAGGATATTGATGATACTTATTTACATGAGATACTTGCTACCTAGGAACACGAGCTGAATATTACACCCTGCACAGAGCTTCGGTTAGTTAAATCAAACCGAGCATGAGTGCATTTTGAAAAGGATAACTACTTACCCTATTTGAGAGCTTTGGCAGATTTGGCAGATTCGATGAATGATTATGTGCTCAGTGAGGGTGTTTCATAGCACAGAGCTTGGTTGGATGCGAGCTGGACATGAGTGATATGTCCTTGAGGGTCATAGCACAGAGTTCAAGCGGAATCTAACCACGCATGAGTGATATGATATAACACGCAGCCAAGGCAAATTGATGGTGAAAGACGTGAAGTAACCCCCTTTTGTCTAGCTATATCTAAGCATAAAGTTAGATGATCAGTTTTAATGTTGTTGATTAGAACTCTAAACGAAGGGACTCGTTTATGTGACGGATGGCCGACTGTAACAGTCATTAATTTTATCCCTTACCATATTTATACTCATCACTAATTAATAATATTAGTCACTTTAAACACTAATTTAATCTAATAGTAATATTCCTAAAAACCCAAGTTATTCATAATCATAATTTTAAGTCGACTCATGAATCGATTGTTTTCCGAATGTTGCAACACTGTCTCGGCCCGCCATTTTTTTGAATTGTGAACCCGCCATTTTTTCGAATTGTGAACCCGCCATTATTATTGGATTTGTGAACCCGTCGGGTACAGCTGTGTAGCGAGAGTTTTTTGAAAAGTCAAATAAAATACTGTTACAAAGTTTGTGTTTACATCAAGAACCCCATCCTTCTGAGCGTTTCATATATATATATATATATATATATTTTCGCTTATGGTTATCGTAAACAATCCACTTTTCGTCACATGTCACAATTCGATCCAATATTCCTTGATTTCTGTACTGATTGAACACGGCAACACAATTTTCATATATATTGTAGGTAGGGTAACGTTAAACCATGCCGCTAAGTCCTGGGTAGTTTGACTCGGATGTGTTTCCACCATCTCCTACAATTCAGCGTTATTCACCTGTGTGGACTGTGTCTTTCAAGTGGTTCGTTCTTCAAGTTGAAGTTTCCATTACGATTAAACCAAAAAGGCACAGTGCGTTTATTAGCAGTCTCCTCTCCAAACGCAACGTTGATATTGCGAGCCGTTTCTGCCTCGTTAGTTCCGCGTCGGTACTCTTATCAAAAAATGACTCAAATTTTCGAAGTTTTCATCTTTCACGTCTGAGCTGAATAAAAAATTAAAAGCAGAAAATCGAATGTTGTACATTTTTTAAAGGAAGAACCTCATAGGTATCATGTGAAAAAAGTTTTACACAAAAATCTCAGACCATGAAGGTTTTATGTAAATTCAAAGTATCTATATTTATACAACTGCAATTTTATACCTTAACCCCTATTATTAAAAGAAGTAGTTCAGTTTACGATTTCATATTTATAATTTCGTTTATATTTGTAGAAGAGGCTAATTAAATAATACTAAGTGACAAACAGGGAAAATGTTATTAGTGTTCTTTCGTTTAGTTTAAACAAGTTTTTCGTAAAATCTACTAATAATAAGTTCCGTTATAGCACGCTTGTGGATATGCATCATGTTGTATGGCGCGGCGATTTTGCCTCTCACATATCTCCTGTCACTTGTGTTTAACGGACCTGCCCTCGGCTTCGTTTGTTACTTCTTTTTAAATGTGGTGTTAGGTAAGTTTTTTATTTCTTTTGCGTCGCATTTATTTGACAAAATATTCATGTCTTGGAAATTGCGAGTTGTACTTAATTCATACACATCTAATTGTAACAAATAATATTTCTACACATATTATGATGTACATACATACGAATGTTTTTCGTAGTATGCTGCGAAAAACGAGTTTCACATCAACAGAAGGCCCCTCCTTAGAAGGAGGTTTTGGCCTACTATACAACGCTGGCCAGACGGGTTGGTACAGGGTTTGTTTCAAGTTTTCCTTCTCTTTGCAGTGTTGTTGTCCTGCGTAATTTATTCCCATAGTCGGCTCTTACGACACCCACGGGATAAACGGGATAAATAGGGGTAGTGACACTCCGATTTTTTAATCCGTCACCACACGGACAACGACAAACGAGTTTCTGTTGTGTTTAACCCGATGTTAAACAAACATATCATTAAATTTTTAGGCATGCTGGGTGCTCAAGTAGTGGAGTCACTTCTTTCACCAACTGTTGAAACCACAGCGGTGGCAGACGCTATGGATGCTGTTCTACAATTTCACCCTCTATACTGTTTGGTCACCTCTGTCAGGTATTTATACTTCTATCTTAAAGAAACAGAAGAGCTATCATAAATTATTATATTTTTGATAGACAAAACACTCACATTGTGTAACTATTAACCTTACCCGAGTAGTACAGTACTAAGTGGATAGGTTAGATAGTTACAAAATACAATCAAATATTGCATGACTGTATGAAGTAGGTAAACTAATAATTAAAAAGTACAAAAAAAAATTACAAAATACCTCCTTGCCTGCCGCCGGTTATCGCGGTTAAAAGCAGCCTAAGTCCTTCCTCAACAATCAGAGTATCATCATTATCACCAAAGGCCTTTATTAGTCCACTGCTGGACATAGACCTCTCCTTAAATAAGAGGTTTATCAAAGTGACTATTACCCACTTTAAATAAAGGGGTTTTATACTCCAAAAACCTCGGATCTAAATTTGGATAAGTATCAGTTATAATGTTCTAAATTACTGTACTTAAATTTACAAATTCATGGATTTACATAGCAGTTCTTACAAACTCCTTTTTTTATCTTCAGGTACTTAAATCAAATTGGTCTTCATAGACAGAGATGTTTTCAAATGTGCGACTTCTATAAAATTGTATATGACGAATTTGTGTGCGACATTCGAGCCCTGTGCGAGATAGACGAAGGCTGTTGTCGTAATTATCTTTTCAATAATTATTATAAGCCATCGTATAAGATAATTCCGTAAGATTAATTTCGTATTATATAAATTGATATTTTTTATGGTATAGGTGGCAAACAAGCAGACGAATCGTCTGATGCTAAGGAACTAAGTTTCATTTAGTTGTACTGTTTTTAATCATTTATAGACATCATAAAACTGTCCATGTGATGTTTCATTTTTCGAAATAATCTAGTTCAGCCATGCATACCTTGGGGGGACATGTCGCCTACTTTCACTTGATATGTCTGGTACTTTGTGGGGCATTATCTGCTGGACATTGACCTTGCACACCCTACTCGGTTACCATGTCGGCTTCACTATTAATGTTGTGCTTGTTAGAACATGAAGCATGAATAAAAAAACTAATTAATAAAAAGCTAAATTGTGTGAAATAACAATAAAATCAATATTTGTGGTAGTATTGTAGTATTGAAAATGGTACAATGAATTAACCAAATGTTGATATTCAGTTCAGTTGATATTCATTCATAAATTCGTTACTTATGTTCTCAACTAAATAATAATTAATTAACAGTTTAATTATATTTTTAATATAACGATAATAATTATATACGAATACAGAGTGTCACCACCTATATTCATCCTGTGGGTGTTGTAAGAGTCGACTAAGGAGATAACCACACAGGACAACAGCACTGCAAAGAGAAGAAAAACTTAACACAAACCCTATACCAATCTGGGCAGCGTGTAGTACCTAGGCCAAAACCTCCTTTCTAAGGAGAGGCCTATGTTGGCTATTATAGGTTATTGATGTTGATGATGATTATTTAAAGCCGTACCAAGAATATTAGAGAAGTATTGTTGATAAATTGTTACAATTCGTCAATATTCTCTGAATATAAATCGAATCCAAAGCTTATTCAGCAATTCATGATGATTTTTTAGCACTATTTTTGATTTAATTTTTCATCCTACATACTCTTATTCAGAAAATAATGTAATCACTTTTTTACTTGTAGTTCCTAAAAAACCGAATCTCACGTGGGCCTTGCCCGGCGTGTTGCGTTATCTCACAGTCATGTTTATCACCGGCATCCTGCTCTGGATCTTGCTAATGGTTATAGAATATGGACTTCTAAAACAGGTTACAAACATAACATTATTAATTAGGTAGCTATTAGATGATGAATGGTAATAGTTAAATAATTAACGCATAGATTTTTCTATATATTGTTATACATGATTTTTTATAATGTTTGATCATCATTTTTTATAATGTCTTATTAGTTTGTTTGTTATTCATGCCGGAGACATTCTTAAAAAAAGGGTTTGTTCCCTTCCTGAGTTATTAATAGTGTAACTAATCTTTTTTACTAAGGATATAACTTAATATTCTTATAAAAAATGAATGATAAGAATAACAAAAATAATGTTAACGAATTGATTTCGAGACACTTTTTGCCCCGCACAACCAATCTGTGGAACGGGTTATCGTCTGCGGTATTTCCGGATCGATACTCTTTTCTTGAAGGTTTGAAACCTTCAAGAAAAGAGCGTACTCCTTCCTAAAGGCCGGCAACGCGTTTGTGACTCCTGAGTTGCAGACGTTCATGGGCGGCGATAGTCACTTTCCATCAGGTGACCCATCAGGTGACCCGTCTACTCGTCTGCCCCCTCTAACATAAAAAAAATGCTCCATTAATCCGTTTAGGCGATAACTATCACTACTTCGATTACCAATATCGGTTCACCGGCAGTGAGCCATTGTTTAACATATTATCTTTACCTATTTACAATATTTACCCGCCAGTTATTCGTACGTGAGAAGAAGCTACCACCTATAGACAAAAATACCATTGATGAAGATGTTGCTGCAGAAGCAAATCACACGCATAAAGTATACAAATCAAGCCTACACGATCAAGCTTTACTCGCACTGAAACTATCAAAATACTATGGAAAATATCTTGCTGTTAACCAAATTTCCTTCTGTAAGTCATTTCATGTTCAGTACAATTTTAAACAAATTACATAACACTTCATTGCGGAGTTTACATATTTCGCTTATATGTATGGTTTTGTAATTTGATTTGAGCAGAAATATTTAATGAGAATACAGTTGTTGTTTACTATCTTACAGCACCTGTTAGCCCCAACAATGCATCATAATGCTGCTGCAGTTTGACAAACAGATCACTCGTAAAGCGTTCATGTAGCTCTAGTTGAAATTAATTATAATCTTTACATAGTATAAAATGAAGTCGCTTTTTTTTTCTTGTACGCCTTGATCTAGTATTAAACTACGCAACGGATTGTAATGCGGTTTTCACCAATAGAGGGAGAATTTCAAGAGGCGGGTAATGTATAATATATGCATATTATAGCAGAGAAAATCTGAGAATTTCAAATATTCATATCAAAGATTGAGGTGGTAAAAACATGTTTATGTGGCAATCGCTGGCTAAACCTTACGAGATAGATCAATAGAATGCACTACGGAATTGTATATTATTATCTTAAAAAGATCTAAAAAAAAGTCCGATATTAGATATCAGAGATTTAAAAAATAAATATTGCATATAAATAGCCGGTTTGTAAATTTTGAGTATATATTTTCACGCAATAGGGTTTTTTTTCAAATAATTAGTTTGTTTAAAGGTGTGAACGACGGTGAATGCTTCGGCCTATTAGGAGTGAATGGTGCTGGAAAGACAACTACATTCAAGATGCTAATGGGTGATGAATCTATATCAAGCGGTGAAGCGTTTGTCAGTGGATATTCCGTTAGGAATAAACTCCATAAAGTGCATGAAAATATTGGTAAGTAGTAATCAATTACGGAATAAGAGTAGTAATAAAATAAAAGTAAGGCTTAACGCTATCAGTGCTTCCTACAATGCACAATCGCATATGGATTTTGACGGTCTGTGGGTCTAGTGACTCTGTCTGAGCCAGAGGTCTTTCGCTACCTGTACTTATTTTGCTTTTAAGTATTCCAAGTACGATATGCTACTGTTTGTCATATTTGTTTAAAATGGGGTATGAATAATTTTCTTTATGTATACATATATCTCAATCGAAACGATCTCGACGAAAAAAAAACATTGCCTTTTTTTATTAGCATTATTCACACTTCAGTAATATAAGTGCAACATATAATATCAACATATAAATCAGTAATATAACACATCATTTTATCTTATGTTATGCAATTTATATTCTTCATGATCGATTTTTCAGACCCTTCATCAAAGGTGTCAGTAGTTACATAATAACGTTTGTCTTCGTTTTCGAGAGCTTTTCCCTAGCACCATGACAATAAATAGACTACATATTTTTGGTGGTTCTATTTTCCAAGGTTACTGTCCTCAATTTGATGCCCTTTTCATGGAACTTACGGGTCGGGAAACGCTACGAGTATTCGCGCTTATGCGAGGTCTGCGAATGCAATATTTAGAACCCATTACCGAGTCCTTCGCAAGCGCACTCGGGTTTCGTAGACACTTAGACAAAAAGGTAACTTAATAATTTAATAACAGTCTTTACGTATGTTATGTGTGTATGCATGCAAGTAATCTTATTAAAATTCAATTAAAATTCTTAATGTAAAAAAAAATACTACCCAAGAAATTTCCTTGTTTAATCTCGATTTTGATTTATATTCAGTTTATTTGATTATACGATGTACTATGGGTATTTGCAATAACTAAATTTTCTTTTGTGATAATACCACCTAGGCACACAATATATACAAATATTCCGTTGAATTTCATAGGTCGGACAATATTCTGGAGGCACACGGCGCAAGTTGAATACAGCGGTGGCGTTCCTAGGAAAGACCCGGCTAATATTCGTAGACGAGCCTACCACTGGCGTTGATCCTGCTGCGAAGCGACATGTACGTATAAAAACCTTTTGCGAGCAGTTTCCCTTTAATGACGATTGTCAATAATTTTTCCTAATTAAAAAGTTAATTTGTTGTTTCAGACTATAATTTATCCCTTTTGCCCGATTTTATACAGATCCGTACCCCCATTCTGGCGCGACGGAGTAATAACATCCATTCAAAATTCATGTTCATAGTAGTATTAAGAAAATGTTGTTGTTTTGGATCTTCACACCGCTACTCCGATAAAACCGCTACAGAATTATCGTTAACCATAAAACCATGACAATGATGTTATAAATTTAAACGTGCCTTTGTGAGCCCGACTAGTTTCGTCATGTCGGTCGCAAGTCTAGTCGGGCATCACCGAAATACACACGTAAGTGAAACGATTAGTTGAAATGATACAGGTACTTAATATTTTTCGATCGTCGTGTAGGTGTGGCGTGCTGTCCGCGGCGTGCAGCGTGCTGGGCGCGGCGTGGTGCTGACGTCGCACAGCATGGAGGAGTGCGAGGCGCTCTGCTCGCGCCTCACCATCATGGTCAACGGCCGCTTCCAGTGCCTCGGCACTCCGCAGCATCTCAAGAACAAGTTTTCTGAAGGTCCTCTATTATTTGTTTCTAACGGCCGTCTCCACGAGCGAGAGAATCGTGACGGACCCACACTTCTATCGTCGGGTAATATCCACGAACGATTATTCCGACAACATTTCGTCGCTATCATCGTCATTCTCTCGCTTCTGAAGACGGCCCTATAAACTATCAAGTTTATTATTATTTTTCGTATACCTATAATTATGGATAAAGTCTCTTTTTATTCCACTCCCTACTTGTTTTATTATTACAGGTTTTACTCTAACTATCAAGTTAAAAACCGATGAAAATAATAAACCTGGCCTGGATCCAGCAGCCCGTGTCAAAGACTTTGTTAATCTAAACTTCAAGGATCCTAAAATAATGTAAGTTGTAATTTTAGTAATAGTCATATTAGTAATAGTAAGTAAGTGGTTTAGTAATAGTATTTATTTTATTTTATAACGGTGAACATTGAACATGTGTTAATTGCAGCAGAAAATATGGCAATGATCTCCGTTTATGTAGATCCGTATGGATGTTTCAGATTTAAAAACGACCATTTTTTTTTATTGACGCAAGCACGTAGTTTAATATGAACCATTCACAACACTATGTAAAGATTATATTAGTGTTTTCAAACACAATAGAAATTCGTAATGTAAATTTTATTCGAATTATCTGTAATACTATTTCTTTATTACTAGTACAAAGTAAACAAACAATCTAGGCAATGACGAAAGTTTTACTTTATTGCCACTATCTCCTCGAGTAGCTAGGCAACTTCCAATCAAAATAATTATATTAAAACAAATAGCAATATACACGAATAAATAAACTCTTCGTATAATTATTATAAAGAGCGAACAGTCTAGAAGCAAGGACTGTTATACCGGTATCTATATTAACACATTTTTTTTCACTGTAGGGAGGAGTACCAAGGTCTATTGACGTACTATCTACCGGACCGGACCATAGCATGGTCGCGGATGTTCGGTATTATGGAGCGCGCTAAACAAGAACTTGAAATTGAGGACTACACGATCGCACAAACCACGCTCGAACAAATATTTTTACAGTTTACAAAGTACCAGGGACACGAGCAAGAACCAAAAATTGGCGAAAAGCAATCGGAACCTATACAGAAACCAGCGGATACTAGTCAGAAATTACCTGATTTTACGAAAAGGGAGCCTAATTTACCTAAGACGCGTGATACTACTTAAAGTTTACCAGATCGTACCAAAAAATATCGCACCTTACGTAATAAAGGTTATGATCTAATTAAATAAAAACCTAGTTGTAATAAATTTTTATTTTCAAACAATGTATTGTACCTTATAATATCTTAGTAATTTTAATGTTATATGGATGGGGACTGTTGGTTCTATGGCGTCAATATGTTTTATTTTATTTTGTTGTTATAATCATCATTTTTTATGATCTGAAAGTGTTTATTTAATTATGTCAAATCAGAAAATAAACGTTTGGATATACTATATGTTTCTCTCTTATAAAAAAAGTGTTACTATAGTGCATAAACCTTTATTTTACTATGCGGGATACCACCCACCGGTGGTCATTTTTAACACAAGAGACATTCGAGTTGCTAAATCTAAATCTAAAGGAGTAAAATAAGAGATGAACCGTTGTATAGCAGTTCGTCATTTACTAAGTTAGAAACATGAAATAACAAAAAATCACGAGAGCGAAGCCGCGGGCAATAGCTAGTAAGTATATATATTTCGTAGGTTAAAACCTTGTTTATTACTCGAACTCGTATATACCTACCTACCACCAGTTTAAAACTAATCCCGACTGGAAGAAATTGTTCTAAGAGATAAGGCCGCCCTTTTTACATTATTTTTGCTGTACCTTTAATACTTTATAATATCTGTAAAACCCTGGTGTACAAATAAAGTATCTTTATCCATCTTTTTTCTCCATTCCTCAAAACAATAATGGAACCCTTATAAAATCACTGTTTGTCCGTCCGTCTGTCTATCTGTTAAGTTTAAGACCTGATAGTATAAAATACCAAAATATTTCAGGAATCTTTGACTTGACGTTTTTTTTTTCCTCAATATAATGTTGTCATAATGCTATTATCATCAGCAGCCTTTAATAATCCACTACTGGACATAAGCCTCTCCTTAGAATGGATGTTTTGGCCTACTAGGTATACCACGCTGGCCAGACGAGTTGGCATAAGGTTTGTTTCAAGTTTTCTTCCTCTTTGTAGTACTGTTGACCTATGTAGTTTGCTCCCTTAGTCGGCTCTCACAATACACACGGGATGAAGAGGGATAGTGACACTCCGTATACTCAAACCATCACCACACGTAGAATACGTATTGCAATAGGGACATTCATGTGTATATTACGAGTATGACACATGATCTTATTGATTTAATGCAAATGAGACAATATTGTAGGTAGGGTAACGTTGAACCATGCTGCTAATTCCTAGGTTGTTTGACTCGGATCGGCTTCCACCATCTCCTTCAATTCAGCGTTATTCACCTATGTCAGCAGTCTTCCACGTTGTTCTTTCTTCAGGTCAAAGTTTCCATTACGAAATTTTTTGAACCTAAAACGCACTGTGCGTTAATTAGCAGTCTCCTCTCCAAACGCAGCGTTGATATTGTGAGCCGTTTCTGCCGCGTTCGTTCCGCGTCGGAACTAGTATTCAAAAATGACTCGGATTTTCGAAGTATCCATCTTTCACGTCTAAGCTGAACAAAAAAACGATTGAAAGGCGAAAATCGTATGTTGCACATTTTTTTAAAAGAAGAACCAACCTCATGGGTATCATGTGAAAAAAGTTTAACACGAAAATCTCACCATGAAGGTTTTATGTCTATTCAAAGTATCTATTAATATACAACGAGCATTTTTTAATTTAATTTAATGTAGTGATATAGTCTGTATTGTAGAAGTCAGCAATGACTTATGTCAATCTTAGGTGGCAGAACTGGTACCAGAAGGTTTTTTCTACTTGCTTAAAACATAATTTAATTTTGGTTTGAGCCCGAGTATTCTTATGAACTGAAAATAATCGGTGAATAAATTTTTTTGGTGATCTGTCTGTTTTAATTTTGAGCATGGTCTGCCTATTGTAAAGCTTGAAGTTCTTTATACTGATGTCGCACTCACAGAGGTACTACAGACTAACATACTAAAAATATCCTCATGTGCAATTATGCCGCCTTATTTAAATCCAATAATATTGCTTAGGTTTTTGTTGACAATTTTCATAATAAGATTGTCGTGGATCACCCAGATACCAATAGAATCCAAAGTTTTAAACAAGCCGTCTGATTCCGTTCTATTTTCTGTCATTTGTCATTATTCTTTACCAATGTAAATAATAATTGCAAATGTCCTGTTTCAAAGTAACAAAGATGCCCAATGGAATCTTTGTTACTTTCAAGCAGGACTCATTTGTAAGTAACCAAGTCCCATGTCCATCCCCTATTTTGAAAACACGATTATTAATATGTAATTTGTTGTTCAGCTGGTACATTTTTTTGTTATAGAAACCTAAACTTGCACCTATCTATTGTATTCTGTTTTAAGTTAATAGCCCAGAAAATTTAATTGCACATATATACTTAGATTTAACATTCTGTTTAGAAGTCGATTTAATAACAAAATGTTCAAAATATATATATTAGAATGTAAAAATCAGTTAATGATAGGAATCGCTTTAACTTAAGGATAAACCTTTGTGAATTTGTATTTTGTGCTTTATATTATTTTTATGCTTCTTTTTGTTGTATAAGTTTTGATTACAAAATATATTACGGTTCTATATTGCATTCAAAATGCAAACTGTTTTTGTTACACAGTATGAACTGCAAAAACATTTCAATGTATCAGTTATTCACTCTTCTTCCATCCTTCTAGAAAAAGTTAGATTAAACTATAGCCAGTACTCATATCGTCATTCGTCCTAGGTGAACATGGGTTCAAGGCAACTGCCCGCAAATTCAAACAACACTCCTCCCCAAGACCCTTCCCCTGGCTCTTCAAGGGAAACCTCTGCACCTCAAGAATCAGCCGACAGATCCAAAGAAGATCCTGTAAAGTCACCAACAAGTCGTACCATAAAGATTTGTAATGTCTCACCGGCCCGTGCTACTGAAGCAATTAAGACTCTTCGACAGGTATTGATACTGATCGAAGTGTATACATAAGTTTTTGATCCTTGTAGCTTAAAGTCTACATCTAAACTAAAAATATAAAGAGATAATACTTCATCATCATCATCATCAACATCCTCTAATAGTCCACTGCTGGACATGAGCCTCTCCTTAGAAAGGAGGTTTAGATAATACTTATTTGTTGTTTTTGTGTTAGTTTTTTTTAATTAGAAAGAAAAAACCTAAAAAGCAGATTGAATTTTAAATTATTTGAATAGTAGAGAACTACACTATAATAAGCTATAGTTTCTCTCTCTCTCTTTCTGTCTGGTCGATCCCTCATGTCTGAGGACAGTGTGCTCTATTTCTCTATCTAATCATCTGTAAGCTGCTATCAAAGTGATTCTTGCGAAAGCTCTAATACTCGTAATGTAACTCAAGGTATGTTTTTTTATGATTTTGTCACACGTCGATATCCACAAAATATCTCGCGATATTCCTATAAGTCCAGCTGTTACGGTTATTCAAGACCGCTTTTCAATATATCTAGTAGATTGCTTTTTTAATTTATCAAAGCGGACTTCGAAAAATAAAATGAAAGTTATTATTTATGGGAGAGGGGCCAAACGAACAGACGGGTCACCTGATGGAAAGTAACCGTCGCCCATGAACGCTTGCAATTCAGGAGTCACCAGCGCGTTGCCGTTTAATGAATTAATTACATTTAAATGAGTTTCAAAATATTACAGCTACAACCTATACAAGGTTGTGGTGAGATCTTAGAATTGGTCACTTCATGATGTAAGCCATGTCATGAAATGTTCGTATTACATGATGTACCTATCCAGCTTAAAACTGACCGTTTAAATGTCAACATTTGGTGATATAACAATTCTCGTTTGAATATATTATTAATGTGCGATATAAAGGGATTTACCAAAAATGAAGTAAGTTTAAATATTATTTGTCCATGTTCAATTAGATTGTAACAGTGCCTATGATGGATTGATGATAGTCATGAAAGAAAAAACACAATTACCTATTTAAGTATCAGCCGCTCATGTTTGTGTGTTATTAATTATTGTAATGTATGCTACTACTCGCGTTTGTGATTTTTGACTTGCAGATGTTTACGGGCGGCGATGGTCACTTTCTATCAGGTGACCCGTCTACTCGCTCTCTCTATCATAAAAAAAACCTATGTATCAAAATCAATATATTTATTTATAGATAAATACTAATAATTCCGAACTTAAATAAGTATTCGTATTACTAGGACTAAGATTTCTAATAAATAATTTCATATTTTTGCAGAAACTGACAACTGGCTTAAATAAACTATGGACGCACAAAAACACGGTGTTGTTCAAGAAATATTTCTTAGACGCATGGCTAAAGTTTCGGTTGTTGATGTGGAAAAACTTCCTCCAGCAATGGAGGCGCCCTATGCAGACAGTGGCAGAGATACTGTTACCAGTCATCACAATGTCCTTGGTGCTTTTAATACGAGGGCAGGTACCACCTACGCATAGGGATGAGTCAACATATCCATTAATGAATGCATACTCATTACAATTCGCCCTGAAAGTCTTGTAAGTTATTCTTGTCTCTTTAAATATTAAAAAAAAAATGGTAGAGATGAAAGGTATTTTATTCGGTATAGGTATGATAGTTCTAAGTGGTATAACATTTTAAGGCTAAGGCGTTTATTTTTAAGTAGAAAAAAAAATAAGCATTTGCTTTAGCTTTAGGCACGAATAGTACTATCACCTCAGCAACGCGCTGTGTCTGATTTTCTTATTTATTAGGTAACGGTTTCAAATAAATAAGTTAACAACTTCATCTATGTAATTAACTCTAAAGTTTCTTTTTTGTATGGGCAAGTTGGTACCTACATTTTATAACTTGGGCAACTGGTACTCTTAAACTAATAGAGTTTGTTTAGTCATGCTATTGTTTTTTTATTTTTCCAGCCGACACTTTTGCTTGTAGGAAACCTCTTCCCTACAAGCTAAGGCGAGGCTCCTAATCACGTCACTGAATAAAGACATTGGATTAGAGACTTAAAGCTAAAAAAAATATTCAACTTTACGTAGTGGTACCCTACTAATTGGTGATTTTATAATGGATATAAATATATCCTTAGTTTGTTTATTCCTTTACTGTAGAAGTCTACTGGACGGGAGGCGATGAAGTCAGCGAAAGAGTTTTGTACAGCCTTTCGGGTATTGAATTTTTTCCGAATTAAAAAAAGTCTAAATTTTGAAAAAAGGAAAAATGTGTTTGGGGCAAGGTCCGGTAAGTACGGTGGGTCACGGAGAGCTTCCAGCTGTAACTTTTGTAACTTTGCGATGATCTGTCTTAAACTATGAGCTCGCGGGTTGTCGTGGAGAAGCACTCGGGCAGAGCGATTGACCAGTTGTGGTTTTTGAATTGCGATTGTACCATTCGCTAAAAAGCTGTAATGTACAAGTCGGGCCATTTTTTGTTGTCTTACAAGATACACTTTTCATCGCAGATACTCGTTTCTATGTTAATTCAGTAGTGTTATGCATGCTTCGACGCCTAAGTCTCAGTGATGGTCGCTTAGTTCGTATGGCACCCACTTGTCTAGCTTTTTATCTTTCCGATTTTACATAAGTGGTTCAATGTTATTTTGACACTAACTTTAAAGCCCGCAGCAAGCTCAGCCGTAGATTGAATTGGATTCGCTTCCACGTTGTTGTCGTCTATATAGTTACCGGCCGACCGCGAGACTGTTTCTTCAACTCAAAACTTCCAGATCTAAAACCTTGAACCAACAATGGACCCTATTTACCCAAGCAGTATTAGGCCCGTACACGTCGTTAATATTTCGTGTTGTTTACGCAGCGGTATTTCCACATAGGCACTCATATTCGAAAATTGTACGAATTTTTAGTTGATCCATGGCACCAAAAGATTACCCTAATTTCAGAAAAATAAAACACTACCTAAAACAAATGACTGAATTTTAAATCAAAATAACATGGCTTTTGCCAATCCACATTTAATTAAATCTGAAAATGCTTTTATTAAAAACCCTGTTATTATGTAGGGGGGAGGCCTGTATCATCGACGTATCGCCATTTTATAGAGCATGGAATATAACGCACTTGTTTAAGGTACTATGCGGACATCCTGTAAGTGTAGACAGCAAACAAGTTTAATATGATGTTTCTTGCTTAGATCTGGCATGAACGAGATATTAATTATCGCTTATTCACCGAAGAGTCCAGTATTGGAAGAAGTAATATTATCGGCTACGAGGACGTTGTTACTCGAGAATAAATATTTCTTTCCTGCTGCATTAATCGCGTCATACTCACAGAGCACATCTCAAATCCGCGCTTTTAACAATAGTGAGCATCTGAGCGGACTTTATAAAAAAGAAATAACTACTCGTGAAATTCTTGCCGCTGTGGAATTTGATGATCGGCTTTATGGTTAGTACTTAAATGGTTTATAAACTAAGTCCATCTACACCAAATAAACTATGGAAAGTATATTTATATGGATTGTCTATCTTGTTCTACTCATTTTAGAATTATTGATTAGCGTGTACCTACTATATACGAATTAATTTGAAAAGTATAAACAAAGGTTCATTTTATACTAAAGACATGACTATATATGTGTATACAGGGTGTGGCGTAAATAGTGGTCCACCATTAAGGATTCGATAAACCAGATAATTTACTATAACATATTACAATTTTATCCATTTTTACCCAAAGGTTCCGGAAATATATATTTTTTTAATTTTTTTACGATATGTGTACATCTTGTTACTAATTTGCTTGTAGTTTTAACAAATACCATTATTTTTTCATTTTGATTACTGGTAATTAGTGCTGAATACTAGAGCTATCGTTAAATAACATGTTTTAATGTAAATTTAAAGCTTTTGAAGAAAAAAATTGGTTTCACTCTACTTTTAACCCAAATTTTTAACATATCATGCTAATTCAAGACCGATTTTTGTAAAAAAAATCGTACTAAGCTGTCAGTGCCCATTCATTTAAAAATATGCCTACTAAATACCAATTTCAAAATGGTATCACAATAGCAGATCCTTTTGTTTAACAAAAAGATATCCAATTTTAATTGAAGAAAAGAAGATTTTCATTAAAATACATTTTAAAATTTAGTTGCGTTAATACTTATGATTTTTGTAAAAAAAGTAACTACACTGTCAGTGCCAATCCATTTTAAAGTATTCCTACTAAACACAGATTTTAAAACGATTTGCCATCCCATTAATAAAAAAATTATTGCAATTTTAATTGAAAAAGACTTAAAATAACAATTTTTTACTACTGTTACAGAGTGATCTTGACCTAACTTGTAAATTAGTACAAGGCATTAAAAAAAACTAGTCATACTAGTCATCGTTTATTATTATTCTTTGACATGATTACAAACACTGTAAAAATTAGACCAAATGCTCGAAATGGCCCCCATTCGCAGCTATACATGCTCTGCAACGTCGAATAAACGACCGTTTAAGTCGTCGAGCAAACTCGCTCTCGCTGATTTTCCTAGCCGCTGTCTGGATTCTAGTCCTCAAGTGGTCAATAGAGGTGATTTGTTCCTTGCAGACATTTTCTTTCAGGTAACCCCAATAAAAAAAAGTCCAGGGGATTTAGGTCCGGCGAGCGCGGTGGCCACAATATTGGACCTAAGCGCCCTATCCACCGATTTGGATACGCTGTGTTAAGGTGCCTTCGTACTCTAACAGCATAGTGAGCGGGACAGCCATCGCTCTGTAGCCACATGTCTTCTTGGACTTCAGGAGCGACATTTTGCAGAAGCAAAGGCAAGTCAATTAGCAAAAAACTTAAATATCTATCTGCGTTTAAAGTTTCTGGCAGCTCGTGTGGACCGATTATCTGCCCGTTAATGATTCCAGTCCAAAGGTTTATTTTAAATTGATACTGTGATCTGTCTTGTCTTATGAGATGCGGGTTTTCTAGCTGCCAGCTATGCAGATTGTGTAGATTTAAATATCCATCCTTTTTGCAGGACGATTCGTCGCTCCACAATATTTTGTTAAAAAATTGCTTCTCTTATTCTGCGTAGCATTTCTCTACAAAATCTTACTCTTAAGGGATAATCTCTTGGTAGTAATGACTGTACCCTTTGATAGTGGTATGGGTACAGTTCATGTCTTTTGAGTATGCGATGTACAGATCTACTGGATATGCACGTTCTGCGACTTAAGACACGGACCGATGCTGAAGGATCTTCAGTAACTAAATTCATTACCTCTTCACCAGTGTGTACTTGCGGTCGTCCTTCACTTGCACCGCCTACTCCTGTGCCAGGTGTCCTCCCCTCGCTGTATGCGTTATGCACTCTCCCAAAAACTCGATGATCTGGATGTCTTCGATCGGGATATCTCTCCCGATAAAGTCGAGCTGCTTCTCTATCGACATTTTATTTATGGTGAATGCAGAGGGCATTCACCATAAATAAAATGCATGTCAGCATATTCGCGCGGTGTGTACCGAGACATTTTTGTCACTGCACTGCACGTTTGTCCAAATCTTTGAGCAAGCCAAAGTCCAACTAATCCAATCAGTAGGCAAATTAAGCAGAGTCCGGGGCAGGGATAAAGAAACGACGGAGGTAAACACACATAATAAAAACAAAACGCATACGACGCACGAGTGACGAGATCGTACTAAATTATTTCGAGATTTCTGGAGATTACAACGTTAAGAATGAAAGGGATAGCATTCATTAACCATATCTTTTCTTTATCACTCGTATCGTGCGATACTCAATTGGCGAGAGCTTCAACAGATCTTTTGTTTACAAACATGTCTTAGGTAAAAAAAGGGTCGGGCTTTTTTACCTGAGACATGTTTGTGCTCTTAAAACCAGTTTTGTCAGACTAAAATCATATTTCAAAAGTAAAAAGTTATATTTTATCCGTTTTATAGAATTTAATACGTTTTGTAATAATATTCACCCAATTAAATTTTGAAATGTATTTTAATGAAAATCTTCTTTTCTTCAATTAAAATTGGATATCTTTTTGTTAAACAAAAGGATCTGCTATTGTGATACCATTTTGAAATTGGTATTTAGTAGGAATATTTTTAAATGAATGGGCACTGACAGCTTAGTACATTTTTTTTACAAAAATCGATCTTGAATTAGCATGATATGTTAAAAATTTGGGTTAAAAGTAGAGTAAAACCAATTTTTTTCTTCAAAAGCTTTAAATTTAAATTAAAAACATGTTATTTAACGATAGCTCTAGTATTCAGAATCATTAATTACCAGTAATCAAAATGAAAAAATAATGGTATTTGTTAAAACTACAACCAAATTTGTAACAAGAGGTACACATATCGTAAAAAAAATAAAAAAAAATATATATTTCCGGAACCTTTGGGTAAAAATGGATAAAATTTTAATATGTTATAGTAAATTATCTGGTTTATCGAATCCCTAATGGTGGACCACTATTTACGCCACAACCTGTATATATTCACTTTTGAATAATGAGGATGCGTGTTACTGTGTTCTGCGAAATGGTAGTAGTTTGTGGCGACTCCCACATACAAAGAAACAGAAACACACTCCAGCGCCATCTAATGAAGACACACCGAACTACGGAGTAACTACTAAAATAAGAATTGCTAATCCTGTATCGCGATGTAAAGAATTCCCGCGCCGGTTAGCATATATACAACTTCCCAACATCAACCGTTGGGCCGTGGCCCGCCAGGCATGATCACCTCGCCTGGACGGAGGATCCTCCCTTTGTGTTGGAGGGACATGACACCCGTTCCTCCACAAGTTCATAAGAATTGTCGACTCTCAGTTTGTCAAGGAGAAAAAATATATTGTGGTCACAAAAATTACTAAAAGTGGAAGAGATCACTGTACGGCATTTACATCTATCACATAGTAATGATGATGATAGTGCGCTGGTAAATGACGTGCGATAACGTTCTATGAAGTTGCAGAGATTTATCCTGTGAAAGTCAGCAATATATCTGCCATGTTATGTCTTCTAGTCAATACATGCCTTAAAATAATTGATGTTGTCTTGATGTAAATGTGAATTCATCATCATCATTAACAGTCTCTAGCAATCCACTGGCTGGACATAGGCTTCTCCTTATAAAGGAGGTTTTAGGTCCTTAGAAAGGCTCTACTATACCCCGCTGGCCAGACGGGTTGTTGCAGGGTTTCTTGGCGCCGTGTGGGTCAGCTGTCCCGTAGCGTCGGCCAAAGTATTGGCCGACGCCGGCAGGCTGCTCATCGGTTTCGTGAGCGCCAGGATCACAGTCCTGGCGGCGAGACCGATGAGATGCTACAAATGCCTAGCATCGGGACACACGCGCGTCAAGTGCGACAGTTGTTTTGACTGCGGCGGACTGTGTTTCCGCTGCGGTCAACCGGGGCATAAGGCGGCAGAATGCTCTGCCGCCCCTCACTGCCCAGTGTGTGCGGCGGGCAATAAGCCCGCCAATCACCAGATGGGGCAGAGAGGCTGCAAGCCTCCCCGCAGTTCTCGGCAGACGTCGGGGGTTAGCCAGTCGACCCAGGCTGCCTCCGATTTAGTTCGTGCGTCGACGTCGTCGCCCATGGAGGAGGTTGTAGAGACGATCCAGTAATGGATCAAGTCTCCAACCTCCTGGTCCAGACGAACCTGAACCACTGTGCCGCGGCGCAGGATCTCTTCCTGCAAACCATGGCACAGTGGTCGATAGGTGTTGCCGTAGTCGCGGAGCCCTATTCTGTCCCTCCCCGTCCAAACTGGATGGGTGACTGGGACGGCTCCGTGGCAGTCGTCGGTTCCACGACGGCTCATTCCCCGCCCTTGTCGCTAAGAGACAAGGGCACTGGATATGTTGCCGTCGAGTGGGGGGGGATCACCATATATGGTGTCTATTTCTCCCCCAACCGGAGTTTGAACGACTTCGAGGTTTTCCTAACCAGTTTGGAGACCTCGATACGGCGACTAGCGTCTGGGCACGTCCTTGTGCTGGGGGACTTCAACGCAAAGTCCATTGCGTGGGGTTCCCCCAGGGCGGACGCCAGGGGCGAGGCCGTAGAGGAGTGGGCGGCCTCGGTGGGCCTCTGTCTCCTAAACAGAGGCTCCACCAACACGTGCGTGCGACAGCAGGGGGGGTCGATAGTGGACCTCTCGTTCGCTACCCCTGCCCTCGCCGCACGAGTAAGGAACTGGCGTGTCCTGGAAGAGGTTGAGACGCTCTCGGATCACCTGTATATCCGATTTGAGCTCTCCCGGACCCAGGACTCCAGTAGGGGTCACGTGGCGCGGCGTTTATCCCGCTTTCCGCGGTGGGCTGTTGCCAGGCTGAACCGGGACCTACTAGAGGAGGCAGCCATAATTCACTCGTGGCTGTCTCCTCAGGCTCCGACCGAGGAGGTCGACGTGGGGGCTGGCCGCTTTCGCGATGCGATTACGCATGTATGCGATGCGGCCATGCCCCGCGTTCGAGGTCGTCGGCCTCCAAGGAAGGAGGTCTACTGGTGGTCCCAGGAGCTGGCGGACCTCCGTGCGGCCTGTACACGTGCCCGGAGGTCCTACACGCGCAGTCGGCGGCGTCACCGCGGAGACGGTGAGGAGGACCGGCTTCATGAGGAGTACCGACGGGCGCGGAAAACTCTGAAGCTGGCCATTAGCTGCGCCAAAGAAGAAAAAAGACAGGAGATGCTGGAGGGTCTTAATCGTGACCCCTGGGGTCGCCCTTACCGCGCGGTGCGACAAAAGCTCCGCGCGTCGGGCCCCCCCCTTACGGAGACTCTCCAGCCCAGCTTCCTGCGAGAAGTGGTTGAGGGCCTTTTCCCACAACGGGCGGAACACACTCCCCCGTCGATGGCCTCCTTGGCCGGAGACGACGGGGAGCACGGGGAGGATAATGTTCCGCCCGTCCGGGAATCGGAGGTAGGGGCGGCTGTTCTACGGATCCGTTCCAAGAACACCGCCCCTGGGCCAGACGGGGTACCGGCCCGAGTGCTGGCCCTGGCCCTCAACCACATGGCAGACCGCCTCGGGGAGGTGTTCGACGCTAGCTTGGCGTCGGGACGCTTCCCTGAGTGCTGGAAGAGCGGGAAGCTGGTCCTATTGAGGAAGCCGGGACGGCCTGCCGATTCGGTCGCGGCCTATAGGCCCATCGTGCTGCTGGACGAGGCGGGCAAATTGTTTGAGAGGGTTCTTTCTGCCCGCATCGTCCGGCACCTCTGCGAGGTGGGCCCCGATCTGTCGGACGCCCAATTTGGTTTTCGGGCGGGGCGTTCGACGGTCGACGCCGTGTTGCGCCTGAGGGCCGTGACCGAAGAGGCCGTGAGCTGTGGCGGCGTGCTGTTGGCGGTGTCATTAGACATCGCCAACGCATTCAATAGTCTGCCATTCAGCTGCATCAGGGAAGCACTCCACTATCATGGGGTGCCAAAGTACCTGAGGCGGCTGGTGGCAGACTATTTAGAGGAGCGTACCGTCGTGTACGAGGACCGAGAAGGTAATCTGAGGTGTCGGCCCATGTCGTGCGGTGTTCCACAGGGGTCTGTTCTTGGACCCCTCTTGTGGAACATAGGGTACGACTGGGCCCTTCGCGCCGATTTCCCCCCCGGGCTGGGTGTAATCTGTTACGCAGACGATACCCTCGTGACAGCCCGGGGGGCAAACTTCCAAGAGGCGGCGCGCCTGGCCACAGGGGGAGTCTCCCTGGTGGTCGGGCGCATTGAGGCGCTGGGCTTACGGGTGACCCTAGATAAGGCGGAGGCCCTGTTATTCCATGGGCCCCGTCGTGGTCCACCCCCTGGCGCCTCAATCGTGGTCAACTCGGTCCTCGTACCGGTTCGGGCCCAGATGAAATATCTGGGCCTGATCCTCGACGGGAGGTGGCTCTTCGACGAGCACTTCCGACAGCTTGCTCCAAAGCTGGTCGGCGCTGCGTCTGCCCTAGGGCGACTTCTGCCCAATATGGGTGGACCCAGCGTCGCGACAAGACGGCTGTACACGGGGGTTGTCCGGTCAATGGCACTGTACGGTGCACCGGTGTGGGCGGCGGCTCTGACCGCCCAGAATAGGGTACGCCTCTGGCGCCCTCAGAGGGTAATGGCGGTCAGAGCCATACGCGGTTACCGCACCGTTTCGACGGAGGTGGCATGCGCATTGGCCGGAACTCCCCCGTGGGATTTGGAGGCGGAAGTGCTCGCCGAAGTTTATCGGCGAGTGGCTGACTTCCGGGCGGAGAGCGGACTTCGCCCTCCGCCCGAGGATGTGCGCGAGTGGCGCGAAGCCGCTCGCCGAGCCACGATGGCTCGTTGGTCGTTCCGGCTGGAGACTCCACGCGCTGGCTTCGCCGCCGTGGAGGCTCTCCAGCCGGTCATCGCCGAGTGGGCAGGGCGGCAGCACGGGACCCTTTCCTTCCGGCTGACGCAGGTGCTTTCTGGGCACGGTTGCTTCGGAAAGTACCTGCACACGGTCGCAAGGAGGGAACTGAGTCCCGCCTGCCACCACTGCGACTGCAGTGAGGACTCGGCCCAGCACACGCTGGCGGTCTGCCCCGCATGGGCGGCGCAGCGCCGGGCCCTCACTGCAGTCATCGGAGTGGATCTCTCGCTACCGGCCGTAGTACGCTCCATGGCCGGTAGCGACAGTTGTTTTACCGCGGTCGCAACCTTCTGCGAGGTAGTAATCTCGCGGAAGGAGGCGGCGGAGAGGGCCCGGGAGGATGACCTCCACTCGGACCCGATCCGCCGCCGGCGAACCGGGCGGCGGAGGCCCGCCTACCACAGCCTCATGCCGCCCTGAGTGTGGCCGCGGGTGGACGGGGTGGGTTTCCCCTCCACCCGCATTAGTTGGCCAGCCGCGAGGGGGCGGCGTCCGCGTGTGCCGGACGTCGCCTAAAGAGAGGAACATCTACATTGAGACGGAGCCCGCACCAGGAGCGGGCTGGCGCTAGGAGGGGTCCGGATGTCTTAACAACAGCTGTTCCCGGATCCCTCCTGTTACAGGCGCAGAGTGGCACACCGTGTGGTTTTAGTCGGTCCGAGTCCGACACACCACCCCGCCGCAAACCCCGGAGGGGTGACGGTCCGAGGGGATTTCCACACGTTAAAAAAAAAAAAAAAAAAAAAAAAGGGTTTGTTTCAAGTTTTTCTTCTCTTTACAGTGCTCTTGTCCTCTGTAGTTGGCTACCTTAGTCGGCTCGTATGACATCAACGGGATGAATAGGAGTAGTGATACTCCGTATTCTTAATCCGTCACTACACCGATTTGTAAATTAGTAAGCCCTAAATCAGTAAAGTGTAACGTTACTGAACATTTTCTTACTTACTAACTTTATAAACAGTGTCTTTATTTAATTTTTCACATTGCAGGAGCGACAGAGTTACCAAAAAGTAACTTGTCATATTCCATACGATTCCCTGAAAGACCTCGTTTAAATTCATTTTACGGTGTGGGCGGACGTCATTGGAGAACTGACTTAGTTTTCCCTAGCTTTGAATTACCAGGTCCTAGGTTTCCATTCTCATGGGAGGGAGGCAATGATCCAGGTACTAAATAATAACAACCGTATTTAGTTTTATTGGAAGTGAAATATCTCATGCGTCTGACTTAAATACCTTTTCATTTTTATATACCTATGCGTATTTCGAAATTTGTAAGTATATTTGGGAGCAGTTTCGTTACCTTAGCACAGGCTCTAATTTGGCATCAAACGACCATGTTAGATATGTCAAGGTACCTAATAATTATATCAAATTCACATTTCCTGGATCATGAAATTTACTTAAAAAGGGGTTCAGGAATTCCACATTTAAATCACATTTTCGTTCTTAAAATGAGTAGGCAGTAGTAGTAATTATATTACAGCTTTCTAGAAACTTTATTTAAAAAGAAGTCAATATCGAAATTCTATCTGTAGAAACTCTATAAATAACTTTACCCGTAGGTTACGTTAACGAATTGTTCATACCATTACAACACGCAATTTCTATGGAGTTAATATCCAAAATGACGGGACAAAATATGCGGAGCTTATACACAATCAACATCGAGAGATACCCGCATCCACCTTATTGGGAAGACCAATCGCTGAGTGTACTGAAGATTTTGTTTCCAATGTTCATTTTATTAAGCTGCAGCTACACAGCTATTAATATCGTTCGAGCTATTGTTGTTGAGAAGGAGTTACAACTGAAGGTAACTATTTTTTATACTTTATACAACTATATTGACAGTCTTAAAATCTAGAATAGATTGTCTAATATGTTGTATGTCTAATATATGTACCGATCTAGAGCACCTTAAACCCGTATCTATAAGATCGCCCAAAAAGCATTGACCAGAAAAACAAGCCTGACCAGTCTTTTAGTCAATTTGATGGCATATGAGGGGATTATGTAAGACAAAAAACAAAAAACGATATGAGTGAATAGATTTTTTTTCTGTTTTCCTAAACATTTACAACTGCATACAAAGAATCGCTTGGAGCTTAATTGTTTTCAATAATAATGATGACTTGAAAATTGTTGACCTGCTGCAATTTCTAGCTAATGAGATTACCTGAGGTAACTGAACTTTGATAATTGTATAAGAATACATAGGTTTGGATGAATGTGCAGTCATGAATGTAAAAAGGAGGTAGGAATGAGGAATCGGATGGTATTGAACTGTCAGATTTCAAACACCTCAGATGTCTGTACGTCAACAAAACCCATACTTTTTACTATCGTGGAAGAGAAATGCTTCGGCACATATGGGCAGGGCTCGACCTGAGTGATACCACTACCTCACAAAAAAATTTTTCATTGCTTTTCACTGAGTAAGTGAGGGTAATGAAGCCAAAACCACCGCTGCACTATCAGCAGGTGATATCTGCTCGTTTGTCTCCTATACCATAGAAAACTTGTTTAGGTATGTCACAAACGTTAACTGTAAATGAATAGATTATAAAGTCTCTTTGCCCGATTGAAAATAGCATTGAAAAATCTTTTGCCGGTTTATAACCTAATGTAATGATTGGGTCATACGAGTCCGTTAGGATTCATGATTACATTGGCAAACTTAGATGTACTGAAACTGATCTAGGTGACGACATGTAAATCTATTAGCATAAGTGCCTGGCTCCAACTCGCTGACCTTTTCGGAGAAACTGAAGATTTTGTTTGTGCAATCGCAGAATTGGTTGTGTTAAATAATTATTAGTATATTCTGAAGAACGGCACTATCGATATTTGTGAGGCATGTTATTGTCGCGGAGAAACCTTCAGAAATATAATTTTTGTTTTTTCTGGTCTTGTCAAAAGAATTTGGATAGTAACCGTCGATTTACCATACTATGCTATATAGTGCCTGACCCAGTTCCTGGGTGATCAGAGAACATTGCGCTAGGATTGATCGATCAAGTCCAATCCAATCCCAGTGACGACAATCTCTTGAAAGCCAAACACTAAAAAGATAAAATAAAAGTACATAGACCAGGAGCTTGCAGACATGTGGCATGTGGAATCTGCAGTCATATTGATGATAATGCCCCATATTTCGACCTTTTCTTTACGCGGGCAATGCTTTTCGCACCATACCCTCCGTTGGGGAAACGGACGATGTGTGTGGGACACCCGAAGAACCAGTCTACCCATTACACCCCGCGGCGGCCTACCTCGGCAGTCGGGAGGAGCGCCAGGAATGCATCGGCGGCTTCTGGAGTCCTCCCTGCCATACGCCATGACTGACGCACAACCCAGGGTGACCATGAAAACCCCAGGGCACATATATCGACCTATGAGTTAATTGCTAAGAGTCTTCCGAGCCCAAAGAAATGAAGAATGTGCCTTCAAAATTGTAGTTTATACTTATATATGCGCTTGTTTACCAATTCTTCTCTATTTTGTTTAAAGCAATTTGGAATTGAAATGAAATATGAAATCTGTTCGTATTCGAGCGCTTTATAATTTCGGCAATTGGTTTTCATTAAGTCAGAAATTTAAAGAAATAAATATAATGACAGTAGAATGTGCTCCAAACTTTCTCATTTACTTGATCTTTTTTCCTAATCTTATTTTTCTCTTTGTCTTTTTACCTTTTAATCGCAACGATGTTATGGTATATATAATGATGCCATTATATTTATCTGTAAAAAAGTGCCCATGAGTTTCTATGCCCTTTCTTCTCATAAGGCTCAACCCCTTAGAAAGTAGCGGTTGTGGATCGGCACAGGCATGTCATAAATCATGAGCATAATTTTTACAAAAAAAAATCCGTACTATTTGACAAAACAGAGATTGTTGCTATAGTGTCTGTGTTGATCTACGAATTACTACTCGTAAGAGATCTACATAAAAAACGATTTCAACCAATTTATTTTTTGATGAAATACAGATATTTTGAATTTGTTAAAAAGCTTTTCATTTTTAGGAAACTATGAAAATAATGGGTCTTCCCACCTGGTTACATTGGACTGCGTGGTTTTGCAAACAATTTATTTTTCAACTAGTAATAGCAATCGTCATGATTATATTCCTGAAGGTGACTGTGACCATTATCCGTAATTAAAACTGGAAGCTTGAAAACTTAAGTACATTGGAATAGAAAAAGCTTTATGCCACACTAAAAACAAAATGCGTAATGCGTAGTGTTTGGTTTAAAGTAGTTTTGGTTACCAGAAAACCTGATCATGATCCATAAATAGTAGATAATTGTCGTATTTCGTGTATATCATGTCTAGTAACGTTTAATTATACATAAAACATTGTCGCTAGACACTTTAGGTCTCAAGCTACATGTACGTAGCAGACTCAACTTGTCAGACTCACTCAGTACTCAGTAGTAGTAGTAGATTTTTAATCTGTAGTTTAATTCGGTACTTACTACAGCGCCGCCTCTCATCTTTTATTCTCAGGTTAAGATGTACGTAATGGTCCTAAAGTAGAGGAGCCCGTGATTGCCACTACTAGACCAGCCGAAGATCTGGCGATCATAGGTTACAGTAACTGACTGCAAATAACTGACGCCGTTAGGCTACGCTACGTTATACTTATCATCTTCACCTTTGGGAACTGTCCAGATATAAAATTATTTATTACGTGTCGTAAGTTTTGGAGTACATTTTATCATAATTAATAACTTACATTAACTTTTAGGTGCACTGGTTTACAAACGAAGAAGGTTATGATAATTACGCTGCATTTACTCACACACCATGGAGTGTACTGTTCTTCTTTTTATTACTTTATTTATGTTGCATGATATTTTTCTGCTTTATGATGAGTGGTTTTTTTTCAAAGGGTATGTTTTGTTTTTTGTTTACGTCATTTAAATATAGGTTTAAATATGACTTTTAAATACGCACTATTGGTTTAAATGCGAATGTAATATTTTCAACTACTTAACCGATCGTTTTGAAGTTTTGCATATATTGTCAGAGGTTATACAGAGTTCATTTTACCTAGCAAAGTTTTTGTTTTCGATAGACACGATTGAAAAAGATTATTAATAATATTAATCTTCTTCCTGCAAACGTGAACAGTCATATCATAGAAAAAGGAAATAAAACTACCATACGAGTATACTATAGATGTATTTAGCATAACAATGTTAACTATTTCTTTCATCATCATCATCAACAGCCTTTAGCAGTCCACTGCTGGACATACGCCTCTCTTTTGAAGGGAGGTTTTATTTTTTATTTTGTTAATATTATCATATTGTACCTTTTACTATCAGATTACTATGCAGATTAAGACTGCAGAGTGTCATCATCTCTAATTATCCCGTGGGTATCGTAAGAGCCGACTAAGGAAGCAAATTACGCAGGACAACTGCACTGCAAAGAGAAGAAAAACTTGAAACAAACCCTATACCAACCCGTCTGGCCAGCGATGTATAGTAGGTTAAAACCTCCTTTATAAGGAGAGGCATATGTCCAGCTGTGGACTACTAAAGGCTGTTGATGATGATGATCTTTGTTACTATGCCGAATATACTTTTACTTTTCCGAAATCTATGAAACATAATCCTATGACTATTACTTCTTATAAAAAAGTAGTTCCAATAAAATCTTTTCAGGTTTACAACTTTCATATTAATTTATGTTGTAGGTAGCTCAGCGGCTTTATTTACTGGCGTGATCTGGTTCCTATCATATATGCCTGCGTACTTACTGACTTCCGAAATTGATATTTCAACTACTGCACAAATTTTTAGTTGCCTCATTGTCAATACTGCAATGGCTTTCGGTTTCCAACTGCTTCTATCCCATGAATGTACTGGAGGTAAGTCGAATATATTTTTCCATTTTTCTTTTTCATGCTCCACTGGTCAGTCGTTTTTTTTGTGGAAAAACACCCTCGAGTACTGTCGAAGTGATTACGTCATAATAAAATCGATTTTCTATCAACGTCTGTAATCGGCGTACTCGTATATGTAAGCATGTGGGGTATACTTGATACGCCAGTAGTAAGGAAGGAACTATCTAATTTCTAGTCTGTTGTTTTATATATTATCATGTTTACCTAGTCATTGCATTCATTCTTAATGAAACAAAGGAAAATATTAATGCAATGAAAAGGGCAAGATGATGATAAATTATAGCTTCAATAAATTTTGTCATTACTGGAGAGTGAACGCTAAACTAATGGTCAATTTATACTAAAGTGGACACCTGTTATTTGCTTTTATGATAATGTCCATGACATATGATCTAGTCAGAGAAATATGATTACGACGAAATATGATTTATTTATTTATTTATACTTCCTGCAAATACATTGCATAAGGCGGACTTAATGCCATAGGCATTTTCTTCCAGTCCACCTTGGGGTGATGCAGAGATTTGTGTATGGCAGGTATATAATGAGATAAATTATTTAAATTGTAGTAGGTTGCAAGATGGATACATATATAAATGCAGATATCATTTATACGTACTATATAATACTATAAATATTTAAAAAAAACATGAAAAAAACATGATAACGATGTAATTAGGGAGCCCTGATTCGGGACAAACGGGCCTGCTCGACTGGAGTGATACCCTCATAGAAAACCGGTGTCAAGCAACCTTTCGATGTTTTTTATCGAGTGGGTGAGATTACCGGATCCCAAACCCCGGAGGTTTAGTCAGAGAGTGGCAATGCACCTGTGACACTTTGAGTTGAAGGTGCCAGTTACCATCAGGTGACTCGTCCGTCCGCTTGCCCCTTTATACCAAAATAAAAACGACATTATCTTTGAAGTTATAAAAGCCCTCCCCCACCACTCCCCCATCCCCATTAGTGGTCCACGCATATCGAAATAACCTAGAATACTTTAATGTTAGTTAACAACTCCTTACATCTGTAGGTCTGCAGTGGGGACAATTTATGTCATCGCCAGCTACGGAGTCATCACGTTTCATGTTTGGTCATGTGGTTTTGATGTTATTTGTAAACTGTGTGCTATACATGCTGGTTACCTTGTACCTCGAGCAAGTATCTCCAGGACCATTTGGCGCACCTCGACCCTGGTACTTTCCCATCCAATCGGAGTTCTGGTGTCCCGCTAGGAAATCTGGTAATTATCCTTTTCTTAATTGGTTTTATACACTCAGATGCCCTCGAAAGTGCTCGTGATTAGTTGTGTTAAAAAAAGCCTCTCCTATTAGACCACCAAACTTATAAAAATATTTAATTCCAAAAGGTTTATACTACTCAGTCATTCATCATCATTACTACAAAGTTTTGATTTTTCCATCAGCGTCCTATAGAAAGGAATCTAGTCAAGTTACTTAAGACCCTGATCGATAGTGGCATGAAATTAATAAAAATGTTTTCACTAAGGATTGTCTGCTTTTTGTCGCTTCTTGTGAAATGATAAGTATACCTTCACTACCTCTTTCATAAATTAAGATAATGTGTTTGTGTGTTTAATATTAAAATAGGTCTAAAAACAACTGCAGAGCCTAATGTCGCAGAAAATGTGACTGAGCGAAGAAGTAAGCTTCCCGTACCTCCGAAGCTCGCTAAGTTTTTTGCCTCCATCCACCAAGTGTACCAATCAAGTAAGTATTTGCAGTTATAAAAATGAATAAAAATAGTTATAAAAAGTTAGAATTAAATATAAAAATTAATAAATAGAAAAATAGTTTAGGACTTTATGTATTCTTTTAATAATTATGCTTTTGTAAAATTTTAATTGTTTATTATTAAAGTGTAAAATAAAAGTAACCCCTTATTTATTGTGCAATCGTCTTTTCAAAACATTGTTGTTTCGTTCATGTACCGTTCTCAGTAATACAATATGTTTATATTGTTACCAGTACTTACAAAGATTTCAAAAGATACTACACATCATAATATCACCGATTATGAAGTTATACATGAAAAAGATCCTGAAAATCATACTATTGGAGTAAGATTGGAAGTAAGCAAGTTTTCATAATACTACAGAACGACTCCAGAATTCGATTTGACCTATTCAATTGTACTTTTACGTTTTATTTTGAACAATTATTTGTTCTTCAGAACTAATATTTTTTCATCTTTAAAACAATGGTCACCTATTCAAAAGTAGGTACAACATAGATAGGTATGTTTCCAACTCTATGTAGCATTGTGAATAAAGTTGTGATGGGGATCGCGCAAGGATCTTTTGTACATGAAAATTAAATTAACTTGTTTCCTGCCTACAGAATTTAACCAAAGCATATGGAGATCAAATAGCTGTTAATAATTTGAATTTAAACATTTATAATGATCAAATAACAGTACTTTTGGGACACAATGGAGCTGGAAAAACGACTACTATATCTATGCTTACAGGTTTGCGAACGTTAGATCAATTGGTACTAAACAGTTTTGTTGCTGTATTGCAACTAAGTCGCATACTTCTAAAGTACAAAATAAATAGAAGCATAAAGCATATAGAGTATTTCAAATTCAAATGATTCACAAATTGTTGTTCTGAGTCTGGGTGTTCTTTGTGTCCGTTTCTTTTTTTAACAAAAAAAAAACAAAACAAAACAAAAAAATACCCTAAATTTATTGACATACTATTTTAATCCTTAAGATTTGTATAATTATGTAGATCTATAATTTTAATTCCCACCAAACTCGCAAAATGCTTAAAGGTTCACATTCAGTCGCTGTTACATACTTTTTTTGCCAATAAACATTCAATGTACAACTTTAAAGCTTAAATGTTTTATTTAGTCAAATTTTTGGCAATCGTTCCAGCGAATACTCATTAAGTCTGTGAAACGAGTTACATTGTGAGTGAAAATTCCTAACGCAATCCAATAATCTGCTGGCAATTTCGTTATGAGTTTCCTGACTCTTTCGGACTATTAAATATAATCTATGATTAGCACTTTAGTTTACGAAACTTTATAATTAGACTTACGACAATATATAATTAGACTTAGATTAAAATCAGGGAGAATTGCATCTGTTGTGATCTTTTAATAATATCAGTAGAGGGAGAAAGGTTCTCGGTAGCTGCTAATTTTTTAAACTTAGTCATTTATATTTCAGGTAATACAGAAGCGACGTTCGGCACAGTAAACGTGGTTGGGTACGATATGAGCACACAAGCTGCAAACGCACGTTCACATATCGGTCTGTGTGCACAACACAATGTGCTCTTTGATGAATTGACTGTAAGGGAGCACTTGGAGTTTTTTTTCAAGGCTGAAAGGTCTTACTGGTGCAGACCTAAGGACAGACATAGACACTCTCATCAAGAAACTAGAACTTGAGCCAAAGGTTAGTGACGGTTAGCTGAGTCATGGGATTGTGTTATTCAATTTTTGTCTTTAATCGCGGTTATTATTTTTAACTGTAGCGAGATTATCCATCCAAAGGATTATCTGGCGGTCAAAAGCGTCGATTATGTGTTGGTATTGCACTAAGTGGACAAGCAAAGGTGGTACTTTTAGACGAACCCACGTCTGGCATGGATCCTGCTTCTAGACGCGGCCTGTGGGAGTTACTACAAAAGGAAAAATACGGTAAATAATATCTAAGGTTTATCATTGCTATCAGGCGCTTTAGTGGCCTAAATATAGTTCACACAAATGACTGTGGAGAAACATACCTCGTTTTTAAGTTTCCATTATTGCCATCTGCCTGTAATTCAATGACATTTTTTTTTAGAAAGCGAGGAAGTATCAAATAGATAAATAACATTGAAAACTTATGTTTGAGGACAAGCTTCTAAATAAACATTATTAAAATCGTAAAACATGTTTTTTCCTGTACCTAAGGTCTGGTCTGTTTCCTAATAAACCAACCTAGTGTGTCGCACCTTCTTTTATTTTGTTTCTTGCATTTTTGTATGTGTGCTAGTGCTCGAAGACAATCATTACTTTGCTCACTTGCTTTTGTACGTGTGTGTGTGTTCAAAACAATTTTAACATTTTATTTACTTTTAAATATATCTGTTCAATTAGGGCGCTCTATTATACTTACTACCCATTTTATGGACGAAGCAGACATTCTGGGCGATAGAGTAGCCATATTGGCACAAGGTAAACTACAATGTGTGGGAACCCCATTTTTCCTAAAACGTCACTACGGAGTGGGATACTCTCTTGTCGTAGTAAAGGACGATGGCTTTGATACCGAACGTTGCACTGCACTTATCGATAAATACATTCCCGGCACTGTTGTCAAAGAAGACAGAGGTGAGTTATCTTAAACAAAATTTCTTAGGCTAGCGTTACCGTCCCATGAGCGTAAGGTAGTGAAAAAGTAATGAATAGTGAAAAAAAAATTCATTATAATAATAAATTATATATCACACATCTCACACACGGCCGTCTGATCCCAAACTAGGCAGAGCCTGTACTATGGTAACCAGACTGCTGATAAACATACTTATATATTTCTAAATACATACATATTATAGATTCATTACACCCAGACACAGAACAAATGACCGTGCTCATCACACAATATTTGTCCTGGGTGGGAATCGAACCCACGACCTCCTGTTTAGCAGTCAGGGTCACTAACTACTAAACCAACAGGCCCGTCAAAACATTCACTATTCATTACTTTTCTATTATACTAAAGTTGCTGTAGTAACAAAACGGCCAAGCCACAAATTTTGACTAAGCTGTAGAGATTGTGAATTAGGGGTTGTAGAGTTGAGGCGTGTAGAGTTAGAAGTTAGGCACTACATGAGATCTGATAACTTTTTGACAGTCCGATCCGGTCCGACAGACCATTTTCATTAAAATGTTTTTCAATATTTCTGGGAATAAAAAGGAAGTGCATCTATGCGCTCTCACAAAGAAAAACAATGAATATCTAGTGTTTTTATTTTACCTACATATTTAATTAAGTATTATGTACTTTTTAGTATAGAAGGAACTCGTGATCTAGCTTTTCTGTTTTTTTAATGTCTGAGCAAAGAATAAAAGCGTCTATTGCTCTTTTAGTGGGTAGGACTCATGCTGCGTGGGGAGGAGAAAATTTAAATACTTTTAATTTTTTAGGCTCCGAAGTAACTTACAGTTTACCAAATGAATTCTCTAATAAGTTTGAAAATATGCTGAACGATTTAGAACGTAATGCTGAAAGCATAAAATTCAAGAATTATGGCTTGTCCGCGACTACACTTGAAGATGTATTCATGACGTGAGCTTCTTATAACTATTTATTTAAAGCAGGTCTTATAGTAAACTACGGTGGTGAACAAAAGATAATTTACATATTTTTTTATTATATTTTATTCCTACATCTACAATTTAACGGCGTAGGCATTTTCTACCAGAATAGTGGAAAATGACTACTACATTAAGTGAGTGTATCTTTTAGCTACTCAAGTTTAATAGTTGTAAATGACGCTGTTAAGTACAAAATCTGTAACTTTTATAAAATTAAAATTTTAAATGAAAAAATTCAAAGTAACTACAATGCGCTCCTATAAAAATTCTGTTTTTTTTATTCATTTGCACTGCATACTGCGTATTAGGTAAATAGGCTGACTTTTCATTGTATAGGAAGCAAACGAGCAGATGAGTCACCTGATGGCAAGTGACTACCGCCCGCTTCGCCCCCACATACAGAGGTTTAGGTAACGGTAACAGTGTCGAGAGTTCAATTGTTTTTCCCATCTCAAAAAACGCCCAACGCGCCTAAAGAAATTTTCACTTCAAAAAAATAATAGGTAGTACAAGTGTACTATTAATAATTATACATTTCAGATTTTTTTTCCATATTATGTTAGTAATAATTTGCTTAAATACTAATGTTAGTATAAAATATAAATACAATTACAAGCTAAGCTTTAACCTAAGCCTCACACATATTTTCTTAATAGGTACATAAATATCGTCTCACTTGTAACAGTACAAAAGTTACTCTTCAGATTCTCACTTTTTGTTTTACCAAAGAACGCGCTGAAGCCACAGCATTTTAATTCTGTACCTGTAATTTTAATAAGTATGCAGAACTGTTTTCCCAGGAAAAAAAATCTATATAGGAACACCCTGCTATTGTAATAATCATGTAATAAAAATGTAATATCAAAATAATAAGTAATTCAAAAAGAAAACTTGACAAAATCTCTAGAAGACAGTTTATATTGTGCTTCATTTAGAAAACCTTCCACGTAGTCGTTTTTTGCAGTCAATCGAGATGTTTAGTCATCTGTTGACAAATATGCCTTACTTTCAGCGTTGGCGCTGATTTAGCACCTGTTACTGTGAATAAAAAGACTGAAACTGCAGATCGATGTCCCACGCCCGCTTCCACAGCATCTGCTAATACCGATGAAGCTTATACCAATGAAATCGATCGAGCTTTAGCACAATGTAAGTACTTCTTGCATGCATTGGAATGATTTGCAATTTCCAATTGGTTATTTATACAGATACTTGTATAACAAGTAGTTAAGTCAGACCTTGACGTGTTATCTTAAGCTTTTTATTAAACCAATCATAACTAATTGAGGATTTTTTATTCGACAGTGGATAAACCTGAAAGTTCTGTCAAAGGAAACGATCTTATCAAACAGCGTGTGCGAGCGGTGTGGCTTAAGCTAATATTAGTCTGGAGTCGCTCATGGTGGCATGTTTTGCTGCAGTTTATGGCACCTATTATATTACTGAACGTGTCACTAGGAATTCTGCAGTATATTTTATCACTGGTCCCAACTATTAAAAAGAGGTTGCTAACACTTAGTTCGGGGTACGTGGACCAAACTCTTCTTTAATACATTTAATTTTTCCGTAATTCTAACGTGTACAAAACCTATAACAATCTAATTCAGAGATGGCACAATTTTAAAATGAAATAATGAAAACCGAAGGAATGTGGCGAGCCCTTGCAGACAGGTTCTGAAAGATATTTTACCGACGAGATTGACAGTTTTTTTTTTTATATGGGGGAAAACGATCACTGATCTGACTGCCCATTCAGAGAAACAATTTTCAAGTATGAAATATATGTGAGCCTAGAATCTGTCACCCCCTTTGACTAAGACGATTCTGGTGTAAATGTCTAGGTATCATGAAACCGAAACTTTGCTGAGTTACGACGGTGATTCGGCTTCAATTCAGGCTGCAGAAGCTTATAAAAATATCTTTGAAAGTTCTAAAGTGAAGGGAATGAAACTAACTACGATTGGCAATACACCGATACAAGAATACTACTTGAAGAGAGTAAGCCCCAATAAAATAGTTCAATTAGTAGTTATTTAAGTGCTGATGTGGTGCCGAATTTCATCCCGAGGGTGTCGTAAGAGACGACTAAGGAAGCAAACTACGCAGGACAACAGCACTGCAGAGAGAAGGAAAACTTGACACAAACCCTTTACCAACCCGTCTGGCCAGCGTGGTATAGTAGGCCAAAACCTCCTTTCTAAGGAGAGGCCTATGTCCAGCAGTGGACTAGTAAAGGCTGTTGATGATGATGATGATGGCACAATTTGAAAAAGCAATTGGTACTTATGACTTGGTGCCAAAAATATATCTTTCTTATTATATTTTATGAACATCATCTAAAACAAGCTGACTCGTTAAATAATGTATAAGAAATCATTTTAACATATCGCTAATAAAGAATTTTTTTGCCGTGAATACAGGACATTGTTCGTAATTTGTTAACCAGCGAATAGTGTAAACGCGAATACGGGAAACTTGATTCAGGAACTTTTACATTCCGTAAAAAATCAAGCTTGGGTATCTTGCTGATGCATTTAAATAATATTTTTAAGCAGAAATAGGTATATTAGCCTCTCAAACACTGCACTCAGAAATCAATAGTGAAATCAATATTTAAACCCAAAGCTTAGGCTCATACCTTAGTTCTGTATCTGCAGTAATGTTTAAAGAAAATATTTGTAATTAAATAAAACAAACGCAAAGAAACAAAATGATAAGTCATTCATCTAGGTTACAAAATTACTACAAATATTAGAAGTGCTATACTAAGTGCTAGCTTAGCAAAGCAATAAGTAGAGTCAGCAAAAGTTGTATCTACCAAACCTATATTATAAAATAAGATGAATGAACAAGTGCAATATAAATTCTGGTATTACTTAATTCAAAACATTCACCCTACGATTACTTTTCAGACAAATGACCCTATGGTCATGGCATCATTACGACACACGCTGTTAATTGGTTCAACATTCACGGAAAATACTGTGACTGCCCATTTCAGCAACTTTGGGTATCATGATGTGGCGGTATCTCTGGCTGCAGTACATATGGCTTTACTAAAAGCATATATCCCTGATGCAAAACTCACCGTATACAATCACCCAATGAAAGCGAATTATGAAGATCAAGTGAGTTTATTTTGGCCTGGAACTACGCCCAGTGCAATCGGTTTGACACGTCAACTAAAGTCTTTTTTGCAATATACCGGGTGATATTGAACTTCTTTTCAAAATATGTATTATCACATCAACAGCCTTTAAAAGTCCGTTGCTGGATATAAGCTTCTCATTACAAGGAGCCACGCTGACCAGACGGGTTGGTATAGGGTTTGTGTCAAGTTTTCCTTCTCTTTGCAATGCTGATGTCATTTTCGGTAGTTCGGTCCCTTAGTCGGCTCTTACGACAACAACGAGATTAATAAGAGTGGTGACACTCCGTATTCTTAATCCGTCGCCACACGGATAATATATGTATAAGGTTTTATTTCGTATGATTATTACATTATCTCATATTTACCATTGTTATAATCACATTTATAAAAGAAACCTTGGACGTAAGACAATATTAACTCCATGGCTTAACTTTCAGACAGATCTGCAGATGATGATCAGCTTAATCTCCATGCAACTCTCTACTGGTATTGGTAGCAGCGTTGCTGCCATGACCGCTGTGTACATTATGTTCTACATCAAGGTATTTCAACAGGCCACTATGTTATTAGCTTAATATGTACATATAAATAAATATGTAACGGAATCTTCGAACGTGATTTTGACCCACTTCAACACGTCTAATAAAATTGAAACGTCGTACATTTTGGTATTGGTTGGTAGTGGGCTTCGGTTTCCGCATTTAGACTCAAGAGTGGTCCTTTATGCATCGAGGACTAGTTAGTGGTGAGCCAACCAAGCTCCTTCCAGAAGCGCAGAAGCCTCCTGGGGCGTTCACAATTCTTCGTACATTTATCAAGGACCGATGACAATACAATAATTTAATAAATTTGGCCGGCTATCCTGATCAGGATCTTCAGGGTTAACGGCTTTACGGCTTTTTCCGTAGCTAAAAATATGGCAGTGTCTTTTGCTACGTACTAAAAGACGTGTGCTGAACCATATGTGACTTACAGACTTACCTACTTGTTTCCTTTTAAGTCTTAATGAGAAAATAATGATCATTAATGACTAAAAAAGCAAAAAAAAAGTTATAGTTTAATAATATTAAAAAACACACTTTTGTAACTAGCCGAACTAACAGAGTAGAAAATAATTTTCTATGTTAAAAAAAAAATATTTATCCTGTAAACTTTTCAAGATATTTTATGCTATAATAACTTTACTTTTTTCAATATCTGTCAGTAAAATATTTATACAACAATTGGGATCTAGCACCCCACGGTTTTTTACGATGTATTTTTTTGAACTTATATAGTCTTTACCTATGAAATTGCCGTTTTGTATGCAATAAGTGAAAGTACTTATTTTTTCAAACTTTTTTATTTCTGTTATTCGAAGTAATCACCCATGCAATCGACGCATCTTTGCCAACGCATTGGCAGTTTATTGATGCCCTTCTTGTAAAAATCAGCTGGACGGGAGGCAACAAACTCTTCAAAGGCATTTTGTACTGCCTCTCGGGAATTGAATTTTTTACCCACTAAAAAGTTGTCTAAATTTTGGAAAAAGTAATAGTCGGTGGCCTATAAAATTTAATTTTGCTTAGTTTTAAACTTTAATGCAAGTAACAAACGACTTTTGCAGGAACGCGTTTCAGGTGCGAAGCTGCTTCAGAAATCTTCTGGCCTTCAACCAGCTGTGATGTGGGGTAGCGCTGCAGTTTTCGACTGGATTTGGTTCCTTTTCATCTCCCTTCCTATTATCATCTCCTGTGCAAGTTTTGACATTGCTGGACTCTCTACGGCAGCCGATCTATGTAAGTTTAAAGATTTAGGAATTTAGTACTTATGTGATTTCTTTGTAGAACACATATTTTTAAGAATAGGGGGAAGTCCCCTAGTGCCGGACACATAAGGTTTTCAGGAAATAAAATTAAAACTACATCGAGAAATATGTATTTATTTATGAATTACTTAAATTAACAAAACATAAAATCAAAATCAAATAACAAAAATACAAATTCTGCGTAAACATAGTTTAGGAATGTTAAATAAGTTTTGGTAAAAAAATAAAGGACTTTGACATTGGCACCTAGTGCCGGACGGGTTAATCTTCAAACCCCAAGCGCCGGACATTCTAAAACTTTTAGCATCTATCACATATGTAGGCACCTCCACATTCTGGAACGTCTGCACATGCTTCATGAGCCCATTATTGGCATCTGGAGCATTGTATTCAGTCCTCGTCGTGGTCTTCTAAACACACTACACAAGTCGTTTTTTCTATATTTGATACTTCAGTTAACGGCTCCTTTTTGTTGTCGTTATTGCCACGTTTGGTTTGTTTACTCATGGGGAATCTTCATAGCTTCAGCCAAGTCGTAAGCTAACTTCAAAAACTCGTTTTTCATCAGGGGCAGACATCTATTAGACAAATCTCTTATGTGGTCCACTAAAACTTGCTCATACTCGGGTGAGAAGGTTTTTGTGACTCTACCAACTTTTGGTTGCAACGTGACTTCTTTTCCACTGCTCAATGTCGTTATTTTATCATGTAGAGTACTTTTTGGAACATTGTAACGTGACGAGGGCAGCTTCGTCACGTTACTCACAACACACACAAACTCATTTTTTTGGATAACGTTTGTCAAAATAGTATGAGTGTCCGGCGCTAGGTGCCGTCCGGCGCTACGGGACTTCCCCCTACCTATATGAATCCACCACATAGTACGGATTCTGACAGTACTGCCAAGCCTTATAAATTCTGTGACTCGAATCTAAAAAATCACTATATCAAAAGACCATATAAGTCGCTTAAGCTGATCATATCAGAGGCGGATTCAAAGTTGTGTTTGGGGTGTATAATAAAACTTTATCTAAAAAGTTTAATTCAATATTTACTAGAATCATATTGTCAAATTGCGAAATATATACCCATTATCTTGGGTAGTGCTCTACTCTCTAATTTAACTGTATCAGGAATTACTTTGACTTTTGAAGATGATAATTATTAAAATAACATATTGATGACATTGCCAGTCTGAATTCACTAAGACACCAGTTATGGTATTTTCGGTTCATATTACTACACACTCAGAGTATGGTGTCAAAATACGATCAGTTTTCTAGTCCTGAATACATTCGTGGTAATTTATTGCATTTGGTGTAAAATACTGCAGTTCTCATTAGGTGCAGATAATATATATTTTTTAGAAAATACTAGCTGTACCCTGCCACGCTTCATTGAGGCACATTGTGGTCGTATTGATGTGAAATCTGAAAAACAAAACTGACTCGAAAAATAGACAACATCATTTTTAAAGCGGTTTCTTTGTATTTCGTGCCAAATTTTTAGCTCAATCACTGAGCCCATTTTCACATTTTCATATTATGTAGATAAATAATTACATAATTGGTCTCACAATTACTGGTTTTATTTCATAGCTCGGCTTTTTCTATGCATGATACTATATGGTGCCGCCAGCACACCACTCACATATTTGCTATCGAACGTGTTTAACGGTCCCGCCCTTGGATTCGTCAGTTACTTCTTCTTGAACGTCCTATTAGGTAAGTAATTAAATGTTTATTTTCAAATAATATCTATTATATAACATTTTAACGCCTTTAAGCTGGTGAACTAATTAATCAAAATGAGAGAAAGGCATTAATAAGTATTGTAACAGAAATAAACAAGTGTGCTCGCACCTCAATTGCAGGAGCAGGATTACTGTAGGAACAGTAATATACGAAACGTACTCTCTCTCTTTCTATCTTCACTAATTTATATCTCCCTCTCAACCTACTTTCGCCTCGCCCGATCACACTCTTCGTATCGCTCTCGTCACGCATTCACCAGCTTACTCCCCAAGTCAAGCGTGCGTAAAGAAGTTTTACGATGGCGAGAATCGTACGTATAGTTATTGTCGAGAGACACTGCGATTAGGATACTACAGAATCACAGAAAAACATAATAGCTACTAGGGACCATCGAAATACCTAACGCTTAAAATTTAAACCCATTCTACAAGTTTTCTGACAAACCGTTTACACTGCAAGTTATGGCACTGCACGTCTATAGAATGCATTGCTAGAAGCTGTTAAACGAGAAGTACTGATAACTCTACATAAATAATATAAAACTCTAATTACATCTATATTATTGCATCAATTAGGAATGTTGGGTTCACAAGTAGTGGAAACCCTTATGTCACCGGAACTAAAAACCAGAGCGACGGCGGAAAATATGGATAGTATTCTGCAAATGTACCCTCTATACAGCCTCGTTACTTCTATTAGGTAAACGTATGGTTTCTTATAAATTCATAATTAAAAATTATTTTTCATTACCTAACAAATTTGCCTGTAAAACAATTATTAATTTAATTTAAAATCTTAGTTATGTACAAGCATGTTTTATAAGAAAAATAATTCTTTACTTTTCATAACTGTTGCCTCACATCCTCTGCATTGACTTACGACAGACAAAACCTCCTACTACAGTCGATATGAAAATCACAACAAAATGTAAAAAAATATATGTTATTTTCTAAATGTCCTGTCCTTAAAGACAGATGTATAGTATCGACATAACTGGCACTTTGTTGTTTTTTTTTTTTGTTCAATACCTTAAATAATACAATAGGAATATTTATATTAAGATTATTTTAGTATTTCTTACAGAAGCAATATCTATTTACATTTCTACAGGTATATGAACCAGATTGGACTACGTAAAAGAAGTTGTTTTCAAATGTGCAACTACTATGAAGTTTTTTACCCTACATTTAAGTGCAACATGAAAGAGTTGTGCAAGTTAGACGAGTCCTGCTGTAGTAATTATCTTTGTAATGATCATACTCTATCCTCTAAGATTAACACATTCACGGACAGTCGAGAGACGTAAATTATGACCCCTCATAATATGGCATTACGGCTGTAGGCGCCGATTTAAAATATACCAAAAGGAGAACTCCGGCAACGGCCGACTATTTTCTATAGTATTTATAGGTAGGATATGACTCTGTGCCGTTTTAGGCAATAATAAAAAGCGCTAGTGTCACAGCAAACACTCCTGCGCATGCACACAAGTTACCTCTGTCACGCACCCAATGAAACAATACGTGTTGTGAGACTACGTTTGTAGCCGGACGATTTACATACAAATTCGACCGACCAGTCCTCGCGTGCCACAGCAGGAGTCAGGGCGAGCGTCGTGCTCCGGCATGATGCCGTATCACGATTTTTGGTGAACGAAAGAAGATTGTTATGTTTGATTTCAAGAGATAAATAAAGATTATTTTCGATTATTACAGATATTTTGAATTAATACCCTGACTTGCCTGTGGCCCTTGTTAATATAACACATCTATTGTAGTACGCTTGGTGAGGCAGTTTGTGTGTAGACGGTCAACCCTTTAGCCGTAATGCCACAACACGCTACTAGAACCTTACTTGATATGACAATTCGTCTGTTGACGATTTTGTCTGTGGCCGTTAGTGCCGTAACACTCTGTTTAAAATTCACTTGGTTTGAATGTCCGCCTACAGGCGTTTACGTCTCTGACCGTTACTGCCGCAACGCGTACTTTTAAAACAGAGTAATGTAGCAATCCGCCCCCAGACGTGTAGCCACGTTATATGGAAAGTTTGTGTCATATCAGAAACTAGCTGATCCGCGCAACTTTGTCTGCGTCTCTCAATAGTAATAAATTTTCTCCGTTTTTGAAACATTCTTCATTGGTGCTCCGCTCCTATTGGTCTTAGCGTGATGATATATAGCCTATAGCCTTCCTCGATAAATGGGCTATCTAAAACTGAAAGAATTTTTCAAATCGGACCAGTAGTTCCTGAGATTAGCGCGTTCAAACAAACAAACAAACAAACAAACAAACAAACTCTTCAGCTTTATAATATTAGTATAGATTATTGAGAATGTTTTTATGACCGTGAACGTGTTAAATCGGATTAACATCAATTCATAAGAGTATCGAACAGCACTTTTAAGAGGATTGAAATAATTTAATGCTAACTTTTGAATTATAGTTTCTGAAAACGAACAATTCAAATGGGGCGAGCCGGGTATACTGCGATATCTAGTACTTTTAATGATGACCTGCGTCTTATTCTGGGTCTTGCTCATGGTTGTAGAATACGGAATCTTAAAACGGGTAATGTTCACAATGTATATTTTATCGTTTATTTTTAACAGTAGTTATTGGACATCGATTATTTCACTAGACTCGAGACGTGGGGAGAGCCGTACTGCCGAAGCACGGCTCTCAGAATAAATGGGCAGGCCGGACCGGAGGGATATCACCGGTTTTCTGTAAAGCGGTTGTTAAGCAATTCTTTCGTTGCTTTTCACAGAGTAAGTGAGGTTACCGGAGTTCAAATTCTCCTTCCCTGTGTGTAGTGTAAGTTTATCACGACGACTCGCTCTCGACTTCGAGCGCGTATGGCGTTGTGATTGGGGGAGATTTCAGTGCGGGCCAATCGCAGCGCCGAACGTGGTCACCGTGACGATTGAGGAGATGTGAATAAACTCACACTTGGGCCTCTGATTTTAGGAAAAGGGACTCAAATGGCGGTAACACGCTTGTGACTCTTGAGTTGTAGGTGTCCGTGAGCGGCGGTAGTTACTTACCATCAGGTGACCAGGTGCTTATTTGCCCCCCTAATACCATAAAAAAAGTTGTATAAGTTGAATGTTGTGGTAAAAAGAGGAGTAGGTATTATATACTCAATCAAATCATTACTTTATTATTATATCTCGAAAGACTTATGCCCTCGAAAGACAATCCAGAATCCTTCATCAATCATGGGCCGCTTAAGATAGTATTGAATACCAAAGGCCTGTGACCTTTTTCTACTAGTGATCGAGCCAAAAGGATTGAGATGATAAATTAATTTTCAGCCACTAATCAAGCGTCGGGTTTAGAGCTACATTTCTATTTTCTAGCGATGACTAAAATTGACCACCAGTTTTTTTTTTATGGAAAAGGGGGCAAACAAATAGATGGGTCACCTGATAGAAAAAGACTACCGCTACCCATGAACGCCTGCAACCCAGGAGTCACAAGCGCGTTGCCGGCTTTTTAGGAAGGAGTACTCTTTCCTTGTAGGTTTGTAAGTCGTATCGGTCCGGAAATACCTTATGTGATAACTTGTTCCACAGGTTAGTTGTGCGATTCCTGGTGTTAGTCCGAACAATTCCTCGGAGCACTATTCATAATATATACGATAAAGAATGCAGAGTGAAGCTACATCTCTACGTAATGCCAACGGTTCGAACCGTTCTGAGACTCTTTGGATATCGACGATTCGAGTCACTTTTTATGAATGCGGTCTAGAGGAAGAAGCTGGTACTGGGGTGCCCCTGCATAGAGATGAGAACAGTATTCCATAAGCGGCTGGACTTGCGCCTTTTATGGTTGGAGGCGGTGGGCCGAAGTGAAATACTGCTCGATCTGTTTAGCATACCGAGCTTCTTCGAGTCTAATTTGATCTTATCCTCTAAGTGCTCCGAAACTGGACTTAGCTCGATATGTCGATGCCTAAGATTCCGATACTGGCGGAGGCAATTAGGGAGGCGCTCTCAGACCATACGATAGTCAACACCAATCTGAAACCTCTGCTAAGAAAGTTTCAATAGTCGACACAAGTTTGTTTCAACTCTCGATGACGTTTTCCCGAGAAATAATGGGGCGGCCGGTATAAAGGGGATCTCCCGTACGATTATCCGTATAGCAATGGATGCTACTAGTCATTTATAGGCAGAAGAAACAGTGTGGGTGATTAGCACACAGCCTTACGGGACACCAGCATTTACAGATTTCAAGTCGGAAACGATCTTAATGCTTCTGTTTGCAAGGAAACTGGTGACCCAGTTACATAATTTTTCTAAAAGCCTTTAGGAAGGGAGCTTCAGATGAGAGCTTCGCGAGAAATTGGTTTAAAGACTATTCACAGTTCGAACACTAAAACGTTAATCATGTTTTGCTATTATTTAGTTTACTATTAAACATTATTTTCATTTATGTTACATATTTGACAGATATTGACACGCAAGAAAGAACCACCCGCTTTAGACCAGAGCTTACTTGACAATGATGTCATCGCAGAGTCAGAGCGCGCACATAATGTCTACAATTCGAACCGAGCAGACCAAGCTCTGTTTGCCGTAGACCTAACAAAGTATTACAAAACATATCTTGCTGTTAATCAAATCTCTTTCTGTAAGTTTTCTTACAAAATTTTACTCCGTGTTAGTGTAAGTACCTCTTCACAGGAAAAAAACCAGTCAAGTTCGAGTCAAACTCGTGTGCCGAGGGTTCCGTACCTACCCAGATTTTATTTTAAAATTTGTAAGTATCAAAATTTATCTTAATTTTCAACTTTTTTTATTTTTTGGAATTATTCCTTTATTTGTGCTGTAAGAAGTTTCTTTTTGCCAAATTTCGTGATTCTATGTCAACGGGAACTAAAACCTATAGGGTACTTCCAGTTGACCTAGAATTGTCAATTTTGGTTAAATGCAAGGTCTTACAGCACAAGTAAAAAGAAAATTCTGAAAAATAAAAAAAGGTTGAAAATTAAGGTAAATTATTGTACTTTAAAATTATTGTACTAAGTTTTCGCGAAAATCGAAATTTGCCCATATCTTTTTATCGTGTTGACTCAGGACCTTGATTTTTATACACCTAATAGGGACCATAGACCTCAGTATCTGGTATAAATTTTAACCTGCTAGGTCTACCCGTTCCTGAGAAAATCGGTGGTGACACACGGACAGACGGACAAGAAAGTGATCTTATAAGGGTTCCTTTTTACATTTTGACGTACGGAACCCTAAAGAGGCAGAAAAACGTAAAAATCTCATGATAATAGCTTTGTTTACAGACAAACTAATGTGTAAGGTAGTCTTGTTTTAAGTATATTATCAGTGATTACGCAAATAAATTAGATTTAGTATCATTCAGAAGTAATTAGTTTGCATATCAGTCTACCGCTAAATGTCAGATGCAGATAGTTGGTGTTTGATGCCGATGGTAATGCGTAAATTAGAAATTAATGAAAACAGAATATATGAAATTATATGGAATTATTATGGAATATATATATGGAATTATTATTTTTAACTATTCTCTTTTATAGGCACATTGTTCTCTGTGAGTATGGCCTCTCCCCGATTATGTTGAGAGAAGGCTCATGCTTAGTAGGATTTTCTCTGTTAACCAAGTAGAATTACTAAGACTTCTTAGAAGGAGGTTGGGGAGTTTACTAAAATAATGAGTACAACTCTTGAAGCTTACTGCAGGTGTCAATGACGGCGAATGTTTCGGTCTATTGGGTGTAAACGGTGCCGGGAAGACTAGCACTTTTAAGATGCTTATGGGAGAAGAAACTATATCAAGCGGAGAAGCATTTGTCAGCGGACATTCTGTTGAAAAGACAATTTATAAAGTGCATGAAAATATCGGTAAGTGTGAAATAACACACCTAAGATTGATATGGCCATCGCAATAAACGCCCAAATGTATTTTTTTAATAATTGCACTATTCTCACTATTCTGTCTCACTGAGCTGTCTACTTATTAGACACTTCGTACGTCTGCTGATCACTGTTATAATGTTATTTTCACTGCTTGCCTCGTCTTTCTCTCTATGATTCAACTGCGCCTTGTTTATCATTATCTTGCCAATTAACTAAAAACATTTGTAATATCGTTGAAAGAAAATTAACCTATCAAACTATTTGGAGTAATTAAACTACATGTGCTCAGGTTAGTACTTCCGGTGCGAATTTTAGAAAAAGAATATTACTATAAACACGTAAGTTTACTATACATTTAATGCGTAAGAATCAAAACGCTATATGAAGGTATCAATATAGTTTTTATCGGGTATTCTGTGTATATATACACATTCAAATTCATGCTTGCCTGTTCTTGTTTTGCAGGTTACTGCCCGCAATTCGATGCTCTGTTCATGGAACTGACAGGACGCGAAACTCTGCGCGTATTTGCGCTCATGCGGGGCTTTCGTGTTCCCTCTGTCGCGTCTGTCCCCGAAGTATTTGCTCGCGCCCTCGGGTTCCACAAACACCTGGATAAAAAGGTGCTCAATTTCACATACATATAAAGTAAATGGAAAAATCTTTAACAATCATGATTAAGTTACCTCAGTCAAAGATGTGTGAGATGACTTTAAATTACAACTAGCAGACTATTATAATACATTCTCATCTCCTTTCATTGATAAGCAATATCAACGAAAGTGATTAAACAATGAAAGTGCCCATCAACTTCATTTGCGTAGCAAATAACAAAACGCCTCAGTTTCTTTTAGTTATCTCCTCAGTACATAAAAAGAAGGTGTTTTGTACTAACAACATAACTACTAGGGGTTGGATACAAATGCACACCGTGTTTTACACCATGTAGTAAGGTAACAAACCTTCAATTTATAAAAGATACGGATCAAATTATTTACTTAAACTAAACTAGCTAAGTTAGACTTTGAATTGACAGGTATATCAATATTCTGGAGGCACACGGCGCAAGTTAAATACAGCGGTGGCCTTCCTGGGAAAGACGCGGCTGATATTCGTAGACGAGCCTACAACTGGCGTAGACCCCGCTGCAAAAAGACACGTATATAAAGAATTTCTAGTTACATTTTGACTCTTATAACACATGCTGTATGGAATTTTGTTGTCCATAGACAAATGTTCTACTCTAGCCACTGAGGATCTGCAGAAAGTAGTTAATTCAGATATTATTGAGTAAAGTAATGATTAAACTAAATTATAAAAAAAGAATGAAGAAGGAAAAACATTTATTATCGACAACAACAAAAAAGGTGGTAGGTGATTATAATATATGACTAACTTGTAATAAATAAAACGGGTCCGTGTGGTGACGGATTAAGAATACAGAGTCTCACCACCCCTATTCATCCCGTGGGTTTCGTAAGAGCCGAATAAGGGAAAAAACTACGCAGAACAACAGCACTGCAGAGAGAAGGAAAACTTGACACAAACCCTATACCAACCCGTCTGGCCAGCGTGGTATAGTAGGCCAAAACCTCCTTTCTAAGGAGAGGCTTATGTCCAGCAGTGGACTATTAAAAGCTGTTGATGAACTTGTAATAAGTTATTTATCAAATAAATGCTACAGCTTGACATGCAAATATAAATAACACATTCTGAAGTATGTACTATGAAAAACCTCCATGTAAGTTCGTTGTTAAGTGTTAAGCGAGTAGGTTGCAAAGTAAAGCAATCCTAACCAGATCAGTCTATGGATAAGTGAACATTTTTAATAAATTGAAACCCCTCCTCCAAATCTCTTAAGGCCTCTCCTTGTAAAAAAATCAAAGTTCAGCCGTATCGTAGTAGACTTAAAGCCGACCTCAACCTAGTTTGGGCCAAAGGCTCAGAGAAGATACCATTAAAATTTAAGAAACGTTCCTTAAATTTAATGATATCCCGCAAATCCCCCTCCAATCCCCGTAGATGAATAACGGTAGAAGTGATACTTATTGATCCATGAGAATCGAAAAAAGTAACAAAAATTGTGTCTATATAATAAACATTCAACGGGGTTTCAATTGGGGAAAATTAAACACAGTCAAAGCTGCAATTGCAGGTAGATATTTGTAGAGAATCCTGACTATGTAAGTACATCCTGCTGTACTTAGAATACTAACATCTATGTCACGTCGTGCAGGTGTGGCGTGCAGTACGCGGAGTGCAGCGTGCTGGTAGAGGAATAGTGTTGACGTCACACAGTATGGAGGAGTGTGAGGCGCTGTGCTCACGACTCACAATCATGGTCAACGGCCGCTTCCAGTGTATAGGCACTCCACAGCATCTTAAAATTAAATTCTCTCAAGGTATTTTTAGTTTAATTAGTTCTTTGTTGCAGATTTATTATCATTGTTTTTCTACTTATTTTATTATCCTCATGACAAAATGTATGAACAAATATTTTTCCTGTCTAAAATTAAAGTGCAACATAGCAATGACGAATAAAATAATAATAGACTAACAGGATGTTATTCATTGTAAAAATATAAAGCATCACAAATTAGTCCCTTAGAATTGTTTCATATTTCCGTAATAAACTTCACTTAGCTTTCCCATGCAACTAATACGATGAAGTATCTTGGACCTGCTGAATTAAAATAAATTTAAGAACTTGCCAATTGCGCGGCATCAAATTTTTCATGACAGGGACATGATTCAATCGGTAGATACTATTCCAAAATGATCATAGTACTTCAAAAGTGAGGTGCTGAGAAGATAAGTATCCACATCTTAAAACGGAAATTAAGCAAAGGCAATTACATTTTTGGGAAGCTGCCGAGTTTAAAGTTCATTAAGATCCGTCCTTTAATATTTGCTTACACATTTCATAACATATCAATAGCTATACCTGACAGTAACTGCACTTAAAAGTGTACTTGTCTTGACACTTAATTTTATTTTACAGGATTTACACTGACAATAAAATTAAAACTGAAAATAGATGAAAATACTACTCGAGATTCGGCCACCCGTGTAAAAGAATACGTTAATTCCAATTTCAATAATCCAAGATTAATGTAAGTTAAGATTATACTAGTAATTACTAATTTTAAATTGAACAACTACAATGACCTAAAGCCTTCAGATAATCTGTGTTCAATAAATCATGGAGCGTTTGACAGCTGGTAGCGACAGATCCCATTCCATGACCCTCCTAGCGACCGAGTACGATTCTTACCGAAGTGCCCGGCAAAGTCCTGCGTCAGTTGGAAGGAAAGATATCCGTGCTGGCGTCCTGCTCACTTGACGATGACCAGCTAGAGCGCCAAACCAGCACGCACTCCCAATAACAGAATAAAATACAATAAGCTTGTCCCCCCCCCCCCCCCATAATACGTCAGAATTAATATAAGTAAGTTACATACTGGCAAACTCTTTTTGCTCTTTGTTTCAGGGAGGAGTATCAAGACATGCTGACGTACTACCTACCTGATCGAAGCATACCTTGGTCACAGATGTTCGGTATCATGGAGCGCGCTAAACAAGACCTTAATATTGAAGACTATTCAATCGCACAGACCACTCTCGAGCAAATCTTCCTACAGTTTACCAAATATCAGGGACAAGAGCATGAGCATGAAGTAAAAACTGATAAACTATCTGATACTACACAAAAACGCGACCAAGGGACACGAGATAAAAAGCATGATCAACCTGGGCCGTCGCAAAACACATCTAATCGTTAACAAAGACTACCAGATACTAAGAACTATATACATGAAACTGAACCTTATATAAAACAACGTAAACCTCATCCAATCAAAATTTTTCGTGAAAAAAGTTCTTGACCATCTTAATAAATGAACATTGTTAAAAAATGGCTGCTATTTTTATTCTCGATCGCACAAACATCAACTGTGTGAAAGAAAAGCATATTTAGTGTAAGTGTATATTTGTTAGCCGTTATAGCTATACGATGGTCGTGCTCATCACGCAATTACTTGTCCTTGAATCCAACCACTAAACGCCAACAGGGCAGTCAATAGATAGCGTTAAGTTTTTTCTTCGAAAGATTTTACGGTATGTATTCAATTGATTGTCGGAATCAGGTTAACCGGGTAGGTATTCTTGGGTCTAATTTTTTTCATTATCAGCCAAAAGAAAACTCTAAATTTTATTTTAATTAAAAACGAAATAGTTATAATTAATATACACAAAAAATACTCACATAATATCGTATGATGATTATGATATTATGTCATAAAACAACTGATTAGCATATATGGACATCATTTGGCAACATTCTACTTATACCTACAACTTATCAACATTCTACTAATCTAATAAGGGGAGGGGGGGAGCAAATAACCCGTCAGGTCACTTGATGCTAAGTGACAACCGCCGCTAATGGACACCTACTCAAGAGACAAGTGCGTTACCGGCCTTTGGGCCTAAGTAAGGGAGGAGGTTATGCTTCCGTTAACCGTATTTTTTTTATATTTTTTTATTTTATTTTATTGAATCTCCAACAAGAAATACACCTTACATGCTAGTTATAAAGCCAATAAAATTTTAAGTCTTGTGCTTCCTCAATTATAGGAGACCACAACATGGACATTACAAAAAAAGATTAAAGACAGTGGCCACAAATGGCCTTTGTAAATAAGAAAAAAAAAACAATTAAAGAATTATAACAATCAATTATGCAAAAAATTGTAGATTATAAATTATAAATTAGCAGCAGTCAAAATTCAAAATTTAAATGGTAAGGAGGTACGTCAACAATCACACAGTGTTCAATATATGAGTGCGGACATTTTTTTTACGTATTAACCGTACTCAGGTTTTCTGGAAGTTATGGCTCTCCCACCTCATTATTGTAAAACTAATATGGTAACTTCCTTACACTGCCCTAACTACAGTCAGTCGATCCGTGCAGACAAAATCCACGCATTTGCATACTCTTGGCCCATATATAGGATATTGACCAATTTGCTAGGCCTTTATTTAACACAAGAAACAATATTTTTCGAACAAGGTATTGATGGAAAAAAAAAACGGTCATTTTTTAGAATTATTTCTTTGACGGATTAAGAATACATAGTGTCACCACCCCTATTCATCCCGTGGGTGTCGTAAGAGCCGACTAAGGGAGCAAACTACGCAGGACAACAGCACTGCAAAGGGAAGGCAAACTTGACACAAACCCTATATAGATAGTTCAACTCAGATGTGCGCGCGGCCCTATGTGTGGGTAAACCTTGTACATATACAGTGACTTTGTGTGCGTGACAAGAGGTACAGTCGTACAAATACAAATATCGTTATTTACGGGTTATATACGGGTTTTTAAAAAAAGAGTTATCTCATAATGTAATGTTTATTTATTGAACATTATTCTGAATCGCTACTTGAAAAATCAAATGATGAATTTTCGGATTCGCTGCTCTCACCAAGGTTAATTATGAATACTGACTCCATGTCAAAATGTCTATAGTATTCTTCTTCTTTCTTTTGTACATGTCGACAAGTATTACCCCACATCCCTTCATCAATTTGACTTAAACGTTCATTTATGAGTTTCATTATTTCCGTCACATTTTGGTCGACATTATGCGAAGCAATATAATTCTTTAAAATTCCCCACACATTTTCTATGGGGTTTAGTTCAGGATGATATGGTGGCAGTCGAAGAATTTTTATGCCATATGGCTGAAGTATGTCGTCAATCTTGTAACATATATATTTTTCTTTATTTTTTTTAATCAAATCATACAGTTAAATTTTTTTCATATCTTGATTAAAAGCTATAATTTTTTCTGTCAGCCATCTCTGCATTTCTATTTTTTTTGAATTAGAATTTGGGGCTCTGTCATTTTGAACGTTATGGTATGAGGCATTATCAAGCACAACCACAGAGTTAGGTGGAAGATTCGGTACTAGACGTTCTTTTAGCCACTTTTCATAGTTTTCTGCTTTCATGTTAGAGTGGTAATCACCAGAAACACTATTTGCTTTGTATGTCAATAGTGCGTTAGGTACGAAACCTTGTTCTGAAATAGCATGCACAATGATAATTCTTTGTCCTTTCGACAGGTTTCTCTTTAAAGGTGGTCCATCTTTATTAGCCCATCCTTTGTTTTGCACATGATTAGTTAAGATGTAGCTCTCATCTGTATATACGATACACCGATTTTCTTGACGGTATCTGAGTAAATTTTTTAGGTAGGAAAATCGTAGTTTTTGGATGTCATGCCGCTCTATAATAACACGTCTGTTATCCACAGTTTTTCGCCATTTGTATCCCAACTTTAACAAAGCTGTACGCAGAGTCGAAATACTTCCATCATAGTTAAGTTTATCTTGAAATATTCTTTTCAACTTTAGCAAGGTAGGTAACTCGCGATGTTCTAAATGGTAAGTTTGAATAGCGGAACGTATAACATCAACGTTAAAGTTGTCTAATTCTAACTTTTTTAAACGTTTTTTACGGTCTTCATGCGGAGATTTAAATTTAGAGTCAGATTCTTTTCGTTCAGCCAATATATTAGTAATTGTTCTCTCTGATACCCCCACTGCCATTGCTGTTCTTTTCCGTACGCTATTTAAATTTTCACTTAATTTCGAAATTAAAATTGGACTTGCACTGCAAACTGGATCACTTACTAGTTCCAATATATCTCTCGCATCTATTTTCAGAAATTCGTATACCTTAGCAATGGTTTCTCGAGTCTAAAACAATAATACGTAAACGTCAACAAGGATATATTTTTTCGTATATAGAATCATAATAAATATTAATTACATCTAAATTTAAAAAATATTTACCTGACTCCTTAAACATTTTCTCCGTGAAGAACTAGACATTTTCGTAAATGACTGTACCCTTAAGAAAAAGCGATAAGAACACGTCTTGATCGGACGACGACTGCCGCGTCACTGCCACACGAATGAAAGTTTTATATTTACAAGCCCACGCACACATAGGGCCGCGCGCACAACTGAGTTGAACTATCTATACCAACCCGTCTGGCCAGCGTGGTATAAGTAGGCCAAAACCTCCTTTCTAAGGAGAGGCCTATGTCCAGCAGTGGACTATTAAAGGCTGTTGATGTGATGATATTCCTTTATTTGTGCTGTAAGACCTTTTATTTTGCCAAATTTCGTGATCAGGTCAACGAGAACCAACCTTTCCAACCAACCAACCCAACTTTCGACCCAAACCTATACTGTGCTTCCAGTTGACCTAGAATTGTCAATTTTGGTTAAAAGCAAGGTCTTACAGCACAAGTAATGAGAAAATTCTAAAAAATAAAAAAAGTTCAAAATTAAGGTAAATTTTGGTACTTGTAAGGTTTCACGAAAATCGAAATTTCCCATATCTTTTTATCGTGTTTATTCAGGACCTTGATTTTTATACACCTAATAGGGACCATAGACCTCAGTATCTGGTATAAATTTCAACTTTCTAGGTCTACCCGTTCCTGAGAAAATCAGTGGTGACACACGGACAGACTTTACCTTTAGAGGTACGGAACCCTAAAAATGAAAAACCCTTTTGAATTATCCGCAAAAGCACTTGCATCCGCTAGTTGACAAATTGACAGTGATGTTTTTAATAGTAAAGGCATTATTTATTTTAATATTCACAGAGAACCTACAGTAGGTAATATTATTAGAGAATCATTTTATAGTACCAAACTACCAACTAACAGCTATCAGCTGATTCGTCATTCATAATAATTATAACATGAATGTGGTTGGTTTAGCAGTCACATGATAATTGTGACATATTAATGTCTATTTAATATGTGTTTTTATAAAATAGATAGATAACTAAAATAGATAGGTACAGATAATTAATTTAGAAGAGAGCCTGGGCCATGGGAGGATGAGCCATTTACCTTCAGAAAATAGGTAAGTTCGGTTTAAAATAGTTTGTTTAAAATACGATGGTGGTGCATGATGAACGAAATTTCAGATAATAATAGAAATATCTAAAGCACACAAAACTGAGTTTTTTTACCAAGAAATGTCTTATTCTCTAATAAAGTTACCGCTTCTTAATCTTTGTAATATGGCAACACTGTCGGTCCATATCCATCTCCTAATTCCGTCAGACGGGGAGTTGCGGGGTGCCGGGGAGTGACGAGTTACTGTTGTCTGGTTAATGTCGTGTAGCTCGTAATAGATTTTTTGCGTTTTCAGTACATAAAAATGATAGTGTGTAATATTGTACTTCAGTTTCATACTGCACATATTGGCTGTGCTGTTAATACTGTATATGAAGAATAAAATAAATTTGGAGTAATCGCCATGTCTGCGTAATACGTTAGTAATTAATTTCGATATAAAAATAACTAGAAATAAATTATAATTGGTTTCTTATATTACTTCTAAAATATTAAATAAGATATTTTGATGTACCTATGATAGACTATTACATTTAAGGTTTTAATTTAATAGATTTCGTCTCATTATAATATATTTGGTAAATAGTAAATCCATTTATATATTTCTTTTTAGTTTATTTTAATATATATGACTTTACGTATAATAAGTATATTTTGAATTGTTCAAGAAGCCTTAAATTGCTTTATATTATTTTTTAAATTTAATGATTACTTATTAAAAAAATAGTATTAAAGTACCAAAATAAGGTAAAATATTTTTGTTTGAAATTGTACAATTGATTTATTCACTACTAGTTGAATATTAATTTCTGAATAGCTTTTAGTATCAGAATCTTGTAATATAATTTGATGTAATTTAGTATGATAGACGACTCAGATTCCCATCAATATAGCTTCTGCGGGTTACAGATACACTACTCTGAATTGTACGAGCAATTACTACTCTCCCCAATCAAATGTATTACTATTTGTAGTATCCTAAAGTACCCTAGTTAATGACAATGACCTTGACTTTTGTGAGCAGAGTCAAATTACAGCTGATAAATTGTGGATGTTTCATATGCCTCTGTCTATGGGTTTTCAGGCAGTAATCATGCCTGCATTACCGAAGGGGTTTATTTACTTGATAGATGCTTATCAATAGTTAATAAATAAAATAAAACAATTTATAGAATAAGAAAAAGGTCTTGGTTACATTTTGTTCATGATTTACATCTTATTGTCATTACATGCCTCTATAAAGCTTTGTTGTAATGGTAATGGTACCTAACTTTTATTTTGTTTCAGATTAATAAATGAAATAAACTACATAGGATTAATGAATGTTTTTTTTTTAATTTAAATACACAAAGCTGTGCATAATGTCTAACTATGATAAACTGAAACTCCTTATTTGGAAAAATTTTCTTCTACAGAGGAGACATAAATGGCAAACAATCTTTGAGATTGCTGCACCTGTGATATTTTCTTTATTTTTAATATTGACAAGATGCTTGGTAGATCCAAGAACAAGGCCAGATGTTTCCTACCCATCATTTCGTCCCACATATTTCAATATGACAGGAAAAAATTTGTAAGTAGACTTCATTTTAATCAATCAATTGTTATATACCTATATTAATTTATTTTTAATTAAATTTGTGTATTTGTATTTGTATATTTTTATTCAGAGGTAATATGACAACAACGAAGGCGGGAACATTGGCATTCTCCCCTGAAAATCCACTTACAAGAGATGTAACCAGGAAAGCCATAATGATGGTTGCTGATGATAATTTTAGTGTGCTCTTTTCTCTTCTATTTGATTCAGATTTTTTACCTCAGCCAAAAGGTTATAAAGATGCTTCAGAAATGGAGCTAGCGTTAACACAGCCAAATGCGATGAGTCAAATTCTTGTTGGGATCCAGTATGATGAGAGCATGGCTAGTAAGTATTGTGTCATTTCAGTTATTTAACTAAACACTTACCTCCTATTTTGATTATTATTCTTTTTTTTAATTAGTTACAGAATTAGAGCTTACATGTTTATTAGGTTTTTTTAAAATTTGGATTGTATATTGTGTAGTTAGTGTCTATGCAATCACTTTTAGCAAATATCAAGCAGAAAATTTATTTCAGATGCTACAAAATGGCCTGACGATATTGTAGTTACATTAAGGTTTCCAGCTGTAATGAGAACACCAATGGTAGAGCACCCTTTAAGGGCAAGTTGGAGGACGAACTTGCTATACCCACTATTTCCACGTCCTGGGCCCCGAGATCCTGATGATATGTACGGCGGTAAAACGCCAGGTATGAATTACACTGTATATATTAGCTTAACCGTGTTAGAGCCCTGCCTCGGCACGATTAGGCCTGTTCGACCAGAGTGAAACTACGGCCACACAGAAAACCAGCGTTAATCAATTATTTAGTTACTTTTCACCAAGTGTTACTGGAGCCCAAACTACATCTGCCCTTGATTGTGGAGGGAGGGCTGAAAGGACTGCAACGCACTTGTGACTCATAAGTTGCAGGTATCCAAGGGCGGCGTTAGTTACAAGGTGAACCGTCTGCTCGTTTGCCGTCCTATAACATAAAAGAAAATTGTATCTGGTACTATATTTGGTTTTGTATTTATTGTATCTGGTATCTGTATATTTGTTGTATCTGTACACTTGTAACGGCATCTTCTCACGTAGATTAAAGCAACCAATCAAACCGTACCATATAACTTGGGAATTTGCACAATGAAATGTATTAAGAATGATCGCAAAAGAATAAGACAAAAATTGTAAAAAAACACACTGTAATTTTAGTTTATTTTAGCCTGCTACCGAGCGGCTGAGCGAATGCCTTCCGCCTTTTTTAATATAGTGATGTATAATTAAGGCATTCTATCAGATGATATTATAGACTACCTTGCTTACAAACATCCGTCTAATGATTTAGTTGTGTACCTACTTGTAGACCCCAAATCTATTCATAAGCGAATTCATTTGCAAATCTTTTTTTTTTGTTGATGGGGTGGAAAATCCCTGCTGATCTCCGGCTCTTCGGGAACAAAGGAGTATGTGGTGTTTCCACTAAAAACCACCCCCAGAGCAGGGCACCTGAGACCGGCTGTCGGTCTCAGGCGTCCTGCTGTGGGGAGGACCCGGGCCATGTTATTTCCGCCCCCCTCCCCCCCGGATCGAAGCCGCGCCTATCCAAGCCCTATCCCGGGGAACTTGGGGCTTCCCCACGCCTATCGGCCTTATCAATGTGTGTTGTGGCCCGATCGCCTTTTGCGATCGGGCCGCCATCCTATCGCCTACCGCAGCAATTAATCTGCCACCAGGGGTCCCCACTCTCGACGGTTGATATCGCCGCCGTCGTCCTCTACGTTCGGGATCGGCCCTATCCCGATCCCGTTCAGCGGTGTGCCAAGAGGCCACTACGTGCCAGCCCTCCTCACCCGCCAGCATGGCAGCAATGATTGCTGGCGGGGACAGGTCTCGTCTGATTTGGTCGACCAGGACCTCGCGTTCAGACGCCCACGCTTCTTCCAGCGCAGTCTTCCAGCGTATCCTGGGCGGAGTTCCAGTCGGCTGCGCAGTGCTGGCATTGTGTCGTCTCGATCACGCGTTAGTTGGTAGGTGACGCGACCTCCCTCCCTACCTACCCAAGCTTCAAGGTTAGGCAGAACGCATTTTGCGATCGGGCCGCCATCCTATCGCCTACCGCAGCAATTAATCTGCCACCAGGGGTCCGCACTCTCGACGGTTGATATCGCCGCCGTCGTCCTCTACGTTCGGGATCGGCCCTCTCCCGATCCCGTTCAGAGGTGTGCCAAGAGGCCACTACGTGCCAGCCCTCCTCACCCGCCAGCATGGCAGCAATGATTGCTAGCGGGGACAGGACTCGTCTGATTTGGTCGACCAGGACCTCGCGTTCAGACGCCCACGCTTCTTCCAGCGCAGTCTTCCAGCGTATCCTGGGCGGAGTTCCAGTCGGCTGCGCAGTGCTGGCATTGTGTCGTCTCGATCACGCGTTAGTTGGTAGGTGACGCGACCTCCCTCCCTACCTACCCAAGCTTCAAGGTTAGGCAGAACGGCACCGACAGCGCGTTGGCGCGCATTCCGCGGCTACTCCAGTTGCGCGCGCCACTGCACCAGTGCTTGTCGAGCTCTCAATTTCAAATCTAATTCAAAAGAAAACTTGCATCACCTGGAAGTCGTTTTACGATACCGAGATTACCTTGGTATCACTAGTACCTAAAGTCTATCGCTTACATTAGTTTACCTAATACCAACTCTTTTCATTCGCTTATTTTCCTTGTTGACAGTTCCTTGAGATCCATGCCAAAGTTCATAAAATAAAATTTTGAAATGCGAAAAAATACCTTAGCAATAAACTCACCAATGACCGCCTCGGTGATGCAGTCGTAGCGTATGCGACTGCTGTGCTGAGGTCTCGGGTTCGATTCCCGGGTCGGACTAAATGTTTGTTTGTCTGCAAATGTTTGTTTCGGAGTTTGGGTGTTTCCTATGTATAATATGTATGTATTTATTTACAAAGTATACAAGTATTCTATCAGTCAATCTAGCGTTCGTAGTACAAGCTCTGCTTAGGTTGAAATTAGATGGCGTTGTGTGTCAGATATCCGAAAATATTATTATTATAGCACAGCTTAAGTAACTAAATGCATTTAACATTTTTACATCTTTTGTGAGCTTAATTGAGCACACCATTTATTCCTATACTGAATTAATCTGATGTTATAAATGTGCATCTTATTTTTGATGTGCGTAAGACCCTACGACCTACGGGTCAACACCTCAAAGGGGTAAAGGCAAAGTGAAATGTTCACTTTGCCTTTACCCCGGTGAGTGTTTTGTCACGTAGTCCTACTTGCTGACCTAGAGTTGACTGTCTCTAGAATAATCAGCTGACTGTAAAGAAGAGTGCAAGGAGTGTTGCCCTCTAATTCATAGAAGGCGCGGCACACGCCGACATCATGGACATGTTTCTGTTAGTTATGCGGGGACGAGTAAGCCTGCCCTCTAACCGGAGATCGTTTAATACTCTCCAGAATCTGTTTGCAATATCCTCTCTCCTTCCATATCCGCGATCACTTTGACCAACATCAGCTTATTGCGAGGCGATTGGGGACCATTCAAAGAATCCGAAAATCTTTTAATCCTATTCTAAAACTCGAAATTATTATATATTATATTGTGGTCTTGGCAAATCATACCCTGCGGCTTAACTATACCGACCTATTTGCTAATTTTACTATACGAAATCAATTTGATTTCAATTATTTAATCTGTAAAACTTTTCAAGGTTTATGTCTGTAACTGGTATTAAACATTATCCTGGTAATAATTTTACAAATGCATTCTTTTTTTTATCAATCTGTTATTAGTTCACAGAAAAAAGATATAGTCAGTTACCTACGTACTTGCACATAATGTCCAATAAAATGCAATCGTAAAGATGGGTTGCATAAGGCCGCGTTATGTATGATCTAATAAATTTAAAATTAATTATAATCTTTTGTACTCAATTCAATCTTGTTTTCTTTTTGCCCACATGGTCTTACACAATAGGTGAAGTGTCATTCTTCAGTTTTCAGCAAAAAACATATTTTGATACTAAAGTATTTATTCGACCACATGTTAGAATTTGAAATAAACCAATAGTTTTAGTCTATTAAGTTCATCATACACGCCCATCATATTTCTACGTGCTGAGGCCTAATTTTGACGTTTAATAAACATCGTCGGCCTCTATAGTGCGGTGGTTAGCTTAAATTAATATCATAGTAAGATAATATTTTTCTGAAGATTTAATTTCTTCTTATATTACTTACATTCTTTCAAGAAAAGTTTTGATGAAATATTATCTGAATATGCATTAGTTGTAAACATTTCTTAATTTTAAAACGATCGAAGACATAACGTAAAATTTACAACACACCAATCTACCCAAAATTTAAAAAGAGTATAGATCAGACTTTGTCTGTCATACAAACAAATCTATAAATAGTTGAGAGCGCCGTGCCGTAGTTACAAATCGTAGGTATATTGAATTAAGTATATGTATTTTAGGTTACTCGCCGGAAATGTTCCTAGCAGTGCAACATGCCGTCTCGCAAGAGATCATAAAACAAAAGACTGGGAAGCAGGTCGATACGAAAGTATACCTGCAACGACTACCTCAAAGAGCGTACAGAGAAGATCAATTGCTTGTAGCTCTGGAAAGATTTATATCAATGATCATTATGCTCTGTTTTGCATACTCATTTGTCAATACCGTGAGGGTAGTCACAGCGGAGAAAGAGCTGCAATTGAAGGTAATAAAGCGCACAGTTGGTTTCCTTTCGATTATTTCGATACCAGCGTCCGACTTAGAAACGTTTTCACCTGTATGCTATAATGACATATATAATTTAGTATAAATCTATAATATTTTTATATTCCATACAAGTACTTAATTAATAAAAGAATTCCAAATCACTTCTGTGCATGCCACTGCTACTACTCTACTGTATTTAAAAAATATCAAACTAAAAAACAGTACATTTAATTTTCACTGCTTATTGAAAGTGTTGAATAATAGTGCAAGTCATTGTTAAACGGTTGATGTATTTTGTTAATAGGAAACAATGACAATAATGGGGCTACCGTCATGGCTACACTGGCTAGCTTGGTTCATCAAACAGTTTTCATTCCTAACCATATCTGTGGTTCTAATTGTCATATTGTTTAAGGTAAGTTTTAATTTTTTACTCTATGAATACATTTTTACGATCCCATTCAAAAGGTTGTAAATATGATTGTTGGGTGATAGTAAAATTTTAGGATTGTATGTTTATTCCGTAGCTCTGCCCGGATCCCTCCTATTTAAGGCATTATGGCACACCGTGTAGTTATAGTCGGTTCGATTCCGACACACCTCCCTATTGCAAACTCCGGTGGGGTTTCCTCACGCACAAAAAAGGAGATACGCTCGCAGCGATCGACTTTACACATTTACCTACTGTAAAATATCCTATACATTGTACAGTCACCCATTTTTTTTAAATACCTAAGTATATAACATCTCGATTGTGACTAGTTGTCTACTAAACACGTAGCAGGTACCTTTGGTTACATACTGAACTTGCTATTTTTTTTTCAATAACGATAACATCTAAATCTAAAAACATAAAATGAAAATCGAATTTAAAGAACCTTACTGATGTACCTAACTAAAAAAACACTTAGTTTTGCATTTTGCGAACAGACCTGAGTTTCAAGTGTGAATTTATTTCACATCTACTCGATCGTCAAGGTGACCGACTGCGGCGCTGCGATTGGCCTGCACTGAAATCTTCACCAATCGCAACGCCGAACGCGCTCACTGCCGAAAGCGAGTTGATGTAAAATAAACTTGGACTAGGCCCTCAGTATTCTGATAAACGCAAAATTTTACGTCATGTTCAGATCTATTTGAATATTTAAACTAACTACATATTTCGTTCAATGGTTCATACTCGTCGTCGCCAAATTACTTATATGATATGGTAATCTCCATAGATAAATTACACCCACACACAGAACTGATGATCATGCTGATCACATAATTTACCCTGGGTGGGATTCCTGGGGCATCTCCAGCTTAGCAGTCAGGGTCACTAGCTACTAGAGCAACAGGCCAGTCAAATATGATGTAGACATTTTTTTAAATTAGCACAATTGTATGTGTAGCTTAGTTCTGGCCTATCAGTTAGGACTATAACTAAAATGTTTCAATTTGAGTTTTTAACGTAATATGCTTGAGAAACAGACACTGTATGATATCAATGTTTTTAGATACCATTTAACCGGACACCTGAAGGCGATGGATACGGAGTGCTTACTTTCACACCATGGAGCGTTTTACTGTTTTTTATGCTGCTGTTTATAGTAGCCTCATTGACGTTCTCTTTCATGGTCAGCGTTTTCTTTTCCAGGGGTAAGTCTTCTATACCGTAACTATTTTCCTTTCGTATTTTGTGATGCTGGTACCTAGGCCTTATTTTAAATTTATCTTTTGTGACAATTCTGCTATCAATAAATCTAATCGGAAATTATACTTGACAGCAAACACTGCCGCTTCCTTCATGGGTCTTGCGTGGTTTACCACATACTCTGTGTTCATGTTAACTCAAGTACTCTATGAAGATATAAGCCTCACAACGAAACTGTTGCTTAGTCTCATATCCAACACTGCGATGGGATATGCATTCCAACTGATGATTATGTGCGAAGGAACTTCTAGAGGTAAAAACACTTTAACTTTCACCCTTGATTGACTTACAACTTATGAAAATGTATTACCAGGGCTGCTATTTATGTATCCGAAATAACAAAGTGAAACAAACAAATAGCATTTATTATAGTTTTATTGCTTTCAATCATCAACAGCCTCTTCGCGGCTCGAAAAACGTTGACCACGTAATTTATTCTTAACTGTTAGGACTGGCACCGTAGCCACATGTCCATTTATACCAAAAAAATAAGCGACCATTTGCTTCAGCTTTTTGAACGAATGACTTTTGTTGGGTTCGGCTCATATTGAACACCCAAACCGTTGATTGTTGTTTAGTTTCAGGATCATACGCATATATCCAAGATTCATCACCTGTGTAGATATTATAGACATCTATTGACGCACCCTGATTTTACTTTTGTAACATTTTTTTATACCAATCGACACAGCCCGTTTTTGGTCAATTCTCAAGTTGTGCGGAATCCAACGTGAACATTTTTTTTTTATCTAAATGTTCGTGTAATATTTTATATATACTCGTCATACTTATTCCCAGAGACGTATCTATCTCGCGGTATGTAACATGACGATCTTGTATTATTATTTCCCGCACCGCATCAATATTTTGAGGTACAACAACCTATTTAGAGCGACCTTTTAATTCGTCCGTGAGCACAGACCGCCCTCGATTAAAATCACTAAACCATTGATACACAGTGGGTTTTGATGGTGCTTCGTCCCCAAAAGTCGAAGTGAGTTGATCGATGCACTGTTTTTGAGTTAGCCCTCGCCGAAAATCGTAATAAATCATAGCACGAAAAATTTCACGAGTTAAATCCATAGTGATAAAGACACGAAATGTTCAAAGCTACAAATGACAGTTACATGAAACAAATTGTATTTTTCAGCCAACGAGTTCCATTTTTTAATGTTATAATTACTTTTTTAATATTGTTCTGTAACTGGCCAGTTTCGGATACATAAATAGCAGCCCTCGTATATAGTATATTTTATCAGTGACAGGTGTGTCGCACTATTACCATGTTAAAAAGGTATAACTACTCTTCCGGCCCTGTTATTTGCAGCGTGATATTTACCTCCTTAAATAGGTAACTGAGTACTCAGAAGCTGTCGAGTTACTTCACCAAAGACTTATTGAAATTTAAAGTTCCTAATTGGGTATTTCGATTATCTAATAACTCAAGCAATATGCATAATGTCTATTGAAAATTGTTGTCTGAAATATTGTCCTGTCAAGCTATTCACATATTTTTCAATTATTTATTATTTATAGATTTTATTAGATTAGACTTTCCTTGACTTAGCTTAGCCTTGACCTGGCTTAGTAGACCGATTACGCGTACAAAAATTAAAACATTGCATTAAGTAAAATTTTTGAACCAAAAGTAAGGATACATAACTGAATGCCATATTACTCTAAATCAAGGTTAGATTATTATTAAATATTAATACACGCTGTAGCAAATTATAAAAGGAGAACAGAATGAAGATAGGGAAGGCAATTCACGGCATTAAAAATCCATAATTGTAGTGATATTATTTATCGAAAACTGAAAGCATTATACGGAAAGGCTCCCTGAATTATCTTGCATGAATTCTGAACACTGACGGGTCATCATTTTAATAAACATTGGATATTTTACACGACATAATATATGTACGAGTATATCAATGTCCGGTTTCACTATTAAGCCACTTGCACTAGTCTAAACAATGAGATTGATTGAATCATGTGGACTTTGATCAGTAGTCCTATGCGACTCATTTCAACACAGATGTTAGATAATGTTTATTACTATTTAATAAATACTATGCCTGACCTTCTCAAATATGAATGCAAAGTTCAATATAAACTTGTTCTTTTTTGCAATAATGCTTAGAATAATATACCTAGTGATGTACTAACTTCAACTTTTATTCGTATAATGTTTGTCGAGGTTTGAAGTACATATATCGACGGCAGAAAGCGATTTCGCCGTATCCCGAAGTATTAAATATTACACCGTGGGAGCCATGCTTTGAAACATATGGGCCCAGGCTCGACCAGAGATCACACACAGACCTCACAGAAAACTGGTATTAAGCAGTTCTTTCTTTCACCGAGTTAGTGAGAATACCGGAGCTCCAATTCTGCCCCTACAACTAATTCTGGCGGAAGGTCTGAAGGCGGCAACCCACCTGTAACTCTTGAGTTGCAGATGTCGATAGGCGGCTGTAGTCACTTACCATCAGGTTACCCAACTGCTCAGGTGGCCCTCACTGCTCAGACCCATCAGGTGGCCCTCTGATACTATAAAAAAAACACCAAAGACGAAACATGATAAAAACTCTATGACCTTTCTAATATTATTATTTGTATTCGGCATAGAAACGTAGACTATTCCACGGGCGTTTATTTCTGATTAATTACGTACTAGTAAGTTTTACATATAAGTCAATTGCCGAGATAGGACATTACCTTTCTGCCATCGACATTATTATTGTAGGTTATAATAAAGTAAGTAGTAATAGTAGTGATAGTACAGATTAGGTCTACCAGTATTAACTAAACGGCTTTATAAAAATAATCATTATTACATATCTTATTACCGACTGACATAGACAACGAAACGAAATCTTACTGTCACGAAACGTCAATTTTTTGAAGTTTGTTATCATTTTGTGCTTATCAAATCGATATTTACAGTAGATTGGACAAAAATAAAATATAACCTATTTTTTTTTATTTATTTAACATAAATGACTCTTAACTGACATATAACTAAAAATAACATTTTTGGATTTTCCTTTTTTTGCCTTGTATTGTTAAAAAAAAACATGAAACGAGCAAAAACAAATGATGGTCAACATCTTATTGTGACAATACCTTCCATTCGTTTTCATGCTATAGTGTAGGATTTTTAAAAATTATATGAAAAATCGTTGTTATTCACAACTTATAAGTATATAATGCTGAAGTTCAAAGACAGAGTACCTTTAGGCGGTCCACATGGGTTTTTCCTAGACTTGCAACGAATAGTATATTCGGCAGTATACCGAATACCGAATATTCGGCGAGGCCCCTGACCGAATAGCCGAATATTAGGCAAAAGTATTCGGCTGGATTTTAGCGCCAAAAACTTGTACAGACGTGAATTAAATTATGTACCTGTTTTAAGTACCAATGACTACTTAATAAATGATTATAAAAGAAATGAGAACCTTACCCTTCTAAATTTTGATTACCACAATAATTCAAATACATAGAATCCTCCATTTTTCCTATTCAGAAGATGATTATGTACCTGTGTTATGCACCAATGACTACTTAAATGATTATAACAGAAATGAAAATATGAATATATACGTAATCAATCGATTTTAATTTTTCATTTTACCAATTATTTCTCAATGACAAAATATATTATTTAAGTATTCGGTATTCGGCCGAATAATATGTAGATATTCGGTATTCGGCCGAATATAATAAAAGCAGCCGAATAGGCCGAATACCGAATAGTAACCGAATATTCGTTGCAAGTCTAGTTTTTCCTTCTAGTTTTAAAAGTTTGAAATATTAAAAAAATCGGTTGTCTGTAAAGTCGGTTTACTGACGATAGTTGAACGTGACAACGTCATAAGAAAATACTGATGGAATGGTTGCATTTTACGAAAACGTCCACGCGGACGCATCGCTCACTCAAGTAGGAGAGAGAGAGATGTCAAACGCTGCCGAAGGCGGAGGCCGATTGTGCCTCTTTGTCGCTCGTTGCGCGCTCTCGCTTGCACTTCAAGCCTTAAATGGAACGCCTCAGAGCGAGGTAACGCCGCATGAGTCATGTTTTTTTCGTGCGTGCAGCCGGCTCCATCGAATTATAAGACGTTGTCACGTCAAAATAGGCATTATAATAATATAAGTAATATATAAGCAGGCAATAATTTGAGTTTTTCAAACATCGCTGTACAGTCAATGCCTACGCTATAATTTGTCGTTCTACATTGTAAGCATGAAAGTTATCGAAAAATCACTAATTGTACATAGGTACCATACGTGCATATGTATGTCTTGCACTTTTTGAGTTTGTAAATCTATACTCCAATTGATAAGTCTAAACGTGTTCTCCTGCCTTATAAGACGTTCGGACAAATTTCAAGTTTATAACTTTTAACAAAGAAACAAAATAAAAACTTTTTTGTTGCGTTGCGGTACCTACTAAATACCTATGACATTCCACAGACATAACATAATGATGGACAATGTGGACATATTTATCGGTTCTAAGGACAATTTAAAAAAACGAGTTTCGCTTAAATTACTATCATCATAGGCTTTCTAAAATGTCAACATCATTGCACTGAATGGCTGGTTTTATAGGTTTCCAGATGATATAAATCTTTTAATGTATTTATTCAATTTAATTTTTCCCCCATATTTATATATTTGTATGTGTTATTTATTTCAGTTATTTATTATATTTCATATTTTACATCAATACACCCATCTTTTCAAGGTTTGCCAATCAGTTTTAATATTATGTATTGTTATTAGCATATTCATCCACTCTATGTATCTACCGTGGATAACTTTTATTGGCTACTCATGTAATCATAGTTTACTACCTAGTTAAGAACTGCAGCTGTTGTTATCCCTAAAAAAAATAAATTAAAAAAAAATGAGTCAATTAGTACAAATCAGAATTAATTGTTATTATTTTCAGCGCCAATTTACGCGTTTTGTCCATTTTTTGCTGTCGTCAACTTTTTTAAATGCATAAGTGAGTGAAATGCATCCGTTTTGGGATCATAATCTAATATTTCAGGCATCACTTTCGTCATTAGGCATCATCTAAAAAGCATTAAGAGTAGATAACTCTCCGCCTACTCATAAACCCCCCCCCCCCCCCTCTCGACTTCCCCCCTCATTCTGAATTATAGTGAATTATGAACATGTGAATGGAACTACAACTAATGGATTTAAAATTGAACAGTAGGTACGTACTTTTTAGTTTTTTACGTTGAACATTCTTGAACTTTGAACGTTTAGCAGACAACGTTACCTTATTAGGTGCGCCGTGACGTCTGAATACCTGTTCATGATCTTTTTTTTTCCTTATGTTTTAAAAAGTGACTTAGCGACTAAAATGTATATCGTAAGTCCTCGACGGCAAGTACATGATCAGTTTTTTTTTAATTTATCATTTTATTAAGTACTAGCTGACCCGGCGAACTTTGTTCCGCCTTAGAGGCAACGACGTGTAAGCACAATATCGCGTGTTGCCAAGTTTTCACCAACAATCAGGATGGCAACTTCATCTATTGTTGGAGCGTTAAATGTGCGTTTGTGTATTCTGATCACGACTTTGTAAAAAAAAAGTAAAAAAAAATGTCAAAACGTATCCTATGTCCGTCTCCTGGTTCTAAGCTACCTCCCCACCAATTTTCAGCCAAATCGGTTAAGCCGTTCTTGGGTTATAAATAGTGTAACTAACAATACTTTCTTTTATATATAGATTACTTAATATGTTTAGTAAAAAAAAATTGAACGAAATAAACATTTTACATGCAAATGACTGCCTTTTACAGTTAGTAGGTAGTACGCCTATTTATATAATTGACATATATTCCGAACTGTAATGTTGTTAATATATGTACATAGGTCAAAATATCAATAGGACTGAATAATTTAATACTGTAGTCGTTTGGAACACCTGTCACCTTTCGTATTTTCAACATCGATTTTTTTTATAACGTTCAAGGTCTACAATGGGACCAATTCTTCACTCCTATTTCATACCACGACCAGCTGCAACCAGGCCATATTGTATTAATGTTGATACTTGATTCTATACTATATATTTTAATTGCAATGTATGTGGAGAAGATACGGCCAGGATTGTATGGAGTACCACTACCTTGGTACTTTCCTTTCACGAAGAGTTTTTGGCGACCTAACAAGTCGAAGGTTATGGGTAAGTCGAAGTTACATTGTGCTACACATAATTTTAACCACCGTATGTTCACTACTGTATCACGACATCATTTGAAGGTTTCTACTTACAAATTTACTTACACTAATTAATGTTTCACATCATCACATCAACAGCCTTTAATAGTCCACTGCGGAACATAACATAGGCCTCTTCTCAGAATGTTTACAAATTAAAAAATAATAGTTGGGAGAATGTCCTAACTAATTCAAGTTTGGTATCTATATAAGTTGTTGATGATGATTGATGATGATGGATCTATATAAGTACTAGCTGACCCGGCAAACGTTGTATTGCAAACAAAAAAAAAATAGGGATGGGTCACCCTTACCATTTAGGGGTATGAAAAATAGATGTTGGCCGATTCTCAGACCTACCCGATGTGCACACAAAATTTCATGAGAATCGGTCAAGCCGTTTCGGAGGAGTACGGGAACGAACATTGTGACACGAGAATTTTATATATAAGATAAGTAACTACGATACCTTTAATACAAAAAGGACACAGTTTAGTTTATTACAATTGCTGACCTATCTTTTTACTACCGACATGACATAACGAATGAACAACTTATCGATTTATATTTTTTTGTAAGATGTTCTTTCTGCTTGCTTGATGTTGGATTAAATTAAAATATTTTCTCGGAAAGTAGTGTAATACCCTATTAACATCGAAGTACTCACTCAATTAATTTATTCCCCATCTCAATCTTCATGGTTATACGATACGATTCATGTATTAAGTTTGTCGGTGTTTAAAAATATCTTTTAACCAACATGAACTGCAGTTTATTTTAAACTAAGTCCTTTACCTTTATATAATACTTTCATGAATGTAAATAATATTGCTTAAAAAGCAAGGTTCTGTATCTACAAAGTCCGCGACATTGGATAACGTGTTCATATTGCTAATTAAATTGTTATCATATGATTGAACACGTAATCAAAAAACACTATTTTTTTTATTTAAATTAAAGGTCTATACTTATTTATAAAACTGAACGTTTACAGAGATAACTAAGCATAAGACTGATCAAGAGTACAACGATGCTCTGCTGAAGGTAGTTCACGACGAAGAACCAAAGGGCGTATCCGTGGGCGTCAACATTCAAGTGAGTCACGAATGTTACCTACCATTTTGAAAAAATCGTTCATTTTACATCTAATTAATTCTTGTTAAATTCAAACTTATATACATGTACTGCTGACTGTTTCATAGTATTTTGTATAAACGCTTTTAGAGATTTCTGTCACATTTACGTGCACTCTAGCAGTTGTAATGGACTACGTACTTGTGAATGCGCACCACACCCTACATATTACTACTACATAGTATAGTCAATCTAAAAATTGCCTGGAAGAGATCGTAGACTTCGATAAGGCCGCACATTGTATCACTGGTTTTTTTTTGTTTGTGTTATACATTGTACTTATTCATAATAATCATGGTGTGCAATAAAAAGTAGGTACATCTCTAACCTGTCTATCTATCAACGTGCATAATAAAAGAAAGTGATGATTTATTCATTAATAATATTTCATTAGCTAATGATACACCCACATTTTTCTAATACTCATATCAAGTATAACGTTCAATGATAGCGATGAACGATGACTGATCAATGGTAGCGTATCGTAAAACATGGCATATGTGCAATTACATCTTAGCATAGAGTATTCGTCTATTTATTTTTAAAATGACATATGATATTAATTAAAGTTGTAATTTTTTTACTTACCATTATTATTATGTTCTACACACATTTGTCTAATGAAATGCATAATCGATAGTATTGAACGACCCACTCACATCTCACCTTGACTGGTCATAATCCATATCGTCAAGGACGCATGTAAGGAAATTAAATTCAGTACAATGAACAACATAATATACACATATATCTGTGAAACATAGTATCTGTAATCGAAATTAATACGGAGTATGCTGCATACTCCGTGACCATACGTCCCGCTTTGGGCGGGACAGTCCCGCTTTCAGGCAGTCTGTCCCGGTGTCCCCAGCGGGGCCGACATTGTCCCGCTTTTGCAAACAGACCAAACGATAATTTAAAATATATTTATCTCGCTCGAAATGCGTGATACGGCGTCGGCACGGGAAGGCAGCAGATTACGAGAGAGCGCGCCGCCCGACGCGCGGTGCCGCGTTAACGCGTGTGAGTAGGATAGATAATAAGATAACCCCTCCCGCGCCCGCGCTTACTCGATGTTCAGTCAACGACTGCAATGTTTTGTTTTAGTTCAAGTCGGACGTAACCTGATATACACGTGTAAGGCAACGCAGTGATTTGTAACAAAAGAATAATGCCTAAACGCAAGTGTTCCTTTAATATTAGTTTGCAACAGAAGTATCCATTTATAAAACAAAGAAAAGATGATACTGCAGATGTAACGTGTGAAAAGTGTCGTACTGATTTTAGTGTTGGACATGGTGGTGCTAGTGATATAGAAAAACATTTAAAGTCAGAAAAACACAGGCTTGCCGATCAAGCCACTGCTTCAAGCTAGTCAATGCTTAGTTTTTTTAAAAGAACCGATTTACCGACTGCCAAGGATTTGGATATAGCTGCAGCTGAGGGTACGTGGGCGTTTCACACCGTGCAACATAATCACAGTTTTCGCTAAAATGACTGTTCTTCTCCTTTAATTCAAGCATGTTTTGAGCAAAAATTTAGATGTGCACGTACAAAGTCTCAAGCTATTGTTGTAAATGTGCTGTCAACTATGGCAACCGAAGATTTAAAAGAGCATTTACGCAAAGCCCACTGTATAACTTTACTAACAGATGCTTCAAACCATGGCTCAGTCAAATTATTTCCAGTGTTGATTCGCTATTTTTTACCATGCGAAGGCGTGAAAGTCAAGGTTTTAGAGTTTCGGGAACAGCCAGGTGAAACATCGGATATTATTGTTAATTATTTGAAGGAAGTATTGTCTTTCAATGACTTGAATAAAAAAATTGTTGCGTTTTGTGGAGACAACACGAACTGCAACTTCGGGGGAAAGAATAGGAAAGGAAGCAATAATGTTTACTCAAAATTGAACGAATCACTCGGCAGACAGCTTATTGGAATTGGATGTGGAGCCCACATAGTCCACAACGCGATCAAAACTGCCGCTGATTGTCTTCCTCTTGACTTCGAATGCATTATAGTGAAAATTTACTCATTTTTCTACATCTAAAGCGTTCGTGTAGAAGCTTTGAAAGAGTTTTGTGATTCTACCGAGACAGAGTATCAGAAACTGCTGGGCTACAGTAAGACAAGATAGCTTGCGTTAATGCCCGCGCTTGAGAGAGTTATAAAAATGTTTCAGCCTTTAAAAAACTATTTTCTGAGTATCGACAAATGCCCAAATATTTTAAAAACGTTTTTCGAAAATCCCAGCTCAGAATTATATTTACATTTTTTGCACGCACAAGCAGCGACCTTTCATGAAGCTGTTTTGAAAATCGAAGGGCAAAATGTTTCGGCCATAGAGTCAGCCAAAGAAATTAATCGTCTCCGAGATAACCTGGCACTAAAAGAGAATACGGTTTTCCTTCCCCACATCGTCCGTAACTTACTTGTAAAATTACAAGAAAGAGAAGCTGCTGTTGACCAGCAGAATGTAAAAACAGCGGTGGCTGAGTTTTATAAAACAAGCAAAGAATACTTGGAGCAGTGGTGTCAATTCAACACAGAACTAGAAATGTTTGAATGGGCAAATTTAACAAAAGTACCTACGTGGGAAGAGGTACAGAAAGTGCTGGGTTTACTGATCATGCAAGGATTTATTAGCAGCAGCCAAGATACAAAAGTCTTTGACGAGTTTTCACTTATTTCAAACTTTGCAACAGATGAAAAAATCTCTGGCTGGAATACCGAGAATGTTTCTACTGAAAACCGTTGGGTCGAATTATTCCAGCACTTTCGTACCAACAATCTTCATATAACGAACTTTTCCACAATCATTGAGTACATTATGTGTCTGCCTGGAAGTAACGCACCTGTCGAAAGAGTTTTTTCTCAAATGATCAAAATATGGACAAGTGATAAAACTCAATGTAATGAATGTAATGAAAGCTATTTTGATTACGAAGATAAATATAAATAAATCATGTACTGAGTTCCACACTTATCTAAAAACAAGGCCCGATATTTTGAAACAAATTTGTTCAGCCGACAAATACAAAAATAAAACTTAGAAGTCACGTCATTACTGGGGCTTATCGTCGGGCCTACTTAACTATTTTGTGTTCAATACTTTGATTATATTGTGTTAATTTATCTTCTATCTATAATAAAAAACTTGTATAACACATTTTTTTTTCTTTTTTAAACATAATCCGCAGATGTCCCGCTCTGGTAAAAAAAGTCATGCATACTGTATGCATGACTTTTTTTAACGTTTCGACTAGTGATCACATAACGAAAAATCAATATAACACACCCGAAATATAAACCACTGAGCTAAAAAAAATTACTAAAATTCCCATCATTTCGGACGATTTAAATGCGGCCATTTTGGCGCGCTTTTTCTTTGACGTCAGATATATAGTGCGATGTCAACAACGAAGTGATTGGTTCACAAAGTTAAAAAAGTGAGTGACAAAACCAATTTATTACTTTGGAAAATCACAGAAAAGTTTAAGTTTGCTAAAATAACATCAAAACTGCACCTGACAAAGTGTATTTCCTTATGCCGAAAGATACGGGTATAAGAAAAATGTGGTGCAAGGCGAGGAGAAGAGACAATGTATCGTGTTTTAGCTGTTTATACTGTCGTGAAGATAATTTTTAGTTAGTTACCTGCACATAATTTTTTTACAAACTTCGTCGAAAACATAACCTAGTTTACGAAAAGTTCGTAAAGATTAATTTATTTATAAGTTTTATTCTTATACAAAACATTTTATGACTATGTTGTATTCTTAAGAATTATATAAGTATTTATGATGTGTAAGTATAATAAGCCACAAAACATGTGCAGCTAGTACTTAAAATAATTATATTTTTATTCTCAATATCTAATAATATTTGTCCATAAGAGTTTTCATTCTTAGGCAAGCATAGGCAATGCTTGCCTATGTATGATAACACAAACCTACCTAACCTATTAGAGTAAGAGGAAAGTTTCAAACAACTTTTATTTACCTTTCTAATTTTATTTCTGAGTTTCAGATTGAAAAGAAATATATGTGACAAATAATTTATGATCATCTAACACGTCAATTTTAGGCAGATCATCTGATTGTGTTTTGACAAAACCAGTTTCAGTCATTGTGTTAAGTCTTTCTTCACAAGGATTTAATACTTTAACACAGAAAACTAATAAAGTAATATGAAACAACCGCGAAACAATAAAAAATAACAATCACCTGAAACCATACAAACAAGTTGTTGACAGAAGACGTCGAGTGAAATTGACGTCAGGTTTTGTTCCAGCGTTGCGTTTTTTGAGGGAATTAAAAAAACACTTTTTGATGATTGTTTTTCACTATTAAATTATGATAAGTTTCAAAAATTATTGTAAAGGTATCTTTTTTTAGCAATAAAGTTTACAATGTTATTGCTATTTATAATAGATATTTGCTATTCGTAACAATGTTTATTATAAAAAGGCTTAAAGATTGTAACTTGTTACAATATAAAAGTTTGGCATCTATTGCCAGCGCCAACGTACCTATTGTAGACACGCATATTCACGTTTATACGAGACTTTAGAAGTTGAATATGTTATAGTGTTAGAATAAACAATACATTAGTCATAAGTTAATCTATGACAGTGTTCCAGACATATTTGCTTTAACGCCTTTAACAACCTTTGACGCACTCTAGAAGCATGTAAAGAAAATGATACTCCGTTCTTAAGTCGTTAACACACTTAGGCAATATCTTACTAACTTACTTCAATTAGGCAATATCATCTCGGGTTAATGTCAGTTCTTTATTTCAGAATCTGACAAAAATGTACAAAGGACGTAAAAAGGCAGTTGATAACTTAAATCTAAGGATGTATGAAAACGAAATAACAGTGTTATTGGGTCACAATGGCGCTGGGAAGACGACCACTATATCGATGTTGACAGGTGTGTACTGAACTAGAAATGTATAAACTCCGATACAAAGTTTTTTATGGTATAAGAGGTAAACGATCAGAGTGTCACCTGATGGTAAGTGACTATCCCCGCCCATGGACATTTGCAACTCAAGAGTCAAACTCAAATTTCTGAACGCCCATGATAAAGTGATAAAGTGTTATAATTTGAATGCTAAGGGGAAAAAATGTTGTTTAAATTATTGTTAGAAGGCTCGAACTTCCCGGACCTGAGATGCGACTCCGACCTGCTAGAGCTATTGCTTAAGCTCTCTAATATATGCTGCACCCGTTCCGTATCAAGATCCTTTTTCAACTTTGCCTTCCCTTTTTATTCTCCAAAGTAGGTATGTACCTAATAGTATTAGGTACATACTCGTAAGTAAGACAAGAAATTTGCGTTAATGTATGTATCTATGTACCTATTACAATATTTCTTTTATTATGCTTAAGATTTTGTTTTTCCCAGGCTTAGTGCCACCTACATCAGGTAATGCACTAATAAGTGGTTACAATATAGTAACTGAGACAGCTCTGGCCCGCAAGTCCCTTGGTATCTGCCCACAACACAACGTTTTATTTCCTGACCTGACCGTCGCCGAACACATAATATTTTATTCACGATTGAAAGGAGTTGATAAGAACAAAATAGATGATGAAGTTAATCATTTTGTGAAACTGCTAGAATTGGAAGAAAAGGTTAGTACTGTTTCGCATTGGAGAGCTTAGACTGTGTTATGCGTTAAGATAGGTGTAAAAACGATAATACCATACTACGTGTTTACTTTTTGATATCAGAGTAGATTCAATGGATTAAAAAAATTGAGTTGTAAAATAAAGACAATTAAGACCGTCTAACATAAACGTCCTTCGCTCTTGTGAAATGAGGCATTTGTTACAATAAACACGCTATACCTATTAACTTGTATATTACAAACTGTAGGTCGACTATATTCTACCTATGAATTCAAATCTATTTTTATAAAGTAATTGTTGTAAATTGTAATACTTCACTTATGTTTGATTAATTGATGATGAAATTAGTTTTTGGCAAAGTTACAGATTCACGGTCATTTTAATTGTCCATGCAACATTTTAGTAAAGGCTAGAAGAAATAGCCGATTGAAAAAGTAAAATCTATTTATTAACTTATATTCTGTTTCTTTCCTGTCTGTTTTTTTTTTGAAATATATATATTACATGGAATGACTAAATAGTTTCGAATGGGAACTTATAAATTATAAGTCGAAGTAGGTACTGCACCGATGGCGTAGTGATTTAAGCGGTCGCCATGCCGCTTCCTACTTCGCTGAGTGTTGTGGGCTCGATCCCCACATGGGACACCACTTTTTGTGATCCACAAATTGTTGTTCTGAGTCTGGGTGTCATTTTTGTCCGTTTCGTGAATGTATGTAAAGTCCCCCGCCACACAGGATATATACTCCTAAAGCGGGAGTTGTCTTTTTAAAACATTAAAACAGTGATTTAGAGTGATTGAACTCAAAAGTTGTTAATATGGATATGCCTAGGGTAGTAAGGTAAGTAAGGTTACTGCACTAAACAATTGTAAATAATCGGCTTATAATGCTCATGTGATTATGAGCCCAGCCCCTGGCTTAATGTTCAGCCGGAATAACACGGAGTAACACGCAATACAGAACACAAAAAAGTGGACTTTTTTATGTTGTTAATTTTTTTGAAGGATATTTACGTTGCGTGTGTATTATATATATATTTTTATGCCAATAGAAGAATGATTTAGGCACCTGGATTTGAAAATTTCAAGAGATAAGTAGTCAATAATGATGCTCAATGAAAAATATTACGACATTAAATGCTTTTGTATAGCCTTGGTGATGTCTTTTTGGTACATTACCATTATTACAAACAGTCAATGTAACAAGCCAACCGCCGCAATTTTGAATTATGAGTAGGTACGTCCTCGTCCAACTCTGTTATTTTCTCAATTCACGTAATTATGCTGATGTTCTTTGATGTCGTCAGCGAGATGTGACGTCGAACAAGTTATCAGGCGGTCAAAAGCGCCGGCTATCTGTCGGAGCGGCTATGTGCGGCTCGTCTCGGGTTGTGCTACTCGATGAACCAACCTCTGGCCTTGACCCCTCTGCAAGACGTGCACTGTGGGATCTGTTGCAAAAAGAGAAAAAAGGTAAGAAGAGTATGCCTTTTCAGTTTATTTACTGTCGCCGAAGTGTTGACGTATGACTGCGATTCATTAAATTATTGAGTCACACAGTCTAAAGTAGTAGGGGGAAGTGGGGCAGATTCATACAAGGGGCACCGTCATACACTAGATACATCTGTTGTTAGGCGCATATCAACTGAACGACTTATCCGTGTACGCGTAGCTAACTTATGTGTGTATTGGCTCACGGAGTTTGACAACAGTCGGTGGGAAATTCGCGATGAGGTGACATGAAACGTGATTCGGCCACGCGTAAGTAATTTTCAAACCTCACTTTAAACATCTTTTTTTTAATAAAAGCATTTTTCTAGATTTTTCAGTACTATTTTATTCAAAAGGTAATAGGATCAAGTTTGTAAATTGATACGTGAATAATGATATTTATAGTTGATTTTTTTTAGGAATATTTTTATTTCATTTTCTTGTGATGGGGTTGGTTCATACAGCAGCAAGCGGGGTACATTCATACTGTATGAATGTGCCCCACATTTTCATTTCTTCCAGATCCTAGAGAATATATACCGCAAACACAATTTAAATGCCGATCGGATTTTCAACAACGACGAATCTGGTATTTCTACTGTTCTGAGCACACTAAAAATTTTTGATGACAAGAGCCAAAAACAGGTTGGTCAAATAGTGTCTGTCGAAAGCGGAGAACTGGTCACATTTGGTGGTATTATTTCAGCAAGTTGAAACACCATACCGCCCTTATTCATCTTCCCTCGAGTACATTTTAAGGACTACTTCATAGACGATGCTCCAGAAGGCTCTTTAGGTGTAGCCACGAGAAGTGGTTGAATAAACTCGAGCATTTTTGTTGATGTTCTAAAGCACATTCAGAGGCACACCATATGTTCGAAAGAAAATCCAATATTCCTTTTATATGACAACCATGAAAGTCACAATTCTATTGATGCAATCAACTACTGCCGTGACAATGGGATTGTGTGCCTTTCCTTTCCACCTCACACGACTCGCCGCCTTCAAGCATTAGATGTATGAGTATTTGGTCCATTAAAGTCGAAATTAAAAACAGCTTTCAATGATGCATGGCACGTTTCCAATCCAGGAAAAACACTTAATATTTATAATCAAAGAAATCAATAAAGACTGTTAGGTTAACTAACTTCCTACAGTGTCATAAAAAGAAAAACTACCTACATTTATGTTATTCTCTTTTTTACTTAGTATTATTTGGTTATTACTTAGTATAAGTTGCTCATATAGACTAATTGCTTTTGTTTTCGAGAACGTTGTGGTTTGATACTTTTATTTTGATGAATAATTAAACTTTTCATGCTAAACTTGTGTATTTTTTTACATGTATGAATCTGCCCCATAGCCTGTATGAGAGTGCCCCGCATGCGGGGTACATTCATACATTTTAATTATTTTTTTAAAACTTTTATTAAAAGTCGCACATGTGTATTTACACAAATTACATGTTCTTGAAATAAAGTCAGATAGTTAAACTACTAGTTTTTGATGAATTGATACAGATATTGATACCAGAGTAAATTCTATAACACGAAATATAAAAACTGTATGAGGCTGCCCCACCTTCCCCTAAATGTAATTTAAAAAAAAATAGCTATGATGCCACGGACAGAAAAAATAAATACACCCATTTTTGCGTAAAATGTTATGTCGATTCAAATGTCCTTGTTCTGGCCGATGTTGGATGTCAATGTTTTTAAGTTTTTGTTAATCAAAATCAGTGATAAGCACTAGGCTCAAGTCTTCTAACCTTTCTTGCAGCCGTCTAGGTCTCTACTTCATACGAGGTAAGATTGCTCCTGTGAAATTTGATTTATTATGGATACATCGTATTTAAATAGACTAAACCTGATCAAGTTCAGGTACCTTTATCTCGTGTAGTTTTTGGGTTACATTACTGTTATAATAACTTGATTCGAATATGCATATAGTTTAATATCTCAAATTGCTTATTCCTAACTTCAATCAACAAGTATGGTACCTTAATGCAATACTTTTACAACGTTGATACATGTAAAATTTAATAAATTTCAGTGGTTATGAATTTTATAAGTTAAATTAATATGAAAATAGGTATAGGTACTAATTTGCTGCGTTTTTTCAAAGCGGTAAGCGCGCATGCAACAAATTACATATTATACTGTTCGACGGTCATTGACATATGTATCTCTCGATTGTTGACATAGATAATAATAATAATGTACTACGTACTTCACTGAATATTTTCATTCACTGACTGTAGAAGTTATGGTATTATAACTTCAACCTTACGCCTTTACGGTTTTCTTATCAAATCAAACTTTGTAAACATCCGCTGATTGCCTGCAATTATGGCGTAATATTTAATCAGGTTTCTGACTTTTTGCTCCGAGCCTTTTGCCAAGGTTGGGGTTGGCTTTCAGTCTAGTACGAATTAGCTGAAGTTCATTTTTTTATGTTGAGCGACTGCCATCACACCTCCGCGACCCAAGTACTAGGCGATATCGAAGTTCTATATTTAGATTATTGTCGGACTTTTTAGGGCTCCAACTACCTGTCGCGATTGCCACAGATGTAACGTGCTCTCGGAAGCACCGGAGGGACCTCAATGTGTTAAGAATGGTCAATCATCCATAGATTGACCTGGCTAACATTGCTTAACTTTGCAATGTGCTAACCTACTTGGTTACCGCTTAGCCACGAGCCCCTCTGGGTTTCTGACTACTTCTAATATTTACTTTATACAGTTTAAACTATGTGAAAGCATTGAAGACAATTTATTGCCGCAACAATTATATTATTGAATACAATGAAACTTCATTTTTTTTTAGGTCGTACAATGATACTCACAACACATTTCATGGATGAGGCGGACGTACTCGGCGACCGCATCGCTATTATGTCCGGAGGGCGACTGCAGTGCTTCGGCACTCCCTACTTCCTCAAAAAACACTACGGCATTGGATATAAACTCACTATTGTAAAAGGAGATAACTGTATAGTCGATGATATCACACTGTTTTTCAAAACGTATGTGCCTGATATCAAAGAAAACACTAATATTGGTAAGTCTAATCACAATGTGCATATACAAATACATAATTTAATATTATAAGGTTTTAAATATTAAATTGATCTCTATAATAAATCTAAGATAACATTAAACTTAATTCGTTGGAAATTAATATTTAATCCGTGAAGGTATTTTATCTTCGGATGGATTTAATTAGTAAATTAAATCCTCCGCCATGTAAATAAGGCTGAGATCTGAAAAATACAAAAGAGCCACTAACAAAGAGCTGTCATAGACAGAAATAATGACCAATATCCATCAGAATCTTTACACCACTAAACCTGAAAATGTAGAATTATATAAAATTATTGTTATTTTATCCTATGTCACTGTATTGTTTATATATATATATATATATATATATATTGTTTGTGATTCATTATGTAATTAATTCCAGGTTCCGAACTAACATATATATTGCCAACCGATAATGTTAGTAAGTTTCCAGAGATGCTCAAAGAATTTGAAGCAAAGAAGGAATGTCTGTCCGTGAGTAGTTACGGACTATCAGTCACCAGTTTAGAAGAAGTTTTCATGAAGTAAGTGTAAAAGACACAAGCTTTTACAGCTCTCATAGCAGTGTTAGGCCAAATTAAACTATTCTTACAATTAAAGATTAACAATTGATTAATTTATAATCAACGCAATGTAAAGCTTAATCTAAATATTTAAATTGCAATGAATTAGTTATTGTGAATAAACATCAGTGGGGATACAATTTATTGCAATTAAATTTTCAATCAATTATATTTTTTATTGAATTTTCACTGATTAGCGAATAACTCCAATAAGTTCACAACACAATACACTATTACAAGAAAGATAGAATAAAGCACTTTCAGAGTAATTACAACACAAAGGTTTAGAGGCCTATTTAGATTTGCTGGCCTGGGAGGACCTGAAATAGCATGGTCCGGGTCCTCCCCAGAGTAGGACATAAGGCCGGCCGTCGGGGTGGTTTTTAGTGGAATCACCACATACTCCTGGCTCCTGAGTCCCCGAGGAGCAGGAGATCCGAAGGGATTTTTCACCCCGTCAACAAAAAAAAAGAAAGATTTGCTGGCTTATTTAGCGAAGCACATTGTTTCACTGAGATGAATTATAATCGTTTCTCTTTCTGACCACCTGTTGAAAGCAGGGCTTTCAAAAACAACTAAAAATAAAATATAATGTAATTTAAGCAATAATTTTAATGGTTGTAGAGCTGGTGCAGAAGATACAGAAACAACATCAGCTGGAAGAAACGACAAATCTTGTAGAATAAATAATGAATGTGCTGTTGTTCCGGCGTCTTTTAATGCAAACCATTTAAGTAAGTATCATTAATCGCATAATAAGGCTAATGATGGCTCCTGTTTGTTACTGACATGTTAAAATTCCAAAATATATAAAAGAAAACAATCCATGAATTTATTAGAAAACCTGGTCTTATCTAAATTTTAGGACTATCGGCATTTATATTCGATACACTAGCTGTCACTCGCTCTTTAATAATAACACACCAACCCCCACTAATGGATTTGCGAGTTTTATCAGTCTCTAATATAAAATATATTTTCTTTTCAGTGGATAATGAGCCTATAGAAAAGGTGCGAGGTTACAAACTCCTCAGAAATCATATAAAAGCAATGTTCCTAAAATTAGCGTACAACTCTATGCGGAACAAACTCTCAGCTTTCATACAATTTGTGACTCCGATTATTAACATAACAATATCTGTGATAATATCTAGATCTTGGAAATTTATATCTCAATTGCCCCCCCTGACGCTCAGTTTAGAAAGTGGTTTCCGAACAACGGAAACGCTTCTGTCTCAAGCCAACTTAACTGATGACTTAATGGAAGCAAAAGCGTTGAACGCGTACAAAAATTTTTTCAAGACATCCACATATCCCGGCATGACGCTTACTGATATTGGAACATCGGACTTGGCAAAATTTTATTTGAAATTGGTAAGAACTCAGTTAGTCTACATTCATCGTCAACTAATTTATAAATAAATTAAAAAGATTAAGGTTGTCACTGTCTCCGTATATTATAGTCTTGTTAAAACTAGAAGAAAATCCGGGGAGAAGAAAATTACTTATCATTATTTTATTTTTGTTACCTTGTCTATCAGAGCGATGCGGATCTTCCTCGGATTCGCTACGAGGTTCTGACGGGTGCGACATTCGGCCGCAATAATATAACGGCCTGGTTCAGCAACTATGGTTACCACGACTCTGCTATATCTCTGGCGATGATCAACAATGCTATACTTAATGCACTTTCGCCTGGAAGTACTCTGAAAATAGTCAACCATCCCCTACCTTATTCTATTGAAAATCTGGTGAGTACAAAATATGCAATTCACTGTAAAGTCGAATCAAATTAACTAAATTAACAAATCAAATAAAGCCAAAGTAAGGTTTGTGAAAAATTCCTCTTAACATAATTATCTTGTGACGTCATAGATGAAATCATCCTATCCTTAATAACTTTCTGTATTAAAGAAGTTAGTGTCATTCAAACTAAAAGTTTGTGCAAAATCGATCAAGAAAACCGGCATTATAATTCAGCTTCAAGATAGGAGCCGAATTATCATACATACGACAATTGCAAGTTACATAAAAGGTTCTAAATATAATACATGAATTTTGACTGCTGAAATAAGTTTGTCGATCTCAAATAGACGAGTAAAATGTTTAAAGTGCTTACAATCTAGTCTATTAAAACTTCATAGGCCCAATTGCAGCTTATGAACAATTTAAACATTTATGTACAGCAGAAATATGTCATTTTATATTTTCTGTATAAAAACGTTATTAATCCTACTATCAGGTCAAAGTAATGGCGTCTGGAAGCAGTATGGGATTCCAATTTGCATTCAACATAGGATTTTGTATGGCATTCGTGACTGCGTTCCTCATGCTTTTTGTCATAAAGGTAAGTAAGCATTCAAATATTTTCAGAAGTGGTGGGATTTAATAAACAGATCATAATTAAATTATAACTAATTAGCGGACCCGCGAATTTTCGTCTGTCTCACAAAACAGTTTTTTTTTCCGGTTTTTGCAATATTTTAGTAGCTTAGTAGCGTGATTTTATAAAATCTATAGCCTTCCCCGACAAAAAGGCTATCCAACACCAATTTTTTTTTTAATACTGGAACCAGTATTTCCTGGGACGTTTAACCAAACAAACAAACTCTTTGGATTTATAAAATTAGTGTAGATTTATGGAGTTTATAATCATTTACTCAAGTTTTATTCTATATCTGACTATAATTCATGAAAAAGAATAATTATTAAAAAAAGTATATTATTACATAACAAGTAAATGTTTTTTGTACACTTCTTTCACCCTAAATAAAAAAAAACTTTCAAGTAAATGTTGTTTTTTTTCTATTGAGCTTAATATTAATGTGTGTACCAGGAGCGCATAAGCGGCGCGAAGCTCCTGCAGCGCGTGTCGGGGGTGCGGCCCGCCGTCATGTGGGTGTCGGCGCTCGTATGGGACTGGCTCTGGCTGTTCCTTATCTATCTCTGTATCGTGATCACACTCGCTTGTTTCCAAGAGTCTACTCTCTCCACGCCGGCGGAGTTAGGTTTGTGTACATCTATTTATTACTACACGAAAGATCTAGCTTGCTGACAAATAGGAACATAATAAAATAACTTATCATTTATATTTCAACTATCCTTTTTTTACGTAATCTGTGTGTTTGTTTGACTTGGGAACACTTCTAAAATTAACCTTTTAGATAGCTTTAGTCAATCTTGGGAAGACAATTATATAATTTTTCTTTTCTCATTAACTCGTTTTAATGAAAAAAAAATTAATCATAAATTACTAAGGATTTTAAATAAGAACAATTTTAACAATAAGAACTAATATTTTAGTAGTTTTTTAATTTAATTTTATAATCATATTCTCTATACAAGCAATGGATGAAATTAGTCCAATAACAGTCTTTTCTTGAGGTTTTATTTTAAATTTATTTTGAACGATAAATAATTTAGTTCCATTGGTTTCAGGAAGAGTACTACTAGTGTTAATGATATTCTCGGTGGCCACCATACCTATACATTATGTAGCCTCGTTCTATTTTGAAGCGTCTGCTACAGGTTTTTCCAAGATGTGTTTTATGAATATATTTACAGGTAAGTTTATCGACATTTCAGTTAATAAGCATTTTTATAGCTTTTTTGTTTATTTATGTTTTCAAAAATCATAAAAAATACTTCTATGCATTTACCAAGTTAGTGTTTGATTTCAGTTTTATGAATATTGCATTTAGGACTTTTAGAGTTAATTTGCTGACCCGCTTAAGATAATTAGTTAATTTTAATTGAATACAATGATAGATACAGAAATCAAACTGCCATGATATGACGTTTTTCAATCACACCAATGTGTTACAAAACTAGACTAGGCAAGACAACTTTAAAAAAGTACATTTATTTGTCTATTCTTTACCATTAAAGACACTAACTAAACTACACTAAATAAAAAAAGATTTTTGCACATGTATTACAACCGGCATAATTATTTCAACAATGGTGTTGAGAGCTTTCTATGGAACTTAATGATTAAAATGTTTTAAAGAATACAGACACCACCCCTATTTATCTCTTGGGTGTCGTAAGAGCCGACTAAGGGAGCAAACTACTAGGACAACATCACTGCAAAGAGAAGGAAAGCTTGAAACAAACCCTATACCAACTCATCTGGCCAGCGTGGTACAGAAGGCCAAAATCTCGCAAAAATGTCCAGCAGTGGACTATGAAAGACTGTGGATGATGGTGATGATATAATGTGTAACATCTGACATCTCACCTACCATCTGACGGCCAGCTCTAGCAGTGCGCGCGGTATTGCGCGCGTTTTCTCTGCATACTGTTACACAGTTCCGTCCCTTTTCACAATTATTGTTGAGCACTTTGCAATATAAATGGGAAAGTATTTGAATTTTTAAAAGATGCGACGACGAGAAACAGTTTTATCTGCGAATAACATTAGAATATTCAGTCTAATCACATTACTTGCGAGAGAAAGCATTAATTAATGCAGTCATTTGGCCTTCTTTAAGCTTGCTATTTCAATTAAATAAAAATTGAGAATAAAGAATTTTTGTTTAATTTTAAATTCAGAATTTTGATATTATGTTCTTTTTGTCAGGTTGCATGCCATTTTTAATCACCGAATTATTGAGATTACCAGAAGTAGGCAGTCCGTTTTACGCTCATCTGTTCGACTGGATTTTTTCTCCGTTGCCTATTTACTGCATCAGTAGAAGTTTCAGGTAAAATATATTTCATTAGTTAATCATACACACACATTTAAATTGAAAGATACATGCATGTGTAGTGTAAACACTCCCATCATAATAACTGAAAATATGAATATGTACGTATATTTATTTTATAATGTTATAATTTTTCTACAATCAGTGTTACTATACCCTACTCTAATTTATTCAAACCCATCCAACATTAGTTTTTAATGTCAATACTTGTTATAATTTCAAAAAATAGAAACTGTATGTACCTAATTAAATTAAATACATATTCTTGAACATTAAATAATAATTATTATAATCTTTCTTCTAATCCTTTTTTTTTTTTTTTTTTTTTGTTGACGGAGTGGAAAATCCCTTCGGATCTCCGGCTCCTTGGGGATATAGGAGCCAGGAGTATGTGGTGATTCCACTAAAAACCACTCCGACGGCCAGCCTTAGGCGCCCTGCTCTGGGGAGAACCCGGGCCATGTGATTTCAGGTCCCCCAGATCGACGCCGCACCTAGCTAGGTCCCATCTCAGGGAAAGCCAGTGGCTTCTCCCTGCCTCTCAGCCTATCCAGATGTTGCAGCCCGATCACATTTTCAGTGCGATCAGGCTGCCATCCTTTCCCCTACCGCAGCAATTAATCTGCCACCAGAGGTCCCCACTCTCTGGCGGCCCGCGGTCCCGTCGGCTGCTCATTACGTCGTCGACGTCTTCTTCGCTCGGGATCGGCCCTCTCCCGATCCCGTTCAGCGGTCTCTTTCTGGAGCATTACAGCTTCACAGTAAGAGACCACTGCGCCCCAGCCCTCCTCACCCGCCAGCATGGCAGTAATGATTGCTGGCGGGGACAAGTCTCGTCCGATTTCATCGACCAGGACTTCGCGTTCAGATGCCCTCGCGGGGCAGTCTTCCAGCGTGTGCTGGGCGGAGTCCCAGTCGGCTGCGCAGTGCTGGCATTGTGCCGTCTCCTCGCGTCCAATCCGATTCAGGTACTCACCGAAGCAGCCATGCCCAGTGAGCACCTGCGTCAGTCGGTAGGTGACGCGACCTCCCTCCCTTCCTACCCAAGCTTCGAGGTTAGGCAAAACGGCACCGACAGCACGTTGGCGCGCATTCCGCGGCTGTTCCAACCGCGCGCGCCACTGCGCCAGGGCCTGTCGGTGAGCGTTTCGCCGCATTTCGAGCTCGTCCTGGTCGTTCCCGCTCTCACCCAGGCGGATCGCGCGAGTCTGGTCGTAGACCCTAGCGTCCATATCCGCCAGGATATCAAAAGGCGGGAAACGTGCCAGGACTGTCGCCGCCTCCGACGATATGGTGCGGTATCCCCGTACGATCCGAATGGCCGCTACCCGCTGCGCTTGATTGAGCTTAGCTCGGCAGCGGGAGGAGGCCGATAAGCGCTTTGCCCATATCGGCGCTCCGTAGAGGGCCATGGATCGTATCACCGCACAGTAGAGGCGGCGAACTTCCTCCTGCGGACTTTCTTCTAATCCTAGTTTTTATGTTTAACTATCGACTTTTTTCCTCAATCCAAAACAATGACAGCATTTTTATTCAACGTATAGGGATTTTGTTTACGTTCAAGTGTAATGTAAACAAATAAAGAGGAAACAGTTTTATTAACATCCTAGGGACATGAGCGTGTCAGCGTTCTCTATGCTGGCGTGTGACGGCCTCTGCAAACAGTTGAATTTGGAAGGATGCACACGTCATACGATCTGCAACAAGCTCAATCTCTCCGTGTGTTGTAGTAAGTGAGTTATGTCTTTGTGTGTTACGTAAATAGTAGTAAACAGAGTCAGCATTGTGATTGGCCCGCATTGAAATCTTCACTAGTCGCAAGGCCAAACGCGCTCGCCGTATAGAGCAAGTTGATGTGAAATAAGCCCTTTGTAGATACCCTGGCTATGGAGTGTATATCGCTTTCGCTTTGTGTTCGCACATCGGCTACTGATTCTCGTTTTGCAGTGGGTACTGGCTGGTACAAAATAAAATATATTTAAGTAAAGAGTTTACTTAAATTTATTTTACAAAATAAAATACAAGTACAAAATAAAATAAATTTAAGTAAAGAGTTTACTTAAATTTATTTTATTTTGTACCAGCCTTTTAAAATAATTGCCGACCTTTAACTAAAAAGCCGTTTCTCATCAAATTGAAAATTTTCACTTGTAAATAGGAAGTGACAAAGTTGAAAATGCTCTAAATTTCTGTAACTTGTAATCTAGTCAATATATTAAAGTTGCAAATCGCTATGTGACTGATTATTTTATGATTCTATTACTTAATAACCAATACTGCATTTTCATTCATTAAATTCAAATATTATTTTTGCTGCCCACTCTGTTGACTATTTTCTGGGCTTTTACTTACCTATTTATAAGCAGTGTCCTATAATTTATCACAAAAAACAGATAACATGGTTCAATATACGTCGGTTACAATTTTAAAAAAATCTAAAAACCTTTTTAGCTAAAGGATGGCAGAAATAGCTACAATTCGTGAATACTTGTAAAAAGAAGCCACTACTATTTGTCTTCAATATAATTGTTATAAAGGAAAGTCATATAACAATGGAACAATAACATGCCAAAAACTTGGATTATATATAAAATAAAACAGTATCATCATAAGATAACACACAACTTTAGAGCATGATATTAACATAAGAAAATCTTAAATCCCAGTAGCTATAGATGATCACTTAGCACCCCTTAAAAACAATATTTTGTATTGATTTTTTTTCAGTTGAAGATGACCCATACTTGAAATGGAGTGAACCCGGTATCGGCAGATACTTGTTTATGATGAGCGCAGTTGGGATCATAGCTTTCACTATTTTACTTGTTAAGGAATACGAACTCTTGAATAAGGTATATAGTATTTTTATAATTATTCTAAGTATCGGATGTGGACTAGCCGCTGACAAGTTCAATGCTTAGGCTGACTTAACAAGCCCTAAATTGCTATTGAAATAATAAATACTAATAATATCTATTCTGTAATACTTATTATTTTAGCTGTGTTACTCATCAAGCCATAAGCCTACGAAGGCCATAACCGACGAAGATAGCGACGTGGCAGCGGAGAGGTATAATGTACAAAGTCTCACGCGTCCTCAACTTTCGCAGTACAGTCTAGTGTGCCGAGATCTCACCAAGTTCTTTAAAAACTACCTCGCAGTCAACAGACTAACGTTTGGTAAGTGGTTACTGTATTATCTCTGTGTATCCTATCTGTACAGTTATAGTAAGAGCAGCTGCTATGGTGAGCGGCGGTACTTAGACCCAAACCACGCATTGCTTATATTTTGCAATATAAAATATTATTTTCCTGAGAAATTATTTTATTTAATTCTTTTTGCACAAACAACAATTCATTTTACAGCGGCGGACTTAATGCCACGGGCAGTTTCTCTCAGTCTACCTTTGGGTGGAATGTCTGAGTAGGTGCACTTGAAATTAAGTTTCAAATGTAACGAGATAATAGTGATTAAGGATATAGATAGAAACAGTGTGACAGATATACATACATAGATACTGAGATATACACACATATATAATTGCTGAGTTATATACATAAGTATACATTTAATACACTATATAAAACTTTAGGGATGTGATGAATCTGCTAGTGTCTAGAATTCGACGTTTTAGATTTTATAATAGAATATATCATATTAAGATAAAGTAATTGTAATTGTTTAACCAGCCGTGAACAAAGGAGAGTGCTTCGGGCTGCTAGGTGTAAACGGCGCGGGCAAGACGAGTACCTTCCGAATGTTGACGGGTGATACCCGTATATCTGCGGGTGATGCTTTCGTACACGGACTATCCATCAAGACACACATACAGGATGTATACAGACATATAGGTAATCGTCAGCACCAAGACAAAATTTCACTAGTGCCAACTAATAATATTAACCAAAAGTGTTAGTGCAAGCCAACTTAATATCTTATTTAATCTGATGCATAATATATGTAGAAATAATTTTTTTAGTTATCTTTCACATCAACAGCCTTTAATAATCTACTGCTGAAAAAAGGCCTTTCCTTAGAAAAAAAAAGGTTTTATACTGTCTAAATATTTTTATTTTTCTAATCTGCAGTAGAGGTATCTGAACGTTTATTTTACTAGTGCGCTGTAGATTTTTATTTAATTTGTGTGTCTGTTTTAAACAGGCTACTGTCCACAGTTCGATGCATTGTTCGACAATTTGACTGGTCGGGAGACCTTACGCATATTCTGTCTCCTGCGCGGCATACCGTCGCGGGTGGGGAGTGCGCGAGCGCTGTACCTCGCCTCGCACCTCGGCTTCCTGCGACATTATGATAAGAAGGTATTATATTTATAAACTGTTATAATTACTTAAAATAACTTTATATTCTATGTGTATTCATCCAGTATTACAAAAAGTGCGGTAGGTCCCCTGAATAATAATGCTGAACTCGCCACCTCGCAAATGTGCTTCTGATAAAATCAGAAGCACATTTGCGAGGTGGCGAGTTTACTATGGAAAAGAAAACAGTATTGTAATCACTCCATAGATCATGTTCACTGGTCACTGTATCAAATTAGTTTTTTGACTACACGTAACTTTGTTCCTTAAATCTGTTGTTTGCCATAATGTTCTGATCGTTCAAATAAATTTTGCTAGTATACGACTGTTTGAATTAAGTTTAATGTTTTGACCCTAAAAATTATCATTAATTTGAATTCAAACATTAATTTCTTACATTTTAATGATCTTCAATCTTTTGAGTTAGCTTTATCTGTATAAAATTTTATGCCAAGAAATTAAACTATTTTTAGGTACATGAATGCAGCGGTGGAACGAAGAGGAAGATCAGTACTGCTGTGGCGTTATTGGGAGATTCGCCTCTTGTGTTCCTTGATGAACCGACTACAGGTAACATTATAAACTAAACTCACACTAATCGATGAAATAAATTTTATTTGTTCTTTTATATATTTAGTTAATAATTCTCTACGTATTACGCAGACATTATTTAAAGGTTTAGTTTACTTTATATTGGTATGATTCATATGTAATCATCAAGTGATTAGGAAATTACTTTAGTGATCATTGAAATTAGTTAAAACATTTTTATGTAATGTGATCATCATTTGACATACGGACAAACCAACATATCTGTAGTTAGTTAGTTAGTCTGTTACCCAATATATCTGTAGTATCTGAGTATTCTAATAGAGCTGAAAACATAAATTCAAAATGAGAACATCAAATATTAGTTTTCATTTGCAAGTCATCAGTTCCACCTAAAGCTATAAGCGGTGTCTATGTGGCGGGCAGGTATGGACCCGGCGTCCAAGCGGCTGGTGTGGTCGGCCATCAGCGAGGCGGCGGGGGCTGGGCGCAGCATCGTGCTGACGTCACACAGCATGGAGGAGTGCGAGGCGCTCTGCTCGCGCCTCACCGTCATGGTCGCCGGCACCCTCTTCTGTCTCGGACCGCTACAACATTTGAAGAATAAATTCTCGCAAGGTAATCCGTTCAATTATATGTGTGGACATATGAGAATAAATGCGTTCACTTTATAGGTATCACGTAACTTTTATTTGCCTCGCGTTTCGACCAGATCCCACTGGCCGTGATCACAGTCTCAAATTTCAGTCGGCCCGTAAAATATAAAAAAAATTGCAAGTTGATTTGCAATGTTGAATTGCAATTGAAATTTATTTTGCAAAAATCGCAATAAATATATATTTTACATAGGAGTGAAATACTGCCCCGATCTGTTCAGCACACCGAGCTTCTTCGAGGCATATTTGACCTTACCCTCTAAGTGACCCCGAAACTGGACTTCGCTCGATATGTCGATCCCTAGAATTCCGATGCTGGCTGAGGCAGTTAGGGAGGTAGGCAGTTAGGATAGTTTAAAAGTTAGTAAGGTTACATTCGTTCGTCGTTTCGTAAGGGTTATTTAAAGGACTATAGGTAAAAGTATGAAAATCCTTCATGTTTGTGATGCTAGAAGCTACGAAAATATCTTTTATGACAGTTGTGAAATCAAAATCGGAATCGAACCCGAGGCGTCATGGACTGCAGTCGCGTACCATACTACACCACTAAGGCATCGCTTTTCAATTTTCACGCGAACGAGTCGCGGGTAGCAGGTAGTCTAGTATATATTTTCTCATGGAACGGATGGCGTAGTGGTTTAAGCGGTCACCTTGCTCCTTCCTACTGCGCTGAGTGTTGTGAGTTCAATCCCCACATGGGACAATACTTTGTGTGATCCACAAATTGTTGTTCTGAGTGTGGGTGTTCTTTGTGTCCGTTTCATGTATGTTTGTAAAGTCCCTCGCGACACAGGATATATTCCTAGCGCGGGAGTTGTCAAGTCATTTTGTTAATTTCATCTTTAATGGTAATATTTTGTTTTCAGGTTATACATTAATAGTCAAGGCTAGTGTTAGCCCAACTAGAGAAGAAAATATCACTGAAATTAATAATTATGTAACAACCAACTTCATAGGATCTAGAGTAATGTGAGTATGTTTTCTATTACTTTGTATAATTTTAAACTAATTTACAACCTTGTCGCTTCAATCAAATAACATATATAACAATGTATAACAGAAAACTGGTGCGAATTGTGTGTTAGTCTATAAAAAGTACTTGTCCTTTTACCATTTTAATGAACCTAACATTATTCGTAATCTGTAAACATCTAAATTACTGCGCTACTTGTTTTAAACATATTAATTGATTATTGTGTTTTTATATATCTTGATAGGCCTTCTCTTATCATTTTCACAGTGAATCGTACCTCGGCATCACCACGTACTACCTTAACGACGTAGACTTGCCTTGGTGGCGAGTTTTCCACATCATGGAACAAGCTCGCACTTTGTTCCCTATTGAAGACTACTCCGTTTCACAAACAACACTAGAGCAAGTATTTCTCAGGTTTGCGAGAATCCATGGTAACGAGGAGACGTAAACGTCACGATTTTACCGTGATATACAGCTTCAAGTTTTTGTTTCAATTTTACGAGTAAACAGATTTTATGAAGGAATATTAACGAAAATCTCAATTAAGTGTATTGTTTACAGAGATAAGTATTGCTTAGATTAATACTGTGACGTTTTCGGGTGTATTGCCAAGTGTGGATATCAGACCAATAGTTGCCACAATAATTTGATCCCGCAAATGTCACGTACAACATTCTACTTCACAGATATCAAATGACATCCCTTCGCGGCACTGTGCGACTAACGTGTGACTTCATATGCTAACAATTTAAATATTGTTTTCTGTGTTTTTCTGCGACTAGTTCCCGGTTTGCGGGCGGCTAAAGGTTGTGTATAGTGTTTTAAAGAATATCAGTAAGTTTTTATTGTTTTTTAAACAGAAATATAGTGCTGAATTATTTTATTACGACTATTGGTGAGTAAATTTATTTTCTTTCTAAAAGTGGGTAGGAGGTATCCTTTGTTTATATTGATTTTTCTCTGCGTATTGTTTATTTTTAAACTTGTTCCTTTTGAAATTGTTGTTTGGTGTGTCTTTGTTTGGCTATGTCGGTCGTTAGCGAGTTGCCGGACCCCGGCGGTACAAGTGAATTTCTAACACCAACCGGGAAAAGGACATTTAACGAAATGTCACCTACGGATTTCTCGCCGAAAGACAATAGAAGTAATCGAATCAATAATTCGGATTTAAGTGGAAATGTTTCGTCTCTTAACGGTCGTGATAACTGTGGGGAATACAATTACTGCGAGTTAGTCTCACAGGCTACCGAGTACTTGGCAAAAATCAATGAATTAGTTAATGATCAGGGATCTCGGATGAATGTAGGTAATAAAACGGCAATTATGGATATTACTCAACGAATTACCGGTATCGTATCTTTGTTAGCAATAAAATCCTCTAGCAACGAAACGAAGTTAGCGAATTTTGAGCGACAAATGGAGGGTATCGCAACTCAACAAACGAGTTTAACGTACGCGGACAAACTTAAGCTTCGATTACCACCTAAATCTGCTCCGTGCCCGGTACCTACTGAAGCGCGCGTTCCTAGGCCTTGTGTTATTGCCTATCCCACTACGGAACGCTTAGCGGACTATGCGACCTCGTCAGCAACGAAACAAGCTCTCATGAAGGCTATTAAACCGAGCGATGAGGGATTTCAAATTGTAGGCGTTAAAAAAACCTCTAAGGCAGGCGTCGTGTTACGTGTAGCTAACGAACGGCAGCTTAAGAAACTGGAATCTGTGGACGCCATTAAATCAGTAGGGTTGCGCTTAGAAAAACCGAAAGGCCGTAGGCCCCGTATAATTGTAAAAGACGTACCCGGTTCTATGGAAGATCGTGCCTTCCTAACAGCTTTATACCGTCAGAATATCAAGGACGAATTAAAATTAAGTGAGAATGATTTTATTAAGTCAACCAAAATTGTTAGGCATCGTAAACTAGAAAATGGGCGTCAATGGATAGGCTTAGAATTAGAGGCAGCAGTTCGGAAACATCTAGCCAACACAAAAGATAAACTTTATATAGACTGGGCCACATGTAGATTCATAGACGATATAGAAGTAGTTCGTTGCTTAAATTGTCAGCAATTTGGTCATGTACAAAAGTTTTGCACTATTAAAACCCCTACTTGTGCTAATTGCGCCGCCGCACACGAAACGCGAGCTTGTCCAGATAAAGACACACCAGATTTTAAGCCCACGTGCGCACAGTGTAAGCGGTTCAAAAAACCATCTGACCATCGATGCGGCTCATACGACTGTGCCACATACAAATTAAAACTGGAACAGCTGATATTAAATACCAATTACTGAATAGTTTAACTTAGTTTAAAAAAAAAAAAAAAAAAAAAAAGTTTAAAGAGTAACTTACTAAGTAATGAATAATATTTCGATAGGCCAGTTAAATCTTCATAACGATAAAATAGCTACATCAGAATTAGACCGTTTAATTTTAGAACAAAAGTTAGACATTGTCCTTTTACAAGAACAATATCAGAGCGCTCACTTGCGTCGTAATGTAGTACAGCTTGACTGCCGTTCGCAGGCTGGGATATATGTTGCAAGTTCTAATTTTACGGTAACATCTTTGCGTAATCTTGTGACGTCACACTGCGCCGTTGCTGAGATCTCATCCTCTACCTGTAAGGTTTACGTAGTGAGCTGCTATTTTCAATATTCACATCCTATTGATCCTCACTTACATCACTTACGTTACGTCTTGCAGTTCCTCGTGGGACATAAAATTATCATTGGCGCTGATGTCAATGCGTCATCTTCATTATGGTATGGCAAGTTGCGTTCAACCGACACGGTTCGACGTTGTGCGGTTGAAGATTTCATTGCGGAAATGAATCTTATTATTCACAATACCCCCGATGCACCACCAACTTTTTGCAACCCAATGGGTGAGTCTTCTATTGACGTGACGCTTACGCGCGGCGACGTCTCGATATCCGGATGGCGTGTCCTTCCTGACGCATCCTGTAGTGATCACCGCTTGATCGTGTACGAATTCACACCAAGGGTTGCACAGGATCCACAAAGGGCTCCCTATAATTTTAGATATAAAACTAAAGGTGCGAACTGGGCTTTGTTTGGTTCACTCTTTGCAACTCATACCAAAGACTTCAGTCGCAGTAGTTTATCAGCTGAGGAAAGCGCAGAAATACTATCAGAAACTTTTACATACTGCGCTGATGTAACTATTGGTCGCGGATCTATCACTAACACTCGTAGATGTGATTGGTGGAATGATAGATTAGCCGAACTACGTAGAAGCTACCGGAAAGCTCGTAGAAAATTAAACACTATTAAAAAACATAACGTAACAGGAGATTTGTACAACATTGCTCTCATTGCTCTTAGAGTTGCCAGGTCCCACTACAGAACTGCTGTGGAAAAATCCAAGGGAAACTTAATTCAGAAACTTGTTAATAAACTCGATAGAGAGGGCCCGTGGTCACCTTTGTATCACGAATTTAAGGCAAATAGATCAATCGACCACGCATACATACAGAACATCAAAATTAATAACAGATATACCACAGGAGTAGAACAAACAGCAGAATATTTTTTAGACTCACTCGTACCTGACGATCGACCGGAAAACGACACTGATCATCACCGACAGATCAGGCAGTGGGCCATCGAACCACCACTGTCTCCAATGTCTGATTTACCATCTTCAGACGAATTTCTCGGTATCATTAGATCCTTGCCGCTAAACAAGGCTTCGGGTGATGATAAAATATCTAACAAAATGATAAAAGAAGCTTGTAAACTTTCGGGTGACACGATTTTCACTGTCTTTAAACGTTGCATTGCTGAAGGAATATTTCCTCGTATATGGCGGTGCGGTAATATTCGTATAATACCAAAAAGTGGCGACAAGCCACCGGATGATCCTAAATCCTACCGACCAATCACATTGCTACCATCGTTAGGAAAGCTTTTAGAACGTCTTGTAGTGCCCCGGCTTCTGCCAGGTGGAGTCAAATTTCATGATAGACAATTTGGATTTACGTTGGGTAAATCGACAACTGACGCTGTTATATCGGTTAGAAAGTTTGTCACAGAGTCAAAATTTCAATACGTGCTGGCTATTTTCTTAGATATATCTGGCGCCTTCGACAACGCATGGTGGCCCATGCTGTTGCTGAAATTAAAATCACGGGGGTGTTTTAAAAATATTTATTCCCTTATCTCTTCGTACTTTTCACAAGGTACAACTAAACTAAGACTTGGTCATCATTCTGTGTCGAAGGCGCTTACAATGGGATGTCCTCAGGGATCGGTGCTAGGTCCATACTTGTGGAATATCGGCTTCGACGATTTTCTTACGATACCAATACCATCCGGATGTACTCTGAACGCGTATGCTGATGACGGCTTATTACTGGTGGAATCTGATACTAGGGCGGGTCTTGAGAGATTAGCCAATAGATGTTTGAACTTGATATCTCAATGGGGTGAACGTAATCGCTTAACTTTTGCACCCAACAAAACCTTCCAGTTACTTTTAAAAGGTAACCTCAAATCACCGCCGAGCATTAGATTTGACAATGTTACTGTAAAAAATAAAACCACAGTGTGTTATCTAGGATTAGTTTTAGAAAGAAACTTTTCATTTATCGAACATATTAAAATAGTTAATGAAAAGTCTAAAAAGAGTTTCTGTGCATTGACAAGGATATCAACTGCGACATGGGGTCTATCATTTAATACATTAAAGATCATATACGGAGCTACTTATTTAGGTTCTATGTGCTATGGTGCACCTGTATGGGCCGATAGGGCGACCGTAGGCGCTGTCCGTCGCAAACTGTTACAAGGCCAACGACTTGCACTGATATTTTTGTGCAAGGCATATAGGACGGTTAGCACTGAGGCTTTGCCGGTGTTGGCAGGTGTCCTTCCGGTCGATCTCGAGGTGCAGAGACGTGCAGCTATGTACTATTCAGGACAAAACATGGAATGCGATTTCTTGGGCGCGCGGGATCGCGGTAAAATTACAAGATTGCTTCAACAGCAGTCCGATGTCTATAATGACCTCATAGACGAATGGCAGCAACGCTGGGACGAGTCATCCAAGGGGCGCCATCTTTACCAATTTTTTCCATCTGTTCGCGAACGGTTGTCGAGGACATGGCTTGAGGTGGATCACTGTGTCGCTCAATTTCTTACGGGTCATGGTACCTTTAAGAGCAAGTTGTATTCTTTTAAATTAGTCGAGTCACCATTGTGTCAATGCTCAACACCTAACTCTCATTATGAACAGTCTGCTCATCATATCCTCTGGGAATGTAGTCTTTGGTATGATGAACGTAATATAATGCTGAATAGCTTGCAGGTGACATCTGGGGCGGTATACTATGGGGATCTTGTGTCAACTAGGGTGAATTTCCGTGCGTTTAGGCGATTCTGCCATACATATTATAGAAATCAAATATAGCTCATGTAGGACCC